AAAAAAAAACACACCCTAATCCCGACTCGAATGCCAAAAAATAAAAGAAAGAAAAAAAAGCAATACTAACGTCACCCTCACCAGCCCCGTCACAGTCTCCAAGCCCACACCCTACACATTCGACCTGGGCTACCTGATGGCTAACGACCCGAACCCGCTCGACCTCCCGCGCTCCACCCCCCTCAACGAATCTCTGAAGGCCATCGCGCGCGACGGCACCCAGTCCCTCCTCAACCAGCTCCTCACCACCTGCCCGATCACATCGTCCGCCCAGAATGGCGTTCTCCTCACGCTCCCTCCCCCGGCGACGGCCCTCCCGCGCCACAAGCCCCTGCCCACTCCCAAGCAACCCACCAAGTGGGAGCTGTTCGCCCGCAAGAAGGGCATCGGCAAGTACAGCACCACGCCTGGCGCCGCGCTGGCGGACAAGGAGCGTCGCAAGAAGCTGGTGTACGATGAGGAAAAGGGCGAGTGGGTGCCTCGCTGGGGCTACAAGGGCAAGAACAAGTCCGATGACGAGTGGCTGGTGGAGGTGAAGGAGAAGGACTGGCAGAAGGAGGAGGAGGCGGCGGCCAAGGGCAGCTCGATCCGGGGCATGTCGCGTGCCGATCGCAAGGAGAGAATACGCCGCAACGAGCGCAAGATGCGGTCCAACGAGCGGAGATCGCGGAAATCGGGCGGTGGATAGGTTGGGGGATCTCTTCGCGGAGGGGGGTTTTTTCTCTTCTAATCTCCTTCTTCTTCACGCATGGGTCTGGACTTTCTCGGATTGAAACCACAAACCACAAAAAAGCAGGAGTACGGATTGGAGTCGCCGGTCTCTTTCTATTATTGTCGATATACTACTTCTACGGGCTGTTCATGTTTACACTTGTTGGATTTAAAGAAAAGCAGGATCACCTTAATGCATCATACCCTGATCATCTTGCGTTCCAAGAACCGAGCGCTGTCTCGAGATTCCCAGACACCTTTTTTTCTTTACGGATCTTCTGTCCTGGGTTGCTTGATTGTCCGAGTCAAATCGTAGGAATTTCATGTATTTATCTTACATCAGACAGGGGCATTGCAAAGGCGAGGAGAACATGCAAGAATAATCAGGGGACAAATCAAAGCTTCGCACGGGGGGAATTTGGGAATTTGGAAACGGCGCAGAAAGGAGGAAAAGAAGGAAAAAAAGAGGCTAAATAGAATTCTGAAAATACATGTATGTGAAGCAATCTAGCACACCAAGACACGAACAAGAAGCGACATACAAAAGAGGACCAACCTGTACAATGAAAAGAGAGGTGTTTGAACCAGAACCGACTCCGAAGGCGCCAATCTATGCAATTGGATGAACAAAGAACCAGAGTTGCAGAATCATCGTGGTGGGAAATAACATAAGGAGAATTTCTGGAAATCGCCAAGGGTGAAACACGTCAAACGTTGACTCCTCAACGACCATGTAAACGCAGCAGCAAAATACCCAACGAGTGAGTAAGAGGGAAAAGATCACAAGTTGTGCAAATGGATCAATTTCAATGTACAATCCTGAGATGAGTCTCGACCTCGGATCCAGCCCGTGTCTCTAGGCGCGAAGCACTCAGAAGGAAAGTAGGGGGGGGAGAAGATGGGAAGAAAACGACGCAGGGAAGAGGACCTCGTTCAACTAAGTAAATGGTGGTCGAATGGTGTCAGTGCGGTCATGGCAGGTATAGGTTAGACCAGGAAAAAAAAAAGATCAACCTGGAACTGAAGATTAGATCTGAATGGGAGACAGCGGGGGTCCAAGTTCGGGAAGCTGAGAGACACTCCTTGTGTGCGAAGTCTCAATCTTCTTAGGTCTATGCTTCCGGGACTTGGCTGTCTCAGGGCGAGGCGGTTGCTCCTCTTCCGCAGAAGCCTGACTGCTGCTGGAAGAAGATATGGCTCTTTCATGGACAGTCGAGCTGTTCAGAGGTATTGAGTGGGTGGCTTCGGCTTTCGAGCTTTTTTCCTTCTCATCCATCTCCTTTTCACGCTGGAGATATTCCTTCTCGGTCCAGCATCCCTGCCAACAGTTTTTCCAGTCGCATACCAGGAAGTGGAAACAGAATGCGTCAATCTTCATGCACGGTTGAAAGCAGATACAGAGATTGCGGTAATCCATCTTGTTCTGGTCCACATAAGAGTGAAGGAGATTCAGGTGGCAGGTGATGGCGAAGAGGAGGTAATAATTATAGGGAGGTAGTTTCGACAGCTCATCTTTCAAGAGCTGCGGTGCGGTGGTTGCGCCCTCACATTTCTCGGCGATCATAGCCTGGGTCTCCTTCGGGAAAAGTTCGTCGGGCAATTCACGAAGCCAAGCCTTGAACATGGATCCAATGGTGTTGATGTCATAAAGATCCGGTTCGTCAAAAAGATTGATATCAAATTCTGTACAAATAGAGGTTAGAAATCCCCAGGAAATTCCATCTGACCTGTTCAGAATGTGGCTTACCTGTATCAAATCGTCGCTGCCAGTGCTTAACTTCTTTCCCACTGCCAGGCACACGATACAAGCCTTCTTCCTCGCACCCTTTGTAGTTTAGGTAGCTGATGTAATGTTAGCGATTGCGCGAGTCAGATCCGGGACCGGAGGAAGTGGCTTACTCGATGCAACGGTAGGGCAGGGCGGGCATCCAAAATTCTGTCTTGTCCCTGCAGTCTTCAATTTTCTTCGCAATGCGAGTTCGCCGGGCTTGCTCAATTAGAGGAAGATTGATGACGGAGCAGACATAATTGTCGTCGTTCAGAAGTTCTCGTTCGTTTGTGCTGCCGCTCCGGGTAATCTTTCCGAAGAAGCCTTTCCCTGCCTTTCCTATCCTGTCTGCCGCACCGCTCGAGGACTGTTTTATATTGTTGAACAATGCAGCGGAAGCACCTGATACTTGACTTAATGAGGTTGACGGCACCATTGAACCACCATGACTCCTCTCCTTTCGAATTGGAACACTGCCGGGTTCCGCAGGACGATCAACGGGATGGGTGCGCACGGCGGGACTCCCCGTGGTTTTCGCATGGCGATCTGATCGTGAGGAAGGTGTCTTGACGGGCACCTCCACCTCCCGCTTGTGACTTCCTTCGAGCTTCATTAGAGTGGCTGACGGCCGCCGATTCGCTCTTCTGTTCAATGCAGAGTCGTCCAACCGAATCGAACGGGATCGCGAAAGCAAATTGGCAAAGCGAGGTTTGTTCTTTTTCGAGGAGTTGCCGTGTTCGAGATCGGAGCCGGCTTTCTTGGCTTCCTGTGACTGAAGGTCCTTGTCTTCGGTCGAGTCACGGTCTAGTTGCGATCTGATTAGATTCGCTCATTCACTCCGCCGAGGGGTCCCGCATATACTTACTGGTTTCCTTGTGCGCTGCACGTTCGAGTGTTCCCAGAAGATCAGGAGTCGACTCGTACAACTTGGAGGCGATCTTTGTCCGGCGATCCCTAGAACTGCCACGGCTCTTAGGTTCGTCCCCAAAAGGTTCTGACCCGTCGGAGCGCTGGGCCCGGTGCGACGATTTTGGTGCCTTGAGGCTGGCAAAGAACGAGCGTGAAGGCTCGCGGTTGTGCCTGGGAGAATCCCTTGGAGAAGGAGGATATGGGGGGATGGCAGTGAGCCCGGGGGTAGGAGGTTCGGCGATATGACCAGGAGTGAGTGAGAAGGTAGGACTGCTCGACTTGCTGTGGGATCCTTCTGTGACAGGACGGATAGTCGCACCTTTGAAGAATGGTGAACTCGAAGAGGATTTGGGTGAACGGGGTGTCAGGGGACTTGCTCCATCAGAGCTTTGGGCACCGGGCGTTAGTGGAGACGAGATCTTTGCAGTCGCCTGCAGAGCGAAGGAGCTTAGATCTAAATTAGGCACAGTGGAGTGTCTCGAAGGCATTTTTAGGCCTGAATCGTTTGCCGGACAATTCGCCAGAAGGAGTTTCGCGCGAAAATAGTTGGGGGCGGGAAAAGTGATATATCCAGTTCCCAGTCAAGGTCTAGGAGGAAAATGTATTCGACAGCCTGTCGGAAAAAAAGAAGGATATATCAGCGCGAGATGCGACCAGCTTGCTTAACAAGGCCAAAAAAAAAAAAAAAAAAAGCCGCAAGAACCAGGACTGTCCAGCCAGACTTACTTGTCTTACAACTTTCTGGCCTCAATATCCCACGCAACTCAACGCTTCTCCCAGAATTCGTCGAGGGTAAGGGTTGGAAGCGAAATTGCGCTTGTTGAGATCACAGTGATGAAAGTATTGGAACGGAACCAGCCTTCCCAATATTCTTCAAGCCGGTCCCAATGGGTCGTTAGATCGCCGCTGGAGGAGAATATAATTCTGGAGGATTTTCAGATCTATTGACAAGTCGCACGACCATTAGTGAAACTGACGAGGAATCAAAGCAGGCAGAAGGGAAGAAAGACAGAAGCATGGGAAGGTGAAGTCTGGCGAGCGCAAGGAGCGCAGAGCCCAATGTAGGGGCTCGAAATGAATCAATGAAGCTATAAATAACGCTGACACTGGCAGAATCCCAACCCCTTGATCCCTCATTGATCGAGCGCATAAAGACCCCAGAGATCCTTTTTTTTTTTTTTTTTTTTGGACTCCAGCGGGTTCATCGCAACAGACAACAATGGGAATAAATTGGCCGAGCGTCTTTCAAAAAGAAGAGAAGGTTGACCTACCAGACTGTATCGCCCCTCATGTTCTGTAGTCACAGTTCTCTCCACACAGATCCCCTCCAACTTCCCATCCGGGTCCCGCGTAGCTGACCGATAGAATCTTGTCGCTCGATATGATCTATCTCACGGATAAAGACGGATGCTCAATTTGTTTGTAGACTTCTATTCCATTCGGGGTATCGCAAGTTCTGCTTTTCTTTCTGTCCTCTCTCTCTCTCTTTATTTTTATTTTTATTTTCCCAACGGGGATCGAGGGGGGCGGTCGGTGTGAGGCGTGTACAAAGGGAAAAGCGGTGTTGTTATTGTTGTTGTTGTCAGGAGTAAATTTGGAATGACAATGATTGCCAGAGATCGGTACAAAGAAGAGAGAGAGAGAGAGATTTCGACAGAGGATGTGCTTGCCCAGAATAAAACAACCAGAATTATTGAATTGAAAAAAAAAATAAAAAAATAAAAAAAAAAATGAAATGAACGAGAGAAGTTGAAGAGAAGTACAGAGTACAGAGTACAGACCGATCGGATGTAGGGGTTTAGTCTAAGTCTAACAGGAGAACCACGAGAGAACGATTCCCGCACAGACTCGAGAGTCGCAGCGACGACACATTCCTTCTTCTTGACAGGCGACTAATAATATGCAAGCGCGGCTGCGTGTTTAGCTAAGAAGCCACCATCTTTTTTTTTTTCTTTCTTTTTTTTTTGTCTGGTTCAGGGGGCAGAAACAGAAACCCGTGGAGATTTCGAGGCTAAATGCGCGGATGGATCTATATCCTAGCCTTCCTAGGAATCCTAGGTGTCTAGCGGAGTTATCGGGCGTTTCTTGGTAGAGAAGTATACAGAGTAAGTGTCTATCTATGGCTATCATCGACAGAGTCCGAGTAAAGACTATTACTCCGTAATCTATCAGAGGACTGTGGACTCAGATTGTCCTCGAGGATGATCATCGTCGCCCGTGGCTTATTCGATGACGCTGGGTCAATCTGGAGGTCAATCCTCAATGGAGGATTGACAGACCATGTTGATCATCATCATTCACTATCTACAATGCAGTTTGTTTCATCTATTCAAGGGAAGTGAGTGAGTGAACTTTCTGGGACGATCTCTGAAACATCTCTCTTCCTATCTATTGACTATATTCTTTTCATGCGGATATCTCTGACGGTGACGGTGACGGTGATGGTGACGGTGACTCTCCCCCTTTGATGCCTTTTGTTTATCTACACCGTCCTCCTCCATATACGGTCTACTACCATAGCTTGCTGGACTACAGACTCAGATTGGTCAACCAAATGTCGCTGTGAGGGTCAAGTCCAACAGGCACCGACGAATCACCCACGGCACGCAATATCAGAGAGGATGGGTACCTGGCGCTTAGTAAAATTAAGTTACCCAAGGAAGCATGACATTATTCGTTATGTTCATTCCTTTTGAGTCCGAAAATACTTTGGACAATTCAGAGAGATATCTTGAGGGGATCAAGTCCGGAGTATGAACAGTGAGTAAGAAAGGAAATCAATATGGAATATGACCGTCTCTGATGAACTGATGAGAATAATAATAATAATACTAATAATAATAATAATACGAGATGCTGAACCAGCAGGATATGATGAACACCTCCTTTCCAGTCATCCTTCTTTTTTTGAACTTGGAGATGTAACCATGGATTATTGAGGAACAAAGAATCAGCCTAAGATAGCTTTCCAAGTTCTGAATTCTGAAGTCTGAATCCTGATACAACTCTAGTCCTAGTGGGGTCATCACTTGATAAAAAAAGAACCTCCGTTCCATTCCTCCTGAGCTTTTACCTATTATTATTACTACTACGATTATGGATTGATGGTAGGACCCCACCAGATTCTTCTGTACTCTGTAGTCTGTGTCTAGTAGGTAGTACGGATACTACTGCCTCAATATCTCAAGTCATATGTAATTCTATCCTCAGTTCCTCACAGAGTGGTGTAATTATGCAGGCACATATATTTGGACAATGTCTATGTAGTTGAATAGGAAGAAGATTCCACTGCCTTCTAATCACTATCGGAATCCTCTAAACTATCATTCCCACCTATTTCCGTAGTAATATATACGAAATTGGCTTATCTATTCCCTACACACTACTGAGTACCTTCTAGCTCTCCATCTATCGACATCACAAACACTTCTAATGAAGACAATTGATCCCAGTCCATTGCCTGAATTGAGCAATCCAAGAGCCCGATCAAAGATCCCCTCAATCATATCTCATAGATAATTATTCATAATTACATAGTAGTTACTCTGACGATCTCCATTCTGAAACAAGCCCCCGCTCGTGCTCCCAGCGGCTTGTCCTGGGCTCCTGGCCGCAGCCGAGTCACGTGGTCGTCCGTCCTCGCACTTCCACTGGGACAAATCAACTTCCCCTGCAGAAATCCCCCCCCCCACCCCTTCTTCCTGCCTTTTACCAAAATAGCTTGGTAGATAAGATGATCTAACTTCTTCTGGTCACTGGGTTCGTGCGCTGTCTGTGAAGTGTGGAAGTAGTAAAGCCCATTTTTAGTATTATTATACTGGTGGGCACGTTCAGAATCTGTTGAACCTCCCCTGACTCCAGTTCCGAGCTAACGAGGAGAAGCAACCACTAATCATCATCCTCTGGTCTCCAGCAATCGGCCTTAGATTAATATTTCTCACCATTCGAATGCAAGATGTCGCTGGTATCTGGTCCTGGTCGAGCTGTTGGCAGCCAAGCAGATCAGACACTGTGTGTACCAAAGCATGTGGAGTACATCAAGAACCTGGACAGTGTGCGTGATATCTGTATATCTTCTCTTGGGAATGGGGAAGAGGGTTGACAGGTGAATGCTAGAGGAGAGATGAGCTGGAATATTGGCTCACAGAACATCTTCGACTGAATGGAGTCTACTGGGGTCTGACCGCATTGCATCTGCTGGCGTCTCCCGAAGCTCTTCCGCGGGCAGAAACCATCGATTTTGTTCTTTCCTGCCAGCATGAGAACGGTGGATTTGGAGCGGCACCTGGTCATGATGCGCATCTGCTCTACACCGTCTCGGCTGTCCAGATCCTCGTTACACTCGATGCAGTGGACGAGCTGGAGAAGCGGGGCTTAGGAGGCAAGCAAAAAGTTGCTAATTGTATGATGTGACGTTCCCAACCTTCTTATGACCATCCTGAAAAAAAAAAAAAGAATTCCCGCTTATGCTCGATGATTGTAGACATCGCAGGGTTACAGGACCAGGCAACTGGCTCCTTCAAGGGTGACGAATGGGGCGAATTGGACACTCGTTTCTTATACGGTGCCTTCAATGCCTTGTCACTCTTGGGACTTCTTGACCTGGTCGACGTTGCCAAAGCTGTCGCTTACATCCAGAAGTGCGAAAATTTGGATGGAGCATATGGTGTCTGCCCTGGAGCCGAATCCCATGCTGGCCAGGTATTTACCTGTGTGGGCGCGCTGGCTATCGCGGGACGATTGGATCTGGTGGACAAGGATCGTCTTGGTGGTTGGCTCAGTGAAAGACAGTTGGACAACGGCGGACTGAACGGTCGTCCCGAGAAACTGCAAGATGCCTGCTACAGCTGGTGGGTGGGAGCCAGCTTAGCGATGATCGACCGTTTGCATTGGATCGATGGCGACAAGCTGGCCGCATATCTTCTTCGCTGCCAGGTAAGTCTCTTGTCCCGGTGGATATCTCCAGTCCTAATACTAATGTCCCCCAGGATCCAGCGGCTGGCGGCTTCGGGGACCGTCCTGGTAACATGGTGGATGTCTTCCATACGCATTTTGCCATCGCGGGCTTGAGCCTCTTGAAGTTCGAAGGCGTGGAGGAAGTAGATCCTATCTAGTAAGTGACGGACCCCCTCAATCTAGCTTCATCCATTCTGACCGAAGACAGTTGTATGCCTAGAGCCATTACAATGAAAACCTTGCACAAGTAACAACACCACCCCCTATCAGCTATCGTTGTCCGGCGAGGTTTGATGACCGTAAATATCCTTACCTCCTGCAATCTAATAACCCATTATTCTTCCCCTCCATAGATTATGAGATACAAGGCAGTGACTTATTCCACTTCATACCCTCCCACAATAGCCTAACCATAGGCTGTTAAGACACAGTCGCACATTCTATCACAGACTCATAATCAATTTCATTCTATCTAGTTGAGCTCAATGAATAAACTGTCTTTGCATATTTTGGTTTTCAATTCTCTTGAACAAGTCTCCTCGCCACTCCTCGTTGACATTGGTACTGTCAACAACTTACTTCATCCCCGCCACCTTCCCAAAGGGGTCATCATGTGGAAGACAGACCGTCCCTTCTCGATGCAGCAAGTAGTATCCTCACGGTCGACGTCGCTGCCCTGTCAATAACAGCTTCTTTCTTCTCCCCTCAATATCTCCCTCCCCATCTGACCTCAGTGGTTCTGGTGGCATTGGGATTCATAGGGCAAGTATCGCTCCATCATTGTCACTTCTTCTGCATCCCAACTCTTTTCTTCATCAGGGCCAGTCCTTCTATCTTGGTTCCTCTTGTGTGCTTTTGTGTACATGCCATTCTGCATTTGCGTCTGTTACTTGTTACTTCCTTCGTATCCGGCTCAGGTCAAACCTTCAAGTCTTGTCGTCGTTCCCGTCGTCTATGATGGATGTCGAGGCATTGCATTGCAACATCTGTCTCAAACATCCCAGATTCAGCGATGTATCTCATTTATTAACCCATGTCTCATCGAAAGCTCACCTCTCACATTATTTCAAGCTTCAAGTGCGCAGTCATCAGGAGGTCCAAGCTAGAGCTCTACTAGAAGAATATGATCGATGGTATAAGGCCAATGGCTTGGCCAAGCTGCTTGCTGACCGCATGGCATCCAAAGAGGCTCGCAAAAGGAAGTCCCAAGGGAAGTCCCTTGCACATGTTACCTCGCTGACAGCTGCACGCAAGAATGAGCCTCGAGTTACACCAGCAATTACCCATCATTCATCTCATAACCCTCTTCCTGATTTCCTTGACCCACGCCTTGCTGACCCTTTTGTCAATGGGAACAACGCCGAGGGTAACGGGGATATATGTCTTCCAGCTGATTACGACCTGCCACCTGCATGTCCACGGCCTGCTGTTGAGCTTCCCGTCCAGACGGAATATACACTACGTTCAAGCGTCTCTTACGCAGATCCTCCCCCGGGCCAATACAAACGTAGGCCTGACATCGACTCCGAAGAAGACAGTGCCTCTGGTTCCCCAGACACACCGAGCGGGCCGGGGAAGCCAGGAAGCAGAACAGCAATGTCCTTTCAACCCTCAAGCGTCAGCTCCATCCGTGACCCCTTCGTGGACGACAATGGAAGTCTTGATTACTTGAAAATGCTCGGAGGTGACAGGGAAAGGTCGGACGAGATGACTAGGCTGAAGGGAGTTTTGTGGCCGGGGATGGACATATTTGACTCGGCTACTGAGCAAATGAGGCGGAAACGGAACCAAAAGAAGGACGAGAGCATCCTTAAGACAATGGAAAAGACGTCTATGTGTGTCGAGCCCACGGAGCTGGTCTTTTCGCCCACAGGCATTCTACGGAAACAACGGGTCATCTCTGGTAATGTGGAAGATAGCAGTCCCCTCAAAGGGGAAACCCCGATTCCCAAACGACGAGCAAATCGCCCCAAGCGTGCGCTCTCCCAAGTTGATTCCAACATACCCCGGGGACAGGATAGGAAGCGAAGCAAGAAATCCATCAAGTCGGCAGGAAAGACACGGTTTGGCAGTCTAGATCAACGATATCAGCCTCCGGCCCCAGGCATTCCCGAACATGGGTTGCCGTATGGTTATGGTGCCAGTCTTTACACTTCTTTCCGAGATGAGATAGATGACTTCACTCTCTCAATGAGGGGACTTGAACCTGCCTCTCGCAGTCGGTTCACAGTCTTCCACGACGAATCAAGTCAGCATAAACCGATCTCCAATGATCATTATTCGACGCAAGAACCGCAATTGGGACCATCGAGCCCTTCTCGACGACCTTTTCTTCGCCGTGGGGGAGCATTCGGAAGAGACTTCAACCGACCATCTTCGAGCAACCCTACTTTATTTCGGTTGGGAAAGGATGCTCGTACCTCAGCTACTGAGAAAGAGAATATGGAGCATCTGCTCGATGCTACCACCCGACTTGAACCGCTTCTCCACTGGCATTCTCCAATGATAGAGCCGCGACAGTGTCTCCTTGTAGATGCTCAACGAAGCGGACGGAGCCCTTTCGAAGATCATGAGATGTATGCGGGATATTCGTTCAATCCCCTGGCCATTGCAACCGCGAAGTTTCCCAATGAGAATCCGATTTTCCATGGCGATACCCAACACGATTACAACCTCCATTCCTTGACACGCGCTCCATCGCCGGAGGCGACTATATCAGACGTCGACGAAGACGACTTTGAGCGACTCTATCTCGACACAACCTCTTTTTAGTCTGATCCATTGGGCGTGCTGTTCCTCTTCCGGGGGCCATCAGGATTCAGGAATCAGAATTCCATTTCCTTTCAAGATCATGCTACCACCCGAGACGAGATTGAAGGTTTGACCAATGCCCACCACGAGCAGACGAGCAACAAAGATATTTATATATGCAGGATCGATATGTGGGCAGACCAGCTTGCTTCGCGGTTCTTTTCGCTTGTTTTTTGTACCCTTATACTATTTTCCATTGCAGCGTTAGTCAGGTTCAGGGAACTGGAGCATTGTTTGTAAGCTTAGACTGATACAGCAGAGTAGGTAGATAGAGTATACAGACAGCATACAGCATCCTTCTATATACGGGTGGATTAGGTAATACTATAGCCAAACCAATTAACGCGCACTCGACAATCTATCGTGTTCTCCACGCGTCAAGCTTCGAGAAGCTAAGGACTCAAGCTTGCGATAAGCGACTTCATACTCCCCTCGCATTCAGCTTCTTATTATAATCTGGTTATACCTGCTTCTAGCAGGGGCTGTCAAAGACGCCCAGTTCGTGAGTAAATTGCGCGTCGCGAAGAAACAACCCCAACGCCACATTTACTTGCAACGCCAACTTCCACGCCTACTCTGACCCCAGTTTGATCAACATTTTACAACCTTGCAAGCCCACAAGGGGCCGTGATCACAGGCAGGATGCCGCTCCGATCATCTCAGTCGTCGCCACCGGCCTCACAAAGCTTTAAACGCAAACAACCTACCATCTCAAGCTTCTTCACGAAAAAGCCGCCGACATCGCAAGAGAAAGCCCAGGAGCCCGAGGACGAACCGGCGGCGAGTCGAAGACAATTCGCAAATGCCCTTGATAAAGCGACGCGCGTGAAAGAGCACGGTGCCCCAGCAGAGAGAGATGAGGAACAAGAGGAGGAGGAGGAGGATATCGTGGCCCCGGCTCCGAAGCGGATTAAAACAAATGGGGTGCACGAGAAGGAACCAGCTAGCGCGGCCAAAGAGGTATCTTCTGCCTCGCGGCCAGCACCGCCGCTGGCTAGTAGCCAACGAACCGAGCTGTACAAGTTCGCTAGCTCGCCTGCCGATGGCGCCGGCGCGGGCGTTGACCGACCAGAAGATCCGGAGACAAAGCAGCGGCAAGCGGAGCGGGAAAGACTGCACCAACTGTTTGTGAAGAAGCTCGGGGGCGCAGACTGCGCGGTTGGGATTGGCCGCAGCGCTGGCGGGGATGCGCCGTCCGGCGCGGAGGAGGCTGCCGAGGGCGACGAGGACGAGGAGGTGGCGCCGGCGCCGGCGGCGAAGGGGAGGGGCTCGAAGAAAGCCGGCGGGGGCAAGCTGACACCGCTGGAGAAGCAGGTGATTGAGATTAAGCGCAAGCACATGGACACAGTTCTGGTGATCGAGGTGGGGTATAAGTACCGGTTCTTCGGCGAGGATGCGCGGATTGCGGCGAAGGAGCTGAGTATTGTTTGCATTCCGGGGAAGATGCGGTTTGATGAACGTAGGTGTTGTTCACTAGCCCTCCCTCCTCCCGACCTTCCTTGATGTGCGAGTGTGTTTGGCAAAGTGTGGATGCTGACAGAGCGTGGCTTGCCACTCTAGACCCTTCCGAAGCGCATCTTGATCGCTTTGCCTCCGCGAGTATACCGGTGCATCGGCTGCATGTGCATGTAAAGCGACTCGTGGCGGCGGGCTATAAGGTCGGCGTGGTTAGGCAGTTGGAGACGGCTGCTCTGAAAGCCGCGGGTGACAATCGCAATGCTCCGTTTTCCCGGAAACTCACCAACCTATACACGAAGGGAACGTACGTCGATGATGTGGAGGGATTGGAGGGTCCTACACCTGCGGCATCAGGTGGTGCTTCTCCAGCCACCGGGTACTTGCTGTGCATCACCGAGACGAATGCAAAGGGCTGGGGCAACGATGAGCGGGTCCATGTGGGTATTGTTGCTGTTCAGCCGAACACGGGAGATATCATCTACGATGACTTTGAGGACGGTTTCATGAGGAGTGAAGTCGAAACCAGACTACTTCACATTGCGCCGTGCGAGCTCGTCATCGTTGGGGAGTTGTCCAAGGCTACCGAGAAGCTAGTCCAGCATCTCTCTGGCAGCAAACTGAACACCTTCGGCGACAAGGTCCGCGTGGAAAGAGTGGGAAAGAAGAAGACTGCGGTCGCCGAATCGCATAGCCACGTCGCGAACTTCTACGCCTCCAAGCTCAAGGCAGCCAGCGTCGACGATACGCAAACCAGCAATCTTCTCCAGAAAGTGCTCACCTTGCCCGAGCAGGTGACGGTGTGCCTCTCGGCGATGATAGAGCATATGACGGAGTACGGATTGGAGCATATCTTCCAACTCACCAAGTATTTCCAGCACTTTTCATCTCGGTCTCACATGCTTCTGAACGCGAACACGCTCGTGAGTCTCGAGATCTATCAGAACCAGACGGACCACTCGACCAAAGGCAGCCTCTTCTGGACTCTGGACCGCACGCAGACGCGCTTCGGGCAACGCCTGCTTCGAAAATGGGTTGGGCGGCCCCTGCTGGATAAATCGCGACTGGAGGAAAGGGTGAATGCTGTTGAGGAGTTGAAGAATCCGGAGAAGACCGTGCAGGTAGAGAGGCTTAAGAGGCTACTGGGGAGGATCAAGAGCGATCTGGAGAAGAATCTCATCCGGATATACTATGGAAAGGTACGCACATGCTATGAACCGGGGGGGAGTTGCGAGCCTTAACTGATATGGACCTAGTGCACCCGGCCAGAGCTGCTTACTGTGCTGCAGACGCTGCAGACCATCGCACAAGAGTATGCCGATGTCAAGTCCCCGGAGGACAATGGGTTTGCATCGCCTGTTCTGGGTGAGGCGGTTGCGTCGCTCCCGACCATATTGAAAGATGTTGTCGCTTTCCTGAACAAGATCAACATGCATGCGGCCCGTAGTGACGACAAGTATGAGTTCTTTCGGGAATCCGAAGAGACCGACGAAATTAGTGAGCATAAGCTTGGCATCGCCAGCGTCGAGCACGAACTGGAGGAACACCGCGCTGTTGCTGCCGGGATCCTCAAATGGCCCAAGGTGGTCTACGTAACGTCGTCGGGCATAGAGTACCTGATTGAGGTTGAAAACACCTCCAATGCCATCAAGCGAGTGCCGGCATCGTGGGTCAAAGTGAGCGGGACCAAGAAGCTTTCCCGATTCCATACGCCAGAGGTCATCCAGCTTCTCCGGCAACGCGATCAACACAAGGAAGCATTGGCCGCCGCGTGCGACAAGGCGTTTGCCGCTCTGTTGGCCGAGATCGCCGTCAACTACCAGCTATTCCGGGACTGCGTCCAAGCTCTTGCGACGTTGGACTGTTTGCTCTCCCTCGCGGCGATAGCGAGCCAGCCCGGATACGTGAAGCCCGAGTACACCGACCACACATGCATATGTGTCGAACAAGGGCGCCATCCCATGGTTGAGCAACTCTTGCTGGACAGCTATGTGCCGAACGACACTGACCTGGACACGGACCAGACTCGCGCGCTTCTGGTGACGGGTCCGAACATGGGTGGTAAATCGAGCTACGTCCGCCAAGTAGCCCTGATCGCCATCATGGGCCAGATTGGCTCCTACGTCCCTGCGCGATCAGCAAAGCTCGGCATGCTGGACGCGGTGTTCACTCGCATGGGCGCCTTTGACAACATGCTAGCAGGCGAGTCGACCTTCATGGTCGAGCTGTCCGAGACAGCGGACATCCTGAAGCAAGCCACACCGCGCTCGCTCGTCATCCTCGACGAACTGGGGCGCGGCACATCCACGCACGACGGCGTCGCGATCGCCCAGGCCGTCCTCGACTACATGGTGCGGACGATCCGCAGCCTCACGCTCTTCATCACGCACTACCAGCATCTCTCGAACATGACGCAGTCGTTCCCGGACCACGAACTGCGCAACGTGCACATGCGCTTCACCGAGTCCGGCGCCGGCCAGGACGAAGAAATCACCTTCCTCTACGAGGTCGGCGAGGGCGTCGCGCACCGCAGCTACGGCCTCAACGTGGCGCGGTTGGCGAATCTGCCTGCACCGCTCCTCGACGTGGCGAAGCTGAAGAGCGCGGAGCTGGAAGAGCAGATCCGGCGGCGGCGGCTGGCGAGGCTTCTCACCGCGGTGGGGGAGGTCATGTCCGATCCTGCCAAGGGCGATGAGGATTTCCTCGAGCGCCTCATGAGCACCGCGGAGCAGTTGTAGGGTGGATTTGCTAGAGGGAGGGGGCGGGGGGGGGGGTTTTGTTCTAGGAACTGGGCTACTGTACATATACATACGATACTGATCGGATAGATCATGCTCTCTGCCGCGGCGGAGGAACAGGGCAGCTGTAATATGCATATTTCATACACAAGCATTGTGACCTACACTCAAAGCAGCGCACTAGGCTACGAACTACAGAGTAGGGAATCACCCCGGTATGTGCGCAGGGTTTGATACGAGTTCCGTTGGACAAAACCAGCGGACAGAAGGGACCCGATCCTTCGAGAGGGCACAATGACGGGCAACTCCAGCTTGCATTCAGGGGCACTTCTGAACAGTCCGCAAGAGCTCAGCATGAGGACGAGCGCATGCGCAGGCCTGACTGAACTCTCGTACTGTGCTGGGGGGTCAAGATGTTGATCAAGGCCAAGTGCTTGGATCCGTAGCAGCCATAGAGCTCTCCGTTGTCCTTTGATTGAAGCGGTCGAGTAAACCCGGTCTATGAGCGTCCACCACCAAGGCAGTGCGGCACCGAAGTCATAAAAGAAAGGGGATATGGCCAAAACCCGTGCATTTCGCGGCTGGATGCTTTGAAACTTTTTTTTTTCTTCCTTGGTTGCGATTTCATTAGAGAGAAAAAGGGCGCGAGCTTGATCTTTCTTCCCCGTTCGGCTCTTTCTCCTCGCTTTTATTCCCGGATATCTCGAAAGAAAGAAACAGATAGGATAATGTAGAAGGAAGATGGCTGTGGAAAAAAAAGGCGATAACCCGAAGGGTATGCACAACCGTTCCGTTCGCAATTCAAGATCCCATGTATCATTGACCCAGCCCATGCTGTCATTTCATTTTTTTTTCATCTAGAAAAAAAAAAAGAAGAGAGCAGAAATTTTATTTTTGCCTTCCCGACCTCCCAGAATCATTTCCAACGCAAGCAAACGTACATGGCCTCGAGCGGGAATAAAAGACGACGAAAAACTCGACGGGCGAAAAAGGAATCGTCCGCAACGCGTTTACCGGAGACGGCGGGCCTCTCTCTCGGACTCGAGAAGGCAGAGGATGTCGTCGACCTTGACTGTGGTGGCGGAAGAGTTCCTGTTAGTCCCCATGGCCTATTCTTGTGCATTTGTTGGATTCCGGGCTGGTTTCTTTTTCCTCTGGAGCGCGATTTCCGTCCTATATCCCGGTCCGATTGGAATCGCAGTTTGTAGTTGCCGTTGTGGTTGTAGTGTTGTTGTCGTTGTCCATGACCGTTCTTCCTTCTCCATTCGCGGGTCGAGACCCAAAACGCAATCCTCTTGTATTTCTCTTTCCGGTTCGTTGTCGCAGTCGGATATGTCGTTCGGGATATAGGGTGGGAAAATGCGCTCTCCGAAGCCAGAAAACCACCAGACCGAAGAACAGAAACAAAAAAAAAAATCTCAACCGCAGAACGAAATTCGCATACCTGGACCCTTGACGTTACGGATGATGCTGCGGGAAGTGTCATCCATGAACTCGACGCGGACCTGGGTGACACCACCACGGGAGCCTAGAAGCAGTTATTATCCCAGCCCAAAAAGCACAACATCCGCGCAGATGTTCCCTCTCTCTCTCCCTCCAATAATCCACATACCGGTACGGCCGAGAACACGAGTCACCTTGACGAGCTTAACAGGCTGCTTGGCGGAATCCATCTTGGAGGTTGGGCTCGACGACAGCGAGAGGGTTGACGGGGGGGGATAGAAGGAAGATAGGCGTTGGGGTTGGGTGGATGAGGCCGGAGAGGGTGGACGTGAAGCGAGTTGATTTCGGGGATTGTGTGGCTTTCTCTTTTGGGGATAACGCGGGAATCTTTACGCGAGGGTTCAGGGCTAATCGACACCTGGAAGTTCAGGCAGCAGTCCACTGCTAGCATGATTAGGTAAGGATGATGACTCCAGGGCTCAGGCACTAAGGCACTAAGGCACTAAGGTGCCAAGGCGGCACTTCCGGCAGCCAGGCACTCAGGCAGCATCCAGGCATACAGGCATTCAGGCAGGGACTCCGATCGCCGATGAAGTCTTTTGTCTTAATTGAATGCGCGTGGTTGAGGGCAATAGTCTGATTCGTAGAGTGTATCTAGACTCCCTGAAGAATTGTATCTACCTACATACAGATAGTATTTTCCGCTATATAAACGTCGTTGGACTCCAATTCCACCATTTATGCAGTTCTGCTCCTCACCGTTCGAGTCAGAATCTGAGCTCCGATCTCGTTCCTGGACTTCAGCCCACTCTTCCCCTCCAAGCACATCCGCGTCTCGAGCTTACCAGACCTTTCGGCTTTCTGAGATAATTGCAATTGACCTCTTGCAATCTACCGTTCTCCCATTCTCTATACAAATCTCCCCTCCTTCTACTCCAATCCGCCGTGACTCCCGTCGAGAAATCTCATTCACTACCCCGCGCCAAACGCTTTTCCGTCAAGATGGATCTCGTTAACCAGTATGCTACTCCTGTCTCCCACGCCATGACGCTATTTCGTGACTCAATTGCCCTGTGTGAAGTCAATAAGAGGCTAACCTCGATCCCAGCCTGGAAGGAAGACTCCTCTTCGCCGTCCCTAAAAGCAAGTAACCCTTGAGTCACCTCGACCCGCCAAATCGCACCTCCCTCCTCCCTTCGCTTCTCGTCCACTCGCAAATCAAATCAATTTCGTGAAATACATACCAGAAACGAAAATGGAATAGTACTAACTGAGTATCCTTCCAACAGAGGGCCGTCTGCAACAGGCAACCCTAGACCTCCTCTCCGGCAGCGACATCCAGTTCCGCCGCGAAACGCGCCTCGACATCGCACTGGTCAAGAACCTGCCCATCGCGCTCATCTTCCTTCCCGCAGCCGACATCCCGACCTTCGTCGGCGAGGGCCGCGTAGACCTCGGCATCACGGGCCGCGACCAGGTCGCCGAGCACGATGCGCAGATCCCCGACGGCGAGGTCTCGCGCGTCGAGGAGATCATGGACCTCGGGTTCGGCAGCTGCAAGCTGCAGGTGCAGGTGCCGCAGATGGGCGACGTCACGGAGGCGAAGCAGCTGGTCGGCAAGAATGTCGTGACCAGCTTCACGGCGCTGACGGAGGCGTTCTTCGCCGGGCTCGAGGGCGTCGCGGATGGGAAGAAGCTGCGCACCAAGATCAAGTATGTTGGTGGCAGTGTCGAGGCGGCGTGTGCGCTGGGTGTCGCCGATGGTATTGTCGATCTCGTTGGTATGTTCTCGCTTCTCCTCCCTTCCCCCAATCCCCTCTCTCTTCCAAGCAAAGTCTGCGTCAAGTGTTGTGCTGAACGAGTGCAGAATCCGGCGAGACCATGAAAGCCGCCGGCCTCAAGGCCATCGATACCGTCGTCGAGAGCACCGCCGTGCTAGTCAAGTCCAAGGATACCAAGAACCCCCTGGTTGACCTGATCACCTCTCGTATCAGTGGTGTTATCAGTACGTTTCTCCCCCAGTCCCATCTCCCCAAGTTCCTCTCTATGCCGGCCAATCTACTTACAACTTCACAGCCGCCCAGAGATACGTTCTGTGCCAGTACAATATCCCCCGTTCCGAACTGTCGGTTGCCTCGACCATCACACCAGGCAAGCGCGCCCCGACAGTCACCGCTCTTGAAGAGGAGGGCTGGGTGGCCGTCAGCTCCATGGTGGAGAAGAAGAAGATTGCCACCGTCATGGACGAGCTGTGCAAGGTCGGCGCAACGGATATCCTGGTCCTCAATATCGCCAACTCGCGAACCGCCTGAAACCAGCACCACCCGGTGTTTTTTTTTTTTTTTTTTTTTCTTTACAAAAGGGGCGTGATGTCTATAAGTGTCCATGTCTGATGCCTGTTTTCTTTCAAATATATTTTGGGTTTGGTTTTTTTTTTTTTTTTTTTTTTTCCCTCTGATTGTTGCTGCTGCATCTTTGGATATTTCTGTTTTCTTGGCGGATTGTGGGAAAAAAGATATAGACCATGATCGATTGCAAATAACGGGAGCAATAGCAATACCTGTCATCTGTACGCCTGTAGACATATGAATATGGATACCGGATAGAAATATATATAGCTCTATGTCTAATCTAGAACAGATTGGAGATGGTACTGTACAGGGACCCATGCCAATGCAAATGGCCGATGCGGCGGTCGTTATTCGTTTTATCGTCATCATGCAAACGCCAAATAGAAACACAGAAGAAAAGAAAAAAAAAATAGTGGTATCGAAGTGCCAGTGCCATAGTCAGAGAAGAAAGGGGGAAGGGGAAGAGGAAGAGAGAATATTTTCAAACCCCAACCCCGGTTATACAGACGGGCCACAGCCCACACCCTCGCTGCGCCCCCGGATCAAGGCCCGCAGACACTGGCCCACCCCCTCGAGGTCGCCCAGCAGCCCGACATGCCCGCGCTCGCTCTGCACCAGCCCGTCGCGGATCACGCGGTATCCGGGCGGGAGCATGGCGGCGGAGGCAAGGCAGACGCCGTCGCCGGCGGCGAAGGCGAGGTCGTCGTAGGCGTCCTGGTGCTTGATCTGCTCGCGGCCGGCGACGCGGGCGCCGTAGAGGGTGGGGACGGATTTGCCGTAAAGGACGGCGGCCGGCGGGTAGCGGTTGTCCTTGTGGAGGGCGGGGCGGAAGGCGAGCTCCTGCTTGAAGCGCTTGACTTCGGCGAGGGTGCGTTCGAGGTAGGCAAAGGCGGCGGCGCGCGGGATGGTGCACGTGGTGGCGGCGAGGCGGGGGTGGGCGCTGGCGCGCGGGTTGGCGGTCGGCCCGACGAGGCCGTCGGCGGTGGGAGCGATGGCGGAGGCCTTGTTGGCGACGTCGGAGATGGGGTCGGTGGGCGCCGCGGGGATGTCGGCGTTGCGTCGCGGGAGCGAGTCGGCGGCGGGTTCGTCGGGGCCGACGAAGTCCTTGCCCAGGACGGTGGAGAAGCGCTTGCTGATGTTGTCCTTGAAGCCGCGCAGGGGCGGGCTCAGGGGCGGGAGCGTCGGGCGGATGCAGGGGGACAGGCACAGGTCGTCCCACGTCTGGGCGGCGAAGAAGTCGACGCGGTACTCCTCCTTGGTGCGTTTGTCGATGAAGCAGTGGCCGTCCTCGGGGAGGAGGGCGAAGCTCGTGCGGAAGGTGAAGTTGACCTGCGCGGTGAGCACGCGCGAGCTGAGCAGGACCTCGTCGCCGTGGCGCAGCGCACCGAGGATGTTGACGCAGTGCTGCGGCACCCCGGCGTAGAGGACGCCGGCGAAGAGCTCGGGTCGCTGGTTGACGGCATGGCGGGTGATCAGGCCGCCCAGGCTGTGGGCGATGACATAGGCGCCTCGCTGGTGGCGCGGGACATCGGGGCTGTTCGACGGCAGGCCGTCGAGGAACTGGATCAGCTTCCGGGAGAGCAGGTGCGGGCTCAGCCGCCAGTCGTAGCCGTAGTTCCAGACGCGCAGCTTTCCGTTGGCCGCGTTGTCGGACTTTTGCAGGCGCTTCAACAGGCGGCGGCAGATGTCGACGGGTCCCACATGCGACAGCACCCCGGAGGGGATGATCGTCTCTTCCATGCGCTCCTCGTCCTCCGGGTGCAAGCCCACCTCCAGGTCCACCTTGCGGATGTTCAATCCGACCTTCATGGGCACCCATAACTGGCGATGCGGCGGCTTGGCGGATCGCAGGATCGATCCCCGGTAGCCTCCGAGGATGACGATGTCGCCGGTGAGCTCGTCGATGGCCTCCCTCAGGATGGGGTGCGTCGAAGCCGGGTTGATCCGCGGGGACTGTTCGCGGGGGGGCGGGATCTTCTCCTTGAGGACTTCCCGATGGGATCGTGGTTCGTCGGCCTCCTTTCGGTTGGCGACCTCGGCGAGAAACGGCTTGTAGGTCCATTCACTGCGCAAGTCCTGCAGATGCAGGGAAGGCATGCTAAGCAATCGGCTACTGGAATCCTGGATGCTGTCCTTGATCGCCTTGAAACGGCTGTTGACCTGGGCATGGATATGTTCATACTGCGGACGCTGGTCCAGCGACGAGGCGGTGGGCGGCGCCCTCAGGTACAGGGACTGGTCGGAGGAGGAGCGTTGCAGAGAAGCCGGCCGCCCGGAAACGGTACTGGGTCGGCGCGTGAAGGAATGGCGTGCGGCCAACGAACCGTTCAGAGGCTCCAACTTCGGAACCGGCTCATCCCTCGCGGACGGGTTGGGGTCCGGCGACGAGAAGGAACGCTGGCGCTGCAAATCCGCCGTCGCCCCGCCAGGATCCAGGCTCCTTCGCGGTTCGGGAGCCTTCCCCGTCTGGCTGCCGACCCGGTTGTGCGACGAGTTGGACCGAAAGGGCAGCGTAGACCGTTTCGTCAGGGACGTCAGATCCGGCAGGAACTTCTTGAGGTTGAGGTTCGACATGGCATCCCCGGACCAGGCGCGGGGCCGCGGCAGACCGTTCTTCAGGATGGACCGGGTGAAACTGGACCGCTGGCCGTCTTTGGGGGCCGCGGCCGTGTCCGCATGGGCCCCATTCTGGCGCACGGGATCTGGTCTCTGCACGGCTGCTGGCTCCGGATCGGGCAGCGACTCCGGCTCCAAGGTGATCTCCGGGAGAAACAGGGCGTCGGGGCCGGGCTCGGCGGCATCGGGAATGGTATCGAAGTAGGCGCCATGACTCTCCATGATCCGTGATTTCTCCTCTGCCGGGGTGAGACGGGCTTTGAGGCGACTCTGGGTTGGGCCGATGCTCACGCCTATCACCTGGTCGGCTTCATCTTCCTTGGCGGCGTCGTGGTCACCTTGCTCATCGCTGTCCGAATTGGACTGGGCAGCAGACGAATACCCTTCCTGGCTCGAGGAAGGGTCCATGATCGGATTGTTGCGCTGATCATGGCCATTGGTGGTGGTGGTGGTGGTGACCAGGGGAGCAGGCATTATCGAGGAACGACCGCAGTACGACGGCTGGCCATGCAGAGAGGGATAGGAGAAGAACCAAGAATCAATATACCAATAAAAAGGGATGTCGAGGAAGGAGTGTATGATTGATATAATAATATTGACAATTATTACTGGAATTTGGAATTTAAGTCCAAGGAAGAACCAGGAGGAAAGAGGATGATTGATGATTGAGTAGAAAGGGGAAAAAAAAATATAAGCAGAGAGAGAGAGAGAGAGAGAGAAGAGATTCACATGTGACGGACGAGCTCCAGTGGGAATTATTCTTCGTCCTGGAACAGCGTTAATAATAAGAAGAATATCAATTGCTGGACCGACAGAGGAGGAATAGGAATGATAATATTCTGGCCATCAAATTGATTTCTAAGAGTCGTAGTAGTTAGTTAGTCCGTCCTACTACTTACGACTTACGAAAGTTACTACTGCACAGCCCCCGGAGCAGCCGGAAAGCCTTCAAGACTCAATGAATCTTAATCCATGGAGAGGAACGAGACTAACGAGACTAACTCGTTCTTTCGGACTATACGCGATAGCTGATGCTGCTGCTGATGCTTAGCTCTTCTTGGCTTTTTTCTCTTTTTTTATGCGTTGGAAAGTGGTTCATCCAGAGAGGACGAGACTGAGGATCTTTGTATACCTAAGGCTAAGAGATCCATGAAGTCATTCCCCTTCTCGATTGAACCTTGTTTTTTTCATCTAATCGTCAAGCTCTCTTGTCGCCACTCCAGTAGACCAGAAGACAAGACACCAACAGCTGGCCACCACTTGTGGCTGATTTTCGGGGGACGATGGACGATGGCGATGGACAATAGACGATGGACAATCGATCCTTTTATCTAGCGCTCCGTAGGTTTGCTAATACTTTGCAAATATATATATATATATATATATATATAGAACAAATACAATCTCATGGTATCATCATCAATCGTCAACGGCATCTCCTTAGCGGGTCCCTCTCTGGCTACACAGATTCCCCGTCTGGATCTCTTGTTCGCCCCGGTTCGCAATCGCCTCATTCCTCGCCGCCCCTTCTTCATGGCCAAATGCCTTGTCGACAGCCGCATTCAGTGCTCCTCGGAGCGACTCTCCGGCACCCTAATACAAGTTCACGCGTGTCAACACAGCTTGATCTCTAGAATGTAATGTACACTTACGTGAATTCCCGCAATGGCCGACTTCACCCCCCGACCCACTTCCTCCCCCTTCGCCGCGGATTGACTCTGCCCTTCAGCGCGATAGTCCTGCCGATTGTAACTACCAGACGACGGCGTAGGCTGGGATCCGACGCCGCTACTCTTCGCATACCCGGATCCAGTGGAGGGGTTGAATCCCGAGACAGCGGGGTCATATTGCGCACGATCGTTCCCGGGTCCCGGCATGCCAGCGGCCCCCGTGGAGGATCCATGCGCGACTCCCGCTGGACCCGCCCCCGAAATATCCCTGGTTGTCTTGGTGGTGGTGGTGGTGGTGCCGGTCTGGCTGTCGACGCGGGGGTCGAGTGAGTTGGCGATGTTGGAGCTGTGAGGACCGGCGGTGTTGACGTTGGTTCCAGTGGGAGTGGTGGAACTGGGGTTTGGGTTGTAATCCACGAAGTTGGCGGATTGGTAGGGTGCTTGTGTAGTGGTCATGGTGGTGTCTGATGAAGTTCGGTGGGTATGTTGAAATCGAAAGTTAGTTCCTAAAAAGCATAAGGATGTTTGTTGATGCTGATGCTGGCCAGTGGGTTCTTCTTATATGCGATCTCTCGATGCTCAACGTCCATCGACATCATCGCCTCGGCGGGGTGACGTCAGGCTGATCCGGATGGATTGTATGGAGTCGCGAAAAGGCACCGGTTGAGTACTGTTCTCCAATGAATATGAATCGATTGAGATAGACTGCAGATGAAGCCAGAGGGAGCAGCAGCAGAGCAGCAGCAGAGCAGCCCTGGATGGTGTCTGACTGTCTGTCCCAAAGAGGAAGTCCTGTTATCGCGATAAGCAGGCTGCATAACTACGTCATAGTGTATAAAGGAGGAGTGTACAGTCAGCATGGGAATTATGCCGTCCACCGTCAACTCGAGATCCTTTTTTTTCACGTTGTTCCATCCTCCAGGGGTTCTAGATTTTACTGCATTCTGATTAGTTTCTTCTCTGATCTCTGCTAGTTAGTGCTACTACCGTGGCTCTTTTTTAAGCTCGTTGTTAACGCAAAGACCATGTGCCGAGGTACTTTTGCTGCAGCAACAAGAAGGGTGAGAGTGAGACACTTAGCCGACGCCTATATGTGAATTCTTCCCTCCCCCCTCCCTCCAAATCACTTCCCTTATCCTTCTTCTTCAATAAATCTCTTCCTTTAGTATTCACCATCACATTATACTCTCCCTGGTCAAAAATGCCCATCTCCAACAGACAGGTCATCTACGCCAACACGCCGTCGCCGGCCATCAACCCCTCTCTGAAAGATGGGACCTTCAAGCTCAACACAACGTCCATCCCAGACCAGATCCCCCATGATAAAGTCCTCGTGCGCGTGCATTACCTCTCTCTCGACCCGGCGATGCGCCAGTGGCTCACTGCCAAGCGGTCCTACATCGCCCCCGTGGAGCGCGGCAGCGTGATGCGCGGTCAGAGCATCGCCCAGGTGATCCGCGTCGGCCGCCAGCTGCAGTCGCAATACAAGGTCGGCGACTGGGTGGTCGCGTACTCCGGCTGGCAGGAGTATTGCCTGCTGGGACCCAAGGAGGCCCAGAAGGTGGTTGTGCCGCCGGGCTGTCTGCCCACCGACGCCATGTCGGTGCTCGGCATGACGGGGCTGACGGCGTACTTTGGCATGACCGAGGTCGGACAGCCCAAGGCCGGCGAGACGGTGGTGGTTTCCGGTGCTGCGGGAGCGACGGGTATGGTGGCCGGCCAGATTGCGAAGATCAAGGGCGCCAAGCGGGTGATTGGGTTGGCGGGGAGTGCGGATAAGTGTGCGTTCCTGGTGAAGGAGCTCGGCTTCGATGTGGCCATCAACTACAAGGATGCGGACTGGAAGAACCAGCTCAAGGAGGCGACGCCGGAGTATATTGATGTGTACTTTGACAACGTCGGCGGCGAGATTCTGGATGCGTGTCTTGCTCGCGCGCAGAAGGACGCGCGATTTGCCATCTGCGGGGCGATCAGCCAGTACAACTCGGCCAAGCCGCAGGGGCCGGCCAGCTTCATGAATGTCATTGTAAGTTTGCCCCGCTTGATGGGGGTGGTGGATTTTCCAAACTGACAGAACCGCAGTCGCAACGAGTGACAATGAAGGGATTTATTGTGTTTGACTACGCGAAGAAATACGAGATTGCGCTGAAGGACCTCTCGACATGGCTGAGCCAAGGGAAGATCAAGCGCAAGGAGCATATCATCCACGGAGGACTGGAGGCTGCACCACAGGGGCTGGTTGATCTATACAAGGGCGCGAATACGGGCAAGATGATGGTGGAAGTGGCGCCTGTGAGCGAGGCCATTGGCGAGAAAGCCCGACTGTAGTTTCTTTACCCCTTTATCTTGTATCTCAGGTTGGAATCGATTGTTCTTGATACTATTCCCCCCTTCTCCTGTGCTCGGTTCGTCGACATCATCTCAATGTCTACAATCCGACGTCATGCTGATGATCACCAAAGACAACAAGAAAACAAGCATTCACCATTTTCATCATCATAAGCTGAATAGAATCAATCGTCTATGAGCGATTTTTTTTCTTCTCTTGTGCAACCGGTGTTTTCTTTACAGAGCATTTGTCCTTGCTGCTGCTGTTGATGAGGATGATGATGATGATGATGCCCCAGGCTATTCCCCCAAGAGCTTCACTCTGCACACGCATTCGCCGACTATGGCTCTGTCATCAAGCTAGATATAACCAGAGTTTACGTTCATTCAGAACCACTGCAGGACATCAATCTTCCTCATCCACACCCAGATCCTTCACTACGACGCCAAACCGATCCGTCTCCGAAGCACTCAGAATGGAGGCCCAGCACAACAACCAGGCCTTCAAGCTGGAGAACCTCTTCAACGTCAAAGGAAAGGGCACGTCTCTCCCCCCCCCTCCACACACAAACGTCAAAAAAACTACTTCATACAGCTAATCCCGTCCAAGTTGCTCTCATCACCGGCGGCGGCTCCGGCATCGGCCTGATGGCCACGCAGGCCCTGGCCGTCAATGGCGCCAAAGTCTACATCACCGGCCGCACGGGCTCGAAGCTCGACCGCGTCTCCGAGCTCTACGGCCAGAACATCCGCGGCCAGATCATCCCGCTCCCCGCCGACATCACCGACAAGCAGTCGATCGCGCAGCTGGCGCAGGCGATCGCCGCGCGCGAGGACCACCTCTCCATCCTGATCAACAACGCCGGCATCTCCAGCCACCCGCAGAGCGCCGAGCCCCACGACGCGCCGACGCTGCGGCAGAACCTCTTCGACGACCCGCCGTCGCAGCCCGCGGAGTGGGACCGCGTGTTCCGCACCAACGTGGCGCAGCTGTTCTTCACGACGACGGCGTTCCTGCCGCTGCTGGCGCGCGGCACCGAGCGCGAGCGTGAGCGCGGCTGGTCCAGCACCGTCATCAACATCTCGTCGATCTCGGGCATCGTGAAGACCGCGCAGCACCATTTCGCGTATAATGCGTCCAAGGCGGCGGCGACCCACCTGACCAAGATGCTGGCGCGGGAGATCAGCTCGTCGAACCTGAAGATCCGCGTGAACGATCTCGCCCCCGGCGTGTTTCCCAGTGAGATGACGGCGGGCGAGAGCGACGAGAAGCAGAAGAGCTTCATCCCGCGGGAGAAGTACGAGCAGAAGGTCCCTGCGGCCCGGCCGGGTACGGACGAGGATATGGCCAGCGCCGTGCTCTTCACGGCCACGAACCAGTATCTCAATGGGCAGACGATTGTGGTTGATGGCGGGTATGTGCTTGCCGTTGGGAGCATCTAGGTCTAGGTCTAGACATAAGAGTAACCCGTCATAATGATATGGATTCGAGATTTTTTTTTTCTTTTTTATATATCGTACGGCTTCTCACCATCCCGTCTCCCCGGCATCACACACACCCACCCCATGCATCCACTCGGACCGAAGCACCTGCGACGCCGTGATGCGCCGCGCCGCATTAGGATCCAGCATCGCATAGACAGCATTCCGACACCGTTCCTGCGAGTACCTGTTAGCCTTCCTCCCCATTCCTCCCCATTCCTCCTCCAAAAAAAAAAGAAAAGATACATACCTCCCCCACCCCCTCCACCGGCTCAAACCCCTCCCCCTTCCTCCCATCCACATACTCCCGAAACCGCGCATCCTCCTCCTCGCTCGCCCGCCGCCACATCCCCCGCCGACGCCGCAGCGCCACGTACACCATGCCCGCCGCCCACACATCGCCCGCGCGCGGGTCCGCACCCGCCCCGCACAGCTCCTCCGGCGCCAGATACGGCACCGCGCCCAGGATCTTGCGCGGCGGCACATACCCGCGCACGCCCGGCGGCACATCATCATCATCATCGTCATCATCATCACCAGTACCAGCAAGAGCTGACACAGCATAGGTCTCCGAGTCGAGACACTGCGCACTCCCGAAGTCGGTGAGCTTGACGGCGCCGCGGGCAGTGAGGAGGATGTTCTCCGGGGTGAGGTCGCGGTGGGCGATGGCGCGGGCGTGCAGGTAGGCGAGGGCACGCAGGACCTGCTTGAAGAGACAGTTTGCTTCGGGGAGGGGCAGTGGGCGCGAGTCGCGGGCGAGGAGGGTCTGGAGGTCGCCGGCGGCGCAGTAGGGGGTGACGAGGCAGAGGTCGCCGCGGGAGTTGGGGAGGGCGTCGAGGGTGGGGAGGATGTTGGGGTGGGAGTGGGAGAGGGCGGCGGCGAGGACGGATTCGAAGCGGTGGTGGGTGGTGATGGAGGGGCGGGAGGAGGGACGGAAGATCTTGACGACGTGGAGCTGGCGCGGGGAGGGAGTGCCATTGGTGCCGGTGCCGGGTTTGGGTTTGCGGGTGTATAGGCGGACGGAGCTGTAGGAGCCGTAGTGGAGGATTTCCGTGCAGGTGCCGTACTTCTCCGTGAGGGAGGACGGGGGCGACGGGGTGGGTGTGATGCTGGAGTAGGAGTAGGTGGAAGAGGAGGAAAAGAGGAGCGGACGTTGTTCTGGCGTGCAGGAGTCCGGGGCCGACCAGCAGCGTTGGAGGATGTTGGGCAGTTTGAGCCCCTGGAAGGGGTTGAAGGGCTCGGTTGGCTCGTAGGAGACCAGATCATGCTCATGAGGGTCTATGTGCGGCATGGTGCATATGCAACTTCCCGTGGGATATGTTTACTGTGCGCTTTCAACCCGTGATAGATAGGTATCGCGAGACGCGTGTTATTTATAACCAAGGCGAAAGAGAGAGAGAGCACCACCAAGAGACTCTGACAGAATAGCCCCAGAGCTATTGATGATGCCTATGAGGTGATAAGAATCCAATCAAGGGGGTAAACAGCATCGGGAGGAGAGCAGGGGGAATTTTCGCATCTTCGATTTCATGGCTGTCCGCAGGGTTGAAAATGCCTCAGATTACCCGAACGGGTTGATCAGACGCCCCGTTGGCATATCTTCCCGCAAGGAAGATCCTCAATACCATGGCAGGATTGGCCGGATGGATGCGCTCATTGTACCTCTCTGTCGCCTATCTGCAGGTCGTGGGGATCCCCAGGAACTTGTGCCACCAGAGACATGCCAGGAGTCTACAAGATAAGCCAGAAGAGGTATCCGCATGTCCGAGATATATAAAGATAACCAGACGCCCCCGTCGCGGTCCTGGAGGAAGAAACGGGTTCCGTCTCGCCCCTTGAACAGCAAGCAATCCGCGCATCGTCATCCGTGCTCTTCCAGAGTACAGCAGATGGCTTTATCTTTCAGCAGACTCAGCTGTCAGGAACAGTCTTTGACTGTGGCCTCTGGTCCATCAAACCACGCAAGTGACAGACTCGCTTCAGAGTTCAGACAGGCCATGGGTGGACCATGGTCCAGAGCAATAGCGAACCCCCCCATCAGGGAGACAGAAACCTTCGCCTTCACTCGACTGCTCGCAACCGCACCATTCTAACTGACAGCCCCCCCAAAAAAAAACCGGTTGGGGGGGGGGGGGCCGAAACCGCTGCTGTGAAGATACAACCTGGGAAGTCAGCGCAATTCTGCACAGTGAGGCTCCTAATCTCAGATGTCATCTGAATGGAGTGTGATTTCCTTTTACGTACTGAATCCCTCTGCGATTTGTTCAAATAAAAGACTCAGCAACACTCTCGACAAAGGATGCAGCGGACGGTGCTAGTGTTGGGAATGCGGGATTTTCTGGGATGAACGAGAAGATGATGGCGATGAATGCTCTTCCTCTTCTTTCTTGACCGTGTCAGGAGAATTAAGCGAGATTTGCGATAAGAGCGAGTCATTTTCGACCAGTCCTGAGTCCTCGTCTCCTCGACCACACTTGTCCACACTTGTCCACGCACGGTTGAGCTTAATCTCGATACGGTTGTGGCTGGAGGCTAAAAATGGCTGCGGGATTTATCCTGGCCATGAATTCATTTCACTCGAAACGTGCTTTTGTCGCAATCCAGGAATCATCGACGGCTTTTCTGTGGAGGAGAAAATTCCCGCAAGTCTCAGCGAGAAAGTGCGAGTTTGAGACCAGCTCCATCATGGTTTTCATCAGTCTCAGCCAGGACTATCGAGAATAGGGTCGGTGATATTATCATTGTATCGTGAAATGGTAGCGAACAGCATCATATTCATGATATTCATGACTTTCACTCAGCAAACAGTGACCATGGATGGCACGCTCTCTGAGTATCGCCGTCTTCGCTCATCCGCGGTCGTGTCGTCTCCAGCATTGCTTCACCCCGGGCTGAACAGCTTGATTCCGCTGGTACTAATCTGATGGATCCAGTCTTTTCCAGATCAGTGAGCTGCTGGGTTGCTACTGCGAGATTTTCTTTTTTTTTCGCCTCCACAGCTCCTTTCACGAGGAGACAATCCAGTCACTCTCCCCATGCGGTAACCGAGATCGTCTGTCACCATTCTCCCCCCAATCCCTCTCCCTTTCCTGCGTCGTAGTATCCTCTGGCTCATTCACTGCGAGTTTTTCTCACTTTCTTATCCCTCCTGGGATTAGTGAAGATGGGGGTTCCTGGCATATAAGAGCGTTCCATGCCTCCTCAGAGAGTACTCCTGTGGCCTATCCATTCTTCCTTCCCTCCCCGACTGCCTCCGTGAGTGTACAAATCCTCGCACTCTCTGGATCTGCCCTTCCAATGGCTCAGCCTTCTTCCCCTGGTGCTTTGAAGCAAGATCTTGAATCGGGGTTGCAACACCCCGATGAGCCCTCCTCGGATGATCGAACGGGACGCGCACCTCGTATCCAATTCGGCGATGAGGTCCCTCCCGAAGAGAGAACCGGAGGAATTTACCATTCACGGCTCAATCGTCACCGGTCACTAAGCCGGGATAGCATCAAAAGCTCTCACAATGCGGCCCAAAACAACAAAACCGCCGGCATTCCCATCGAGTTCCGAACCCTCTCGTTCCAGATCTCTGAGTCCCAGCATGCAACTCAGGAGGTCATCAAGGAACGACAGGCCAAAGAAACCCCAGATCAAGACTACTTTGAGAGCCTGGACTACCACATTCTGAGCCCCGATCGGCTCACCCAGCAGCTCAATGTGGACGCCAGAACCGGGCTGAGCTCGTCGGCTGCGGCCTCCCGGCTGGAGCGGGATGGCAAAAATGTCATCGCTCATCACCGTGAGAACTACCTCAAGAAGATTCTCTTGTACATTTTCGGCGGCTTCTGCTCCATCCTGTGGATTGGTGTCATCATCTTCTTCATTTGCTGGCAACCCCTCAGCGACCCGCCCTCCGTTCCCAATCTGGCCATGGCCATCCTCGTCCTCATTGTGATCTTTCTGCAGGCAGGCTTCTCTGCCTTCCAGGACTGGTCGACCAAACACGTCATGAACTCGATTCTCAATCTGTTGCCGTCCGAAGCTCTTGTTCTGCGAGACGGCAAGCAGGTCCGCGTGCCCTCGACCGATCTCGTCGCTGGCGATATCGTGCATGTCTCCATTGGCGACAAAGTCCCCACGGACATGCGTCTGATCCAGACTTCGGGAGACGTTCGCTTTGACCGTGCAATCCTCACGGGAGAATCCGATGAGATCGAGGGCGCAATCGACTCGACGGACGCCAACTTCTTGGAAACGAGAAACATCGCTTTCATGGGAACCAGTGTCACCAACGGTAATGCGGTCGGGGTGGTCGTGCTCACCGGCAGCCGGTCTGTCATGGGCCGCATTTCCAAAATGACCACCGGAGTCAAGGAGAAGCCCACCCTGATCCAAAAGGAGATCACCCGTTTCGTGACCATCATCATCGGTCTGACCCTCACCCTGGTCTTGGTTATTTTGTTCACCTGGGTTGGATGGCTGCGCGTGGACCACTTCGAGTTCATGAACGTGGTGGCCATGTTGAACAACGTCATGGGCTGCGTGGTCGCTTTCATCCCCGAGGGCATGCCGGTCGGAGTCGCGCTGACCCTGATGATGGTGGCCCGCCGCATGAAAGCGAACAACATCCTGCCCAAGGGGCTCGCGACGGTGGAGACCTTGGGGTGCGTCAACGTCATCTGCTCGGACAAGACGGGCACGCTGACGCAGAACAAGATGTTTGTCAAATCCCTGGGCCTCGTTGATCAAGAACTCCAAGTCGACCAGCTACAGGGTGGCCAGGCGGCACTGAGCAGTCTGCTCCGGGGTTCCTTCCTGTGCAATGATGCCTCGTTTGACCCCGCGACCATCGCGCTGCCCGTCAACGAGCGAGAAGTAACGGGCAATGCGACGGATGCCGCCGTCCTGCGCTTCGCCGAACTCGCCCAGCCCAACGGTCCGTCGCAGTACGAGCAGTACGAAAGAATCCATCAGATCCCGTTCAACTCGAAGAACAAATGGATGCTCACCATGCACAAAGACCCCCAGCACGACACCGGCTACCTCACTTACGTCAAGGGCGCCCCCGACGTTCTCCTGCCCCGATGCACGTCATACTACTCCGGCATCGACAACCGCGTCAAACCCATGGACGAGGCCGCCCGGAGGATGTTCTCAGAGTTCCAAGCCTCGCTGTCCAGCCGCGCGGAGCGCGTCATCGTGCTCTGCCAGCGACACTACACCCCGACGGCCGCCGTGGGATCGAACGAATTCAACGACGAGATCCTGGCGCAGGGCGTTCAAGACCTCACGGTGATCGGGATCTTCGGCATCATCGACCTGCCCCGGCCCGAGACGGCGGCGACGATCGCGGCGTGCCGCGGCGCAGGCATCCGCTTCTTCATGGTGACGGGCGACTTCGGGCTGACGGCGGCGGCGATCGCGCGCGACGTGGGCATCTTCACGGGCACGGCGGCGCCAGACACGATCGACGACCTGCGCTTGTCCACGAGCGACGAGGACAGCGAGAAGCAGCAGCAGCAGGTCGCGCGGTCCCGGCGCAGCCTCCTCATCGACGGGCCGCACATCTCCTCCCTCACAGAGGAGCAGTGGAACACGGTCTGCCAGTACGAGGAGATTGTGTTCGCGCGGACATCGCCGGAGCAGAAGTTCCGCATCGTCGAGGAGTTCAAGGCGCGCGACAGCGTGGTCGCGGTGACGGGTGACGGGGTCAACGACGCGCCGGCGCTGCGCACGGCGGACGTCGGCATCGCAGTGGTGTCCGGCAGCGACGTGGCGATCGAGGCGGCGGACCTGGTGCTGCTGGACCGGTTCGACTCGATCGTCGACGCGATCCGGCTGGGCCGGCTCGTCTTCCAGAACCTGCAGAAGGTCATCGCGTACCTCCTCCCCGCGGGCAGCTGGTCCGAGATCTGGCCAGTGCTCATGAACGTCTTCTTCGGAGTGCCGCTGCCGCTGAGCTCGTTCCTCATGATCATCATCTGCGTCTTCACCGATCTCTTCCTCTCGCTGGCCCTCATCATGGAGAAGGAGGAGTTCGACCTCCTGCGCCTCCCGCCCCGCAACCACAAGACAGACCACCTCATCAACCTCCGCATCTACGCCCAGTCCTACCTCTTCATCGGCGTCATGGAGGCCTTCACCGCGCACGCCATGTTCTTCCTCTACATGTACCGCGCCGCCGGCATCCCCTTCCACGCCCTCGTCTTCGCCTTCGAGGGCTACGCCGACGGCTTCTACGGCTACTCCGCCGACGAGCTCACCTTGTTCAACAACACCGGCCAGGGCGTCTACTTCGTCACCCTCGTCATCCTGCAGTGGGGCAACATCCTCGCCGTCCGCAACAAGCGCCTCTCCATCCTCCAGGCCGACCCCTTCTTCCGCGCCCGCCGCCGCAACCCCTGGCTGCCCCTCGCCATGCTCGTCTCGCTTGCCATCGCCATCTTCGTCACTGAGGTCCCCGGCTTCCATACCCTGTTCAACACCGCCCCCGTGCCCATCGAGTACTGGCTCATCCCGCTGCCGTTGGCGCTGGGCATTCTGTGTATGGATGAGATCCGGAAGTTGCTGGTGCGCTTGTTCCCGACGGGCATTGTGGCGCGGATTTCATGGTGATTGTTTTCTGTCTGTTCTTTTTTTTTTCTTTCTATCAATTCTACATGGGTACTAGTATAGATATTGAGCTCGCCCGCAGCTAATGGGAGCCAAAAAAATAAAAAGTTTACTCGACTCAACATGATTGATGATTATGAAGACAAAAGTAGCACACGCCATGCCATGCCATGCAACATCTTTACCCATCTATCTAAAGCGACTCGACTGTTCTCCACATGTAGACTAGACTAGACTAGACTAGACTAGATCAGATCAGTTGTGAAGACAGTCGGGTGTCGGCTCGAAAACTAAACTATAAGAAAAAAAAAAAAAAAAAAAAATAGGTTGGGGTTTCCCAGAACCGCCAAGTGAAATAAATATATCCAACGAAGGAGAAGGAGGTTAGAGAGAAAAAAAAAAAAGAAAATGAACAACACAAGAACAGACGCAAATCGATACAGAGAGCTAGAAGACGAACAAACGACACTACACTAGTAGACACAAAGACACAAACCAGGGGGCGAAAAATCTAATCCCGCACTTTGCCCGCTTCGCGCACCTCGTTCATAAACCCATCCTCGTCCCCTGCCGCGGTGAGTATCCAGTAATCGCCCGCCTCGGTGCTGGCGAATTGGCCGCCGCCGAAGCCCGTCGCCGGGGTCGGGGCCGCGGGCGCGCTGTGCCGTGCAGCAGGCTTGTTGCTTCCGAGGTGGTGGGGGCCGGAGCCGAGGATGTTTCGCACAGCGGCACGACCCTGGTCGTCCGGCTGGGTGAATCCAAACAACTGGGGCTGCAAGCAGCCGAGGACCGCGACGGCGGCGCGGATCATAATGCGATCGCCCTCGAACACCCAGCAGTCCCAGACGCGGCTGATGCGCTCGAGGTCCAGGCCGTTGGTGAGCAGGCAGCGGAACATGGGCTCCCAGATCTCCTCGTCGCTGAGTTGCAGCGTCTCGGAGAGGTGGGTGGCCAGGCGGGGGAACTTGTAGCGGAGCGTCGCAGACGCCAGCGAATACGTACGCCCGATAGCGCCGCGGTCCAACGTGAGAAAAGCGACGGGTAGTGGGCGGTTGAGCACGTTGGCCATCGCAAGGAACGCGGACGAGGGGGAAGGGAATTGGAGCACGAGAAGGGCGCCAATGGTCTATCAGGCGGGTCTGTTTGTTAGTGTGCTGGAGTCTCAAGACCGGGCAGTCGAATGGAGCTTACGTGAAGGCCGCTGACGTATCCCACGTCGCTGCGATACATGGAGTACGCCTCGAGCACATCGATCAATGTATCGCGCAGTGGACCGTTTTCCTGGAAGAGGTTTAGATCCGGAAACGCGGTGGAGACGTCGGCCTCGATGGCATCGAACCACTCGCGCATGCGCTTGTTGCTCTCGCCCGCCTCGCTGTCCGATTTCGCGCGCACGTCCTTGGCCCTTTGCAGCGCCTTTTTGTACGTCTCTTCCGAAAGCGAGAGTTCGTTGCCGATGGCGCGCTGCCAGGTCAGGCCCCGATGGCGGGGAGGCACGCCACGCCACCACAGCTCCCGCGTCCGGGTCTCGTTGACCGCGCGGTCCCAGTTGGGAAACACGTACTCATCCCAGATGCGCTGGAGAGCCTCCCGCGTGTTGTCCTTTTCGCATTTCGCTGAGGCGGCCTTGGCGGCTCGGCGCTTGTCTATGGGCACCTCTTGTCAGTTTCCCGCAAACGTGGCTGCCAAAGTGTGGACTATCAACAAGACGAACCTGCTTCTCGCGACAGCGCCATCATCCTCTTGTACTCTTTGAGATGCTTCCTCTCCTCCTTTTGATCCTTGGGCGGGAGCCAGCTCGGCCGGGTTCGCGTCAGGACCTTTTCTTTTTCCTTGCTGATGGGCAGCGGGTCGATCATGATATTGGACTTCTGCAGCGGAGGCAACTCGATGGTCGTCTTGGAGTCGCGCTTCGATTCCGCGCTGGACCGCAACGAGGAGATGCCGTTCTGCAGGTTCTCCGCGCGCTGGCGCTGGCGCTCATCTGCGTGCCACTCCAAGGCCTCGGTGATAATCTTGGCCTCTTCCGAAAGGTCGGACATCATGTTGTTGTACGAGTAGATGCGGGGATTGCGAGGCGAGATCTGGCCCCGCTCAGGACCCGCGGAGCTGGAGCGCACTATGTGCCGGTTCGATCGAGACGCTTGCGGGGACTTGGGACCCGTGGTCAACAGTCCGGACATGTCGGACACGGAATGCGAGAAGGGTAGCGGACGCGGCGCCGGACTGCGGCCTTCGGGACTTGTGGCTCGCGACGAAGCTCGATCCTGCATGGGCCGGGGGGAGATGGGTACATTCCACAGGCTTGTATCGTCGGGCAATTCCTCGTCCGATTCATGATATTCGGCCTCCAGCTCCTTCAGGGTCTTGCGGGGTGATCGCTGCCATGAATTCCTGCGGCTGAGGGAAGGGCGGCCATTGACGGGCGAGACCGCCAGGTTCTGCGCGGAGGAGGGCGACGTGCCCGTCTTGGGCGGTGTGGGAAGCGGCGAAATGGATCGCGGCCGATGCGGTCTGGACGGCTGGATCGGTAACGAGGGGGGACCGGTGGGATTGGGGGTGCGGTGGTTGTTGGCCCGGAGCTTGGAGCTGCTGCGCTTCGGCCGGGCCAATGCTCCAGTCACCTGCTCTTTCAGCGACGGATAGGGTGTTCTTGTCGGTTTGACGGTCGACGTCAAGTCACGAGTGGTGGTGATCGGAGCCTTGGCCTGCAGCCTGGCGGTTGCGGAACGTGCCAGCACGGTGGGCTTGCTGTAGGCCTCGGTGATGCCATTCATGTGCAGATCCGCGTCATCTTCCAGACCGATCTCCTCGAAATTATGGATATCGGTGAAAATGGTATCGGGACCGGAGAGCTGGGAGGATCGGTAGGAGGAGGACTTGGAGGACTTGGACCCCGATAGCTCGGGTGGAGAGTTGGGAGTCGGACAGATGGTCGTCATCGCATGTAGCGAGTTGGAGAGATCGGACAAGAGCAATTGAGAAAAGAGAGACCGGTTATAATATCAGGGAGCTTTGAGAGTGGCCGTAAGTGGTGACCAGCCCCAGAAGAGGGAGTGAGAGGAAAAGGAAAAAAAAAAAAAAAAAAAAAACCAAAGGCAATAATAAATTCGATCTGCAGGAGAGAAAGGGTTTCCCCGACTCCCGAGTTGGTTATATCCCCTTAGTGCAGTCAGGGAGGGAGTTGGCAAGCCAAGTAGCCAAGTACGACTGCAGAACGACAGATCTAGAACGAGAGGGAATTCTGGGGGGGGGGGGTGGCAGAGACAGAAAGGGATCGTCGAGTAGAAGAAGGGGGGGTTGTGGAATTATTTGAAGCAGGAGAATGAAAGGAGGGTATTCGGGGTTGCCGGAAACAGGAGAGAGAGAAAGAGAGAGAGAGAGAAAGAGAGAGAGAGAGAGAGAGAGAGAGAGAGAGAGAGAGAAGAAAGGAGATGAAGGTATAACGAGGGAGGAAGCAGAAGAAGAAAAGAAGAAGAAGAAGGTCGTCTAGCGAAGGACAGGGGAAAAAAGCAACGAAGGAAAAGAAAGGAAAACGAATGGAGGATGATGATGATGATAGATGGTGATGGTGATGATAATAGTTAGTAGTGATGGATTCGGAGAGATTATTATTATTATTATTATTGAGAGAGGAAGAAGAAGAAGTTCGTCTTTTCTTGATTCCCTTTAGCTAGGAGGAGTTAGTACTAGTCAGGAAACTAAGTACTCTTAGCTACTTGCAAGTGGTATGAGTGCACACTACTAGGGTAGTACAGCCTGTACAGGACTACAGGTACCTCGAGGTACTCCATAGTCATCCTTCCATCTCCATCTGCATCCCCTTATCCTGCCTGACTTTTGGGGAAGAACAGCACATTGCAATGCAAACAGCAGACGGTCGATCTCTCTACTGACTACTGACTACTAGTAACCTACTCACTCACGTCCATTGCATGCAAACAGCGAATCCACACATGGGAATGGGAAATCTCCTTTTGAAGCCAATCATCGCTGCTGCAGACGGCCTGAAAATTACACGCCCTGTTTCAGGTTTAAATGGATGTTCTTCGTTGTCCAGACAGTCCAGGCTTACAGAGTCCAGGGGTCTAGGACTAGGACTCTAGGACTCTAGGACTCTAGGACTCTAGGACTCTAGTAGACTAGTAGACTCGTAGTACCCCTAGGGAGGTGGTCTAGCTATTATTATGATGATGATGATGAATTTATGATTTACTATGTACTACTCCATATACACACGCACCCTGCGACCAGCGCCACAGCACAGATAAGTGCGGGACGGACGCCCTCCACTGTGGCTGACTGCATCATCAATCTGAAATCAACAACATTGGATGGGACAAGGAGGAGAAGAAGAAGAAGAAGAAGAAGAAGAAGAAGAAGAAAAGGGAAAAAACAACTTGCGACTATTGACATATTTCCGCATTGGAGCAGCTAGGTTCCATTTGCCTCCCCCTTTTCCCAGCGTCCCGTGGAATGGGTGAGCGCTGGAAACGGTTCTTTCGTTGACCAACCATGGGCTGACTCCAAGGCATCAAGGCAGTAAGGCAGTAAGGCAGTAAGGCAGCGATCCAATTCGCCCCCCGCGGTTTGTATCCTTCTACCAACTTGAGTATTTATCCTTACTCCTCAGATATATATATATACTTGATTGCTGTTCTGATTGGGATAGTGCTGAGTAGTCGACTAGTAGTAGATAATAAGCGAGGATAGTTCATTCAATGATCGCCGGGATATTGTCCAACTAGCTAGCTAGTTAGTTAGCGAGCTATTTCCGGTTTTCTCCCTTGACTCTCCTCTCGCTGCCACTGCGAGTAAGGATGAGGTCAGAAGGGCGCTCGGCCAGCCGATTACATCATCCCATTCATCGTGACCAGCATCCACATCCACATCCCACGACACCGCAAGGAGAACCAATAATCGCAGTCAACGCGTCGAAAGGGCTCCTTGCAAGGCGTCTAGGGCGCTGGGTGCTAGCGCCCATCCCCGTCAAAACCGCCAGCCCGCAAAACTCGCATTGCCCTGCCGCACCACCTGCGCCAGCCGCATCGCCTTGGCACTCGACGGCGGCCGCGCTGCTTTCCACACCTGCTCCAACCACCGCAGCACCCCTGCATACTTGGTCTGCTTGCGACCCAGCACGAACCGGAACGCCGCCGTCGCTAGGTACTGGACCTGGGCGCCCTGCACCAGACACAGGGACGGCGAGCCGGGCCCGCGCGCCGTGTGCAGCTCGCGGCGGGCGCCGACCATCCGATGTGCCAGGTACATCAGGTCGCGGATGACGCGGGCCATGACCTCAGCCGTCGGGTGCGCCCGCCGCGGCAGCGCTTTCATGTACTGGTACATCTTCATCGCGGCGGTGACGAAGCTGGCGTAGAGGTTCGACAGCACCGCGCTGAGCGAGTTGTGCTGCGTGTCCAGGTACATCGGGTGCATCTGCAGCTTGAACGCGGAGAGCATTTTGCGGTGCAGCGAGCGGCCCGGCGCCCGTGCCGACTCCACCGTCAGCGAGCTGGCGAGCGTCGCCGCGGCCGAGTCGCCGCCCTCCACCACCCGCTCCGGGTCCCGGTAGATCTCCAGCGTGGCGGTGTTGATGAGGCTTCCGCAGTACGGGAACAGGGCGCTGTCCACGAGGCGCGGGATCTGGACCCCGTCCACGGCCGCCGCGAAGTTGACAAGGCTTTTGGCCGGGTTGACCGTGATCCCGTACTCGGGCTGTCCCTTGAGCATCACCTGCAGGAACCGCATCGCCAGGCTGGAGTCGGTCGTGACAAGGAGGAAGTCATCGATCAGCCGGAGCAGCACCGACTCGTCTGACTGCAAAAACCCAAGACACTCCCGTTCCATCCGCGCGTAGAACAAGTTGCACAAAACGCCTGACAGGATCGAACCCTGAGGGATGCCGTTCCGCTGCCGGAAATACTTCTTCCCCACACGCACCAGATTGTACCGGATGTGCTCGTCGAGGAGATCTAGCAGATAGTCCCCGGAGTATTCCTTATGCGCCACCGTATCCACGAAGACCGTGTTCCTGCGGTGGCTGATCCCGCCTTCCGCAATGGCTTCTGTGAGATCCTGCGAGTTCGTCACGGGTGCTGCTCTACCCACGTATTTGCGGAGCGCCTTGCTCTGCTGAGATTCGTGCAGCGGCCACATGCTGCTGAATTCATCCGACGGCCGGACTTCGACATGTTTCGCAACATAATACCCTTCCTCCGAGACGAGGCTCTCGACCAGGGGAACCAGGTTTTCCTGGGGAATAGTGTCAAAGCAGGACTGAATGTCCACCTTGACAAAGTACAAGTGGGGCCGGGGGTGGCCTGCATGCTTTTGAGTCAGTCGCTCTTTGAAGCCCTTGAGCCGGGTGTGGATTTCTCCAACGAAAGACAGCGCTGCCCCCAGACTGTCGGGATTCCGCCTCTTCTCGTAGTTCAAGACATTGAAGACAGGTGCGATCGTCGAGTTGATGCTCGGGCCCAGGAATGGTGCCTTCCCCGCCCAGCCTGGTTTGAGCATCCGCCGTCGAAGATTCAGGATCGGACGGACTCCCGTTGTTTTCGGCAGAAGCCGCAGTGAGCTATACCCCAGGGATCGGCTGCTGAGTCTCCGCTCCGCGACTCCTCGCTTCATTTCCTCGAACAAAGAAGTCTTGAATTCTGCCAACGGCTGCTGGGTCAACTGCCGCCACACGTCATGGCGGAAATAGAAGAGTCGATTGCGATGAGACTGCGATTCGGTAACATAGAAGTTGGAACGGATCAAGGGGACCAGAATCGATTCGAAGATGTAGTAGATGAATTCGTGTAGGAGCTCTGTCCGTTTCCGCAAGTCTGATAATGACATTTTGGGCTGCGAGGAGCCTTCATCTTGCTGATTTGCCGGATGTCCAAGCCAAGGCATACAAGTAATCTGTGCATGTCAGTTGTATTCCTCGGGACGTTCACAGCACGCCTAGGTCCTGTCCTCAAACGAACCTTGATGCCCTTGCAAACCTCATGAAGGCTCAGACTTTCAAACCTCCGCATTCGCACAAAACGGTCAACATGCCTGAAGACGATATCCTGGTTGCTTCTCTGATGGCAGCCTGTACCGTAGAATCGTGGCGGGACCAACTTCCGCAGCGCTGCCCGACAAAAGGCTGATACCGAGGAGCAAGGTGTGGCGTAATCTATCAAACAAAGCTTTGGCTTAAGGATCTTCGACACGGTCGCTTCGGCTTTGAATGTGGCGACTGAAGGAGTCTCCTGGAGGTGAGATAGCGGAGATGCATGTGCAAATGAGCCCTGAGGGCCTCGTCTTTGAGTGACCAAAGACTCCGATATTGCTGTGCCTGACGGGTGACTGGTCTGAGAATCGGTGGGACCAAGTTTCCACGGCCCCGTGTCCTAAGGAGTCAATACACACATCACCCAGCAGGAGGGCTCCACGTACCACTGGCGGACAATAGTAGTTCAACAGTTCCGTATACGGACAGCGACGATTCCGATTCTGCAGCTGTTGAACCAGTTCGCAGGCCTTCCCACGAAGCCTCTTGGGTATATCAATGAACTCTTTCTGGTCTTGGTAGTGGTTTGTAAACTCGGGGCCGATGCGTCGACGCTGTTTACGTCTCTTTTCTTCGATCTCTTCGATCTCAGTCTCGCGAGAGAAGTAATCTTTGAATGGCAAGACGGTTTCACGCGAGTCGGTCACAGAAGTAAACACGTTATGCAGACCAAATTGTCGGGGGAAGATGTACTTCAGGATATGCACTGTCTGAGACAGCGAGTCTGATCGAGGATACCGATTCAGGACGTCTAGATTGATCGTGAGCGTTGTGGTCGGTGGAGCAGCGCTGAAGTCACTCACGAAGGGCTGACAACCCGAAATGGACCTCCCCTCTCGAGTTCAGAATTGGTTTTGCGTAGAGCATACGTCGCCGAAAGAATACAACACTGTTCGGTTTGTGCGCGATTCCTTGATCACTGCTCCTATTTTTCCTGGCTACATTGCTCCCTGCCGCCAAAGAGGGCTTTGAATTGGCGTTCGGGACTTCCAAAGGTGACTGATTCTGGATGGGTTCAAGACTTGATAGCGGAAGACCTATACTCATCAATTCTGGTGTTGCATATACGCCTTGCTAGCAGAGCTTACCACTGATCTGGTAATATATCCCCTTGCGGTGGTCGATGGCCATGAAGATGCCACAATCGAATAAGAGCCTCAGCATGATCTCCTCCCCGTTGCCTCCAAGAAGACCCAGAACATCGGTCCAGGGCGCCTGCTTGAGGCACTGGACATTCTTGTTAGGATACCGTCTAGCAAGGCCAGGAATACTACTAGCCAGCTTGACGTCTGGCCCACCAGCCCGTTGAAACCCGTGGGTCAACAGGTGTTGAGGTTTCTGGTATGAAAAGGCATGGCGATTGAAAAGAGCGGATATGACGAAGTCCACGATCTGAATGTTGATTAGAATTGACCATAATATGGGAGGGCGACGAGCTGTCAATTGAGCCTTACCTCTGACTGCGCACATGGAGGTCCAACATCCGTACTTGGAACTTCGGATCTACCCTGTGACTGAGATTGAGAATAAGATGCGAAATCCCGCAGTCGCTCTTGGGTCACTGTAGGCGATGACTCTTTCAAGACCCCGACCAGTGTGGTGTCCAGGATATCGGCGAGACCTTGAGCATGGTACCCCCTCACACCCCTATTCTTCTGCTTCTCCGTGGAGGTAGCCCCCTGCACTGAGGTGATTCTCCTCCGCCGGGATTTGGAAGAGACGGGGATCTGTTGCAGCAGATACTGCCGCAGCGTCACGACCCGGTGATAGTATAGCGAGATGACCGGATGCGAGTGTCCAGATCCCTCGTATGCGTCTGTGGCATGATGACTTCTGACACCATTGGGGCCGCCGGCGAGGCGTTTCTGCGCTAAGTCTTCTCCTGCACCACTATCCTTGCTGGGTCTTTTCCGTTTCTTACCCATGGCGGATGGAGTGCTAAAGAAAGATGAATCAGGCGGTTGTCTGACTGAGGTTTCAAACTGATACAAGATGATCACTTCACAGCCTCATGGCCGTGGAGTGTGCTCCTCATTGAATGACTACATGCGACCTGAAGTAGATGATGGGACACGCGACCGGGAACGCGTCCAGCAACGCGACTTCCATTACAGATGAATGCATCTACGTCAGGTGATTGTCCATCCGATCAACTGAAACGCTCATGCACGACAATAACAGACAAATTTCTTTCCTTTTTTTTTTTTACAAACAGAAGATTGCGAGAGTAACTCGATAGTATTCTGTGGCCGTCCTCCTGCTCTTGATGGTCTCATCAATCCATCCTGTCAGATTTGGGGCGGTCTCCACAGAGGGGGGAACTCCTGTCACACTCGATGTTTAGGGGCGGGAACTGTATAGTTGTTTGAGGAACAAAGTGACAGGATGGAGGTACTAGAAAAGCCCCTAGAACTTTGATGTACACTCGATATGTAGCAATTAAGAATGGTCCTTTGTCCTCGCAAGCGGTTGTAGATTATTCGAACTATCTAGTGGCGGTCGACGAAGCGATATATATCTACGGAGTACTCCGTACTGTGTACTGTGTATGTTGAGACCATCCTGTAGGATTGGGACGGCAGTCCAATGGCCACCAAGTACTCATTCTCATAGGACCTGGATAATATTAGAGGGCGTCAAGATTATTACTTAGATTTGATATGACACCTCACAGCCAAGATCCATATCCATCCACACGATCGCTAAGAATCGTCTCGAATCTCGACCGTATCGCCTGGTTCATCATGATGATGGCATCTATGCACATACGTAAGTAGATCCTACCTAAATAGATAGGATACACCGGAGATAATCATCTCGCAATTACTCGCGAATGACGACCACAGATGAACATCTCTTCACACTCCTGGTAGATAGATATCGCCGTCGTAACATCATTATTATACCTATTCACTCGGGATCAGCCTGATCATCCCTTCTCTCCCGCACAGACTCAAGCCAGGGAGCCAGACCTGTGGAACAAAATGATGGTCTAGAAAAAAGTCGCAGGCTCGCGGCGCTAACAGCCTACTGCCTAACAACCATGATACAGAGTAATATGTAGTAACAGACTGTCGGTAACTCGGGAGTTGTCCTACGGCTAAGAGCGTCAGAGGGCTTTTTTGGTCGGTTGGATAGTGGACTGGACGGAAATGTCGAGAATCGCAGCGGTGTGACTTGAGCAAGAGGGGAGTATGTCCCTTATGTACCTCTGTATGCACTATGGATGTACTGGACTGGACTGAACGCACCAAATGCATATAATATCGGGTAGATACTAGATAGTCAGTCAGTCAGACGTCTAGACAGGGAGAGATGAGACATTGGCCCAGCCCAAAGATAGACAGTCAGTTTCCAAGGAAGTAGGTAAGTAGGGATACGGAGTCTGGGATGATTTATTGACAATTATCAGGAGACGACAGGGTCATAGGGGTGGTTTGACAGTTGACAGTTGCATATTATTATTATTTTATCTAGTAATAATAATAGTAAAACTGTAGAACTACTACTACTAACTGGCTGTAGGTCAGAAGAACCTGGTTACTTAATATTGATAATAATAATATTAATATTGACTACTACGGAGTACTCCATCTCCTACTGTGGATGTGGCTTACTGGCTTCCGATGTGGTCCGCCATGGAATTAACCTAAGGATGGATTTTCATCTATTTCATGCAGTCAGGAACATTCTAGCCTGGGGTTTTCTCTCTCTCTCTATGCATTATTATTAAGTAGATATACAGGAATAATGATTATTGATTGGAAATGACTAGGGAACTGGTCTCTTTGTACTCTGTATGCTGATGGGATAAAGAATTCCTCACTTCTAACCTACATAAGTACCAAAAGGATTGGTGGAGTGTTCTCATCGATTCCCTGGAATCTTCCAATTTGACACATCCACAATACTGCAGTAGTGCAGTTGCATCGTACATACATAATTATCGATGAGATGGATCACTTCAGTCCGGAGGATTCAATTTCGTACATTGCATCCAAATGCCGATAGATAGATAGATAGGTAGGTAGTCTCCTGTAAATTCTGCATAGTAAGAGTACTACTGTATGTGTATGGATATTTTGGCCACTATCATTGTATCAACTACCCACGGAGTAGTTAGAACTCCGTAGTGGGATAGTTGGGATCGTCCAACAGACCAACAGGGACGATCCAGTCGAACAGATCGGAGATTTGCCCCCAGTACGGAGTCGTTATTGATTCATATTGACTGAAGCTATTGGTATGATGATTTTTCATCGGTATGATTTCGGAACCCCCGTGTGGACTGCGGATGGGACTGTACCTCAGTACTCCCTCTATAGCTCTATAGCGACAAACCATTTGAGCATTTGAGCATTATTTGAGCGAATATTGCCGACTGACTACTATCTAGTAGTGAGAAATCCCGATTGTGTTGTTCTTCGAGAATCGAGATTGTTCCGTGATCATTGATGCTCTCGAGCCTCTAGCCTCTTTCCCTTTGCAAATCATCGCCAATAATAGCCTATCAAAGACTCCACTTGTTTCTTTCTCTTCTTCTTCAGTAATCGTCGTGTCTGTGAAGATGCACTATCAACCAAGGATCCAGGAAACAAGGAACCACTTTTCCTACCACAAAACCTGAAGAACTAGACCGTTCCTTGGGGAGACAATCAATCAATAATAATAGTGGTACCCAGTGGTAGAAATCAATTAAATATCACCTCCCAGGAACCACGGTACCTGAGTCGTAGACAAGATCTCTACAGAGTAGGTCGTCTTCTGCGCCTTGTCTTTCAACTCTCGACTTCCAAGAACCGGTTTCACTTTCCACCCCCAAACCACCAAAATAATCCGTCGAGATAGTCTCAGTCTGTACAGAGTATCTAGTCGTAGCGTAACTAACTAACTATTAACTTGACTCAGAGACCATAGTAGAGTCAGACACCAGGCCGAGTCTGCCTTGTGAAGGTGGTTAGGTAGTTGTCAGTGACTTCCACGGTAATTTTCATACGATTTCCATACATCATTGGGTCGCTTCTCATCTCCGCAGCATTATATTCGAGGAAGACGATCTGATCTGATTGATTTACTCACAACCCAATCATCCAGGTCTGGTCTGTCTCGTTGTTGTCCTTATCTTCAACCGTCGATTTCTTTGTTGTTGTTCTCTTTCCTCCCTCAAATCCTCAATCTTCAAGGAAGAAGACCTATCAAACAACCAGGGAGAGTCGACTTGAAAAGAAAAGAAACGAAAAGAAAAGAAAAATAACCGTGGGACCGAACGGTCAGTTTCTTACAGTATCACGGATCTCGTGCTCTTGAACCTCAAAAGAGTCGAGAGAGTCCACAGAAACAAACCCCTCTTGGCCTCTTTCCCATCCTTCTTTCTCCTCTGTTAGACGCCGTGCAAACGTCTTCTTCCTCTCTCTCTCCGTCTCTTCCTCTCTCTCCTCTGTTCTCTCTCCCCCCCCCCAATCGCACTTCCGCGTCTGTCTGAACTGGTCGGCAACCATCCTGTTCGGTCGCCTTTTTCATTTCCACTCCTAGTCTGGTCTGCTTTTCTTATTATCCATCCATCGTCATCAATCCTCCTCGGTTTCTGCTGTCATTCGTTTTTTCGCGCCCGCCTTCATTTCCAAGCGCTTTGAACTTACCCGTCATTCTCCGCTCTCAGTTTCCCCCGGGGTACGAGTTCCAGTATCATACTCTCCCCCCTCCGGCTGGCTTGGTGGTCTCGGAATCGTTTTCTCAAATATGACGCTGAACTGGGGCGCCACCCGGGACGACTGCTCTGTAGCTCTAGCCGGTCAACCTGCAACGTTATCCGTGGCCTACCAGCTGTGAACAACACATCGCTGTAGCATTAGCAGCTTCGAGTGGGAACAATCACCACCAATCGTCGATCGTTGGGCGAGCAAAGGTAGGGATCTCAATTACTTGGGAGAATATTCGGGTTTTTCTTTTTCCATCTTCCCTGTCAAATTAAAGAACCCGACTCCGGGATCACGACAGGGGGGAAAAAGAAGACGAAAACAAAAAGGAGAAAATGAAATGAACAAGGGCTGACCGTTGGCCCAAAGCATGCAAGATGTCCGGCAGCGATGTCGAACACGTTTTTTGCTCGCTTGACAGCAGACCGCAACACCACTTCCGCCGCCAATCTTCTTCAAGCTCAAACGAACGGTTTTATGATGCCCCTCTTAAGAGTCATCATTCGGATTTACCCCTGGTCGAAGACACCCTCTCCATCCACGACCTTTCGTCCGAACCGCACTTCGCCCAATCGACTGCCATACGCTCGTTATCAATCGGAGCATCCACGGCCGTCCCCGCAGATCACTATTTCGACGGACACGACCGCAACGATCGAGAATCTCCTGACCCTGACGACTTCTATCGCCCGTATCCCTCCAGTGTGGTCCCCAGCACCGAAACCGCGTTGACTTCGAGCAATGCCCTAATGGTCGACGACGGTAGTCCTACCGCTGAATATCCACCGTCTCATGCGCAACGTGCACTGCCCCCAGCGACAGATACTGTGACCATACCGCGTGGGATCCTCGGCCAGTATCGTTCGGTATCGGAGAACTATACAGGTCGAGAGCCAGAACCCATCAGGGGCGCGGCGGCCGGGGCCTCCATTGCCAGACCTAGACAGGCCTCTTTCAAAGACCTAATCAACAAATTCAACCAGAACGTCGATCAAGTCTTGCCGCTCCCGACGTCCTCCGGGTCCCTATCTCGCTCACACTCGAGAGCTGCGAGCCCGACCCCATTCATATCCGGTGATGTCCCGGGGAGAGCCCGAGCTCCTTCCCTTTTGCGAGACACGCAGAATTGGCAAAGTGCAAAGCGCCAGCCAGTATCCCGGTGGAATACAGTTGACAATTTCGTGGAAGAAAACCCCTCAGAATCCCCCTTGCTCCCTTGTCAAGTGGGAACTGTCAACCAAAGCACCCCCAAGTCGTCCGTTCCGTTAAGGCCACCGTTTGGCGGTTTGCTCAAAGTAGATACGGGCTTTCAAGGCACAGGGCTGAGTGTTCCGTCGCATCTGAGACGACGAGGCTCGGAAGGAAGCATCCCCAGCCCGAACCCAGCATTTCTGGACAATCCTGAATTTTCTGCTGGCTTGTCTCCTCTGACACCAACCGCATGGTATCTGGGCCGGACGCCGTTTCTAGAAGCAGTGAGCACCGGTGAGAGTAGCAGCAGCCATAATCATCGAAGGGTGACGAGTGATCTTTCTGGAAACTGGTCAGCTGGTGCCGTTGCGCACTCGCCCGAATCCCACATGGCGGTGTTGAGCCCCTTGCAGCCAGGACTAGCGGTATCCTCGGAGACCTCACATTCCAAGTCCCGCATACCGCTGTCCTCCCGCCGACTGAACGCTGCGTTCGTCCCGGAAGAGTATTCCAGTCTACACACCGACCCACACTGGAACAGATGTTTCGATTCCCAAGTGCCTCTGCCACCCAAAGGCATTAGCCGCCTCCCCAAACCGTCCCCAAAGGCCTCCCCCGCGGAGGCATACAATGACCGAACAACCTTCGCCATGACCTCGCCTAGAAGGCGGGAAGTTCCTTATCGTCGATCATCCAGCCGACCTGCTGACAGAGACGCTCTTCTTGAAGCATACATCGCCTCTCCTCTCCCCAAGAAATCACCTCCGTTGCGCAGTTCACGGCCTCGCCAACCTGTTTCATATACGACGTCTGTGCCGCCACGATCAAAAGTCGTGGAAAGAGTATCAAGTTTCCAGAAACAGATCAATCGCGATCAAGAACCGCGAACGCCCCGTTCTCGAGGACGGAGACTCCCCGAGTTGGGCAACGTGGACTTTGCGACCAGACGGCAGAAGATACAACAAGCCTTCAACCGTACGGTTCAAGAGAATGAAAGGAAAGAAGAGGAAGAAGCTGAGCTTCGACGTCGAGTCAAAGTGCAAGAGGAACAGCAGTATCGCGTTGATGCACCTGCGCCAGAACCACACACCAATGAGAATACAGAGATGGACCCTTCCCAACCCTCAGAAGATACTGTAACTATGCTCGACGACTCCATCGCAGCCCGTCATGAAGAACATCAGTCTGCACATGAAGAACATGAACCACGAGTACTTCCTCAATTACACATCGATACCGCCCTCGCGACCCAGGAAACCACAGCAGTAGGTACCGAAGCCCACCTAATGACAATGGACTCCCCAACGTTGGGCCTTTCCAATATTGTCACTGGCGAGCCAAGGGTGGTCGGTCATTTGCCTGGATTTGCCGATGATCAACCCGCTTCTGCTGTTACGGTCATGTCAGACGACACCCATGCCACTGCCCTTGATCCCGAACCCCAGGTTGGCCTGAGTCGGCAGAATCTCCAGGCCTCTCACCGAACTTTGTTGAGTCAAATCATGCAGATCCGAGAGTCGAGTCCCAGCAGCTCGTCATGCGACGAGGCCGAATACAGCTTTTCCGACAACGAGGATAAGGAATCCATCCCGATCGTCTTGAGAGATGCCCAGTGCTCCGAAGAGTCAGTGGCCAGCAGCGACAGCCACGATTTTGGCCATGCGTTGGTTCAATCGAGTGGTCCAGGTCGTAGAGTGCCGAACCGGTGGAGCATCAGCTCTTGGTCGTCTTCCATTCACAACAATCAACTCACCGATGACCACTGTGAAGGTAGCGGCGACGATATGTCCCAATTTCAGCAATCGGTGGGTGACAGCGAGATTGCTACTCAGTCGTGTTCTGCTTCTTCCAGCACTCCTCCATCGGTAGCTGGTTTCCAAGGCACCATCTCCCTCTCAAATAACGATCCGGTCCCCGAACCTACTCGTGAAGCTGGGCCACCGAGAAATCTTTATACCTATCCCAGCGCCCCAAGTCTAGCGAGACTTGGCGGTTGGGATTCCAGACGCGTGACTCAGCTCTATCTTGAGGAGTTAGCTCGCGGCAGAGGTCACAATCTACCAATGCCCGCAATCCGTGCTTCCCCTGAACCGCGCCTCGATAAACGCGCAGACGGAAGAACCGATAGTCTGGGTGATGACCCAGTTCTGATATCGAAATCAGACGATATGCCCCCTCCCGAGAAGGTGGGACCTACCGCAAGTCTTATATTTCGAGATGATTGGGAGCATGCCTCGCCATCTATTGCGGACTGGATGCAAGTAGCTGCTGGGGAGGAATCAACACCACAAGACCAAGTGAACAATGTGATTCCCGCTCTCGATGGCCTGCCTACGCCACGGCTGGCTCCACCAGCTACCTATCAAAGCGATCTTGAGCCCAGCGGTGGAACCATGGGTCTCGCTATCCAGGTTCACTCACCGCAAGAGCTAGAGTCTCGTGAAGCTCAATCGTCTCTGCTGTCCGGTGGTATGCCTGTTGAGCAGTCAGATCTGTATGAGGAGGCTGGCTATTCGCAACAATATGATGAAGCCTCTCCCGCTGCTCAGAGCACCCAAACAAGCACCCGCACCGCCCCGCCGTTGACTTTTTCTCCACTTGGCCCCGTTGAAAGCACGGGAAGCAGCGATGATTCCTCCCTCCGAAGACTCCAAGCCACATCTTCATCTCACACAGTGGACTCGTCAGCCACTTCATTAGTTCAGTCGACTGCTGAGCAGTCACGAGTCGAGCTTTCTAATGGCTCACCGTCACCGGAACAGAGACGCCTGAAGAAACGACGACATGTCATCAAAGAGTTAGTCGACACCGAGTACAGTTTCGGACGGGATATGAAGGTCGTCGACGACATTTACAAAGGCACTTCGAGCTCATGCCTGGATCTCTCGCCAGAAGACGTCAAGATTCTGTTTGCCAATTCCGACCAGATCGTGCAATTCTCCATGGGATTCCAGGACGCTCTCAAAGAGGCAGCCAGGAGCGTCTATGTCATGCCAAAGTCCCAACGGTGGAGCAGCAAACGCAGCACCCGCAACACTTACGCCAACCCGTCCAAAACCGACTCCGAGGCCGCAGGTGCTGCTGAAGTTTCGGATACTGATAAGGATAAGTTGACGTTCATTGGTCAGGCTTTCCTGGCGCACATCGCCCCAATGGGGAAGGTCTATGGCGATTATCTGAAGAACCATGACGCAGCCAATAAAAAGCTCCAAGTGTTGCAACGCAATCCGAAAGTGGCGATCTGGCTCAAAGAATGCCGGGAATGGGCTTCGGACCTCACTACCGCATGGGATTTGGACTCACTACTTGTCAAGCCAGTGCAGCGGATCTTGAAATACCCGCTGTTGTTGAGTGAACTTCTCGATTCAACGCCAAACGATCACCCAGACCGCACATTCCTGATGAGTGCTCTCGAGGAAGTCACCAATATCTCCGTGCGCATCAACGAGATGAAAAAGCGCGCAGACTTGGTGGGCCAAGTCGTTGGCCGCAAGAGGAAGGAATCGGATGTCCGGACGGGCTTGTCGAAGGCTTTTGGCCGTCGCACGGAGAAATTGAGACAGCAAGTCGGTCTTTCCGATATGTTCGAAGATAAAGAGTACGACACACTGTCCCAGCGATTCGGGGACAACTTCTTCCAGCTCCAAGTTGTGATGCGGGATGTGGAGATGTACACACGGGAAATCCAGGGCTCTATGGAGCGTTTCAGTGAATTTGTCGCTGCAATTGAAGGAGTCGTCGATGTGACCCAATCGGGATACTTGGATGTGGAGAGCAGGTGGCGTGAACTGAAATCGTCTGTCCAAGACATCATGACCGGTGCCTTCCCTGAACATGTAAGTGAATTATCCCTCCATGGCTTCTCCCTGAAAGGACAACCAGACTAATCACAACGCTAGCTCGCGATCGTTCGGAAGAGCGTGATCGATCCGATGGTCACCCTTCTCAAGCTCTATGATGGGCCTCAGAGAGTGATGAAGAAACGCGACAAGCGACTCATGGACCACGCTCGATTCAAATCTATCAAGGATCGCGGTGACAAGCCGGATAAGAAGACAACGGAGCAAAGCGAACAGTTCGTGGCGCTCAATGAGACCTTGAAAGATGAACTTCCCAAGCTCTATTCTCTCACAGCTAAACTGATGGAGACGTGCCTGAAGAACTTTGTTCAGATCCAAACCACCTGGTTCAACATCCAGCAGAAAAAGATAGCGCATCTGGTGGACTCGTTCCCCGATGACCTGCAGAACATCATCAGTGACTGGTCTGCAAACTTTACGCTGGCCGAGGCGCAGATCTTGTCGCTCGGTATGTGCAATGGTTCGCTGCTCGCCGACACCATTAACCTCGTCAACTTCAACACCCCCTCCACTGCCGCCACCATCAGTTCGCCCCGACGGCCGTCGACCGTTAACAGCACCAGTACGCGTATGGAGTCTCCCAAAGCCTCTCATGACTTTGGCAATGGCGGTTATAGCTTCCAGTCTCCAAGTCTGGATGCCCAATCTCAACGCTCATTTGGACGCCATCGAGCTGATTCGATTGTCTCTGGCCGTGCAGCACCCGAGACGTCCGAAATCCCCCGGAGCCAGCTTCTGCAGCAAATCACCAACACCTCATCTGGCTCTGGGCCCTCATCTACTAACCCTTACACGGAGTCATTCCCTAGCCTCCCAAGGCTCAGCCTCGACTCGCCGTTCCTCGTCGATGTCATGGGGCCTTCAGCAGCAAACCAGGACCAGGGTCAAGCCCAAGAACAACACCAGGAACCGGCTCCCGAGAACCCACCCGCCTCCCCGGTTGGGCGTTACTCCGGGTTCTTCTCGTCCGCGATGCCCATGTCGGACAACCCACAAGATGACCAACCTGCGCAGAACGTCGCGCAAGAAGCGGCGCCCAAGGAGCCAACCGTACTCTTCCTCGCGGCCAGTATCTATGAGTTCAACATCGATCGAGCGCGACGTGAGGCTGGGTATCCCTATCTCACCTATGTCGCTGGTGAAATATTCGATGTGATCGCCGAGAAGGGCGAACTGTGGCTTGCCAAAAACCAAGACGACCCGACTCGCCAGGTCGGGTGGATCTGGAACAAGCACTTTGCGAAGCTCTCAAGCTAGCCCTGTTACGTCTCATTCCAGCTGTACATGTTGGTATCATGACTTTTACCGTCTTTTTTCTCTCTGGAATTTCTCTTTTTGTGTTTAATGGCTACCGGACTACTCATCAGCGGAGATCCAGTCTCTTGAACTTTGGCCATCTTTGCGGTCGCTCCACACCGTCAGCCGCAACATATATGACCATCTCGCGAATACATGTATGGATGGATGGAATGAATGGGTCAATGTCGGACTGTATCGTGTTCTTTTTTTTTTTCTCCCATTTGTTTGTTTTTTATGGCATGCAATTTGTGACATGACGGAGCAAAGATATCTGGTTGCAGCGGTCCTGGCAGAGACAAAAATGTTCGAGTGTACAATTAGATACCCCTTTGATCAAGCGATGAATGCATTGAATTTGATGTCTCTCTCTCTCTATAGCTTCTGTGGATTATTGATGCTCTGACTCGGAGATTTCAGACGTAAAGCCATGTATGATATCACGTGCTGCACCAGCCACAGGTGACGTCTTGTGCTGTGGAGGTGGCTCTGGCCGTGATCGCCCGCAGGGAACCAGCAAGCGGGAATCGGTGCCAGGCGACGCAGAGGGCGAAAAAAAGAAGAGAGGCAAGAGGGAACTCCCATCAATCTTGCTCTTGAAATCCCCTTCTCGCTGAATTGTTCAGACAAACCCGCTGCCCTCAAACAGACTCTTCTCTCAGCCGGAAACTCGGTTTGGAATCCGGCCTTATCCCCGCGCTGAAACGTGGTACAGCATTCCTTTGGAGCAGAAAGAAGAGTTCTCGGACCCCTGCTCTCTCCCCGGCCATTGAGCTCCCTTTCCTGTTGTTGTCTTTTCCGTCGGTGATTTCGAGAGGGATCTTTTCATTGCTTCTTTTGGATATCGAGGCCTTTCTACGCTCTCTTGTTGGTTGTATATAACAGACTCGTTTCCGGCAGCCTCCCCCCGTGCTTTCCGAGAATCCGCTCCCCCCCCCCCCACGCCCCCCCCTCTCTCGCGACCCTTCTTGGCCTTGGAGCGGGCTTGCATCAGACACCTTAGCACCGGCAGTGGCGTGGCCATCACCATCAGACACGAAATGCGAGACGGCGGATTAGGGAAGCTGCAGAAGAAGATGAGGCGGTTTGGGGATACTGTGAGTTTGGGGGGTTTGGCCCACGGTTCCGGGGACTGAGGGTCAGGCGCTGACTGACTGGTTGGTAGTTGAATCCGGAAGATGCGTATCTGAGTTGTGAGTCTGCTGTTGCTTTTTTTTTTTTTTTTCGTTTTCGCGTGGCTCTAGGGAGAAGTGGATTCTAATTTGTGCTTGTGGTTCTTATAGATTTTGATGTACGATGTATGGTGATTCCGGATCCCTTGGAACGAGAGGGGTGATGCCGTTGAGTTCTGACTTGGTGGCAGTGACGAGGGAGGATATGCAAACTCTCAAGAATGACTGGCTTACGGATAATGTGGGTGGTTGTGGAGATTCTTCTGTTGTTGAGTGAATGGTGTCGCTGACTTTGTTTGGCAGATTATTTCCTTCTGGGAGGAGTAAGTTTTCTGCTGGGGCTGTCGGACGCGCCGCTTATGGATTCCAGATATCTCGAGAGGGAGTTTCTCGTTCAGTACAAGACTTCGAATATCGTTCTTCTCCGGCCCAGCATGTCGTTCATGCTACTGCAGACGCCGAATCCGCTTTCGCTGCGCGAAGCCTTGCCTGATTTCTCGCGGACAACGCATGTCTTTCTGCCCATCAACGATTGCCGGAATGTCACCGAGGCGGAAGGGGGCACGCACTGGTCACTTCTTCTTATATCGATTGTTGACGGGGTGGCGTTCCACTATGACTCGCTGCCCCCCGGGAATTACTGGGAGGCACGAACCGTGACCATGAAATTCGGGACGCTTCTCAATCGCCAGATCCGGTTTATCCACCTGGAAGACTCGCCTGTGCAGGAGAACGGCAGCGACTGTGGGGTGTTTGTGTGCTTGAGCATGCGCCATCTCTTGCTTAAACGACTTTTGACGGCTAACGCGAGTGAGAAAGTCAGCATGAGTCTGGGTGGGAGGAAAGTTGATGCACGGGCTGGTAGAAAAGAGATTGCAAAGATCATTGATGGATTCCGAAAGGAGGGCGAGAGACGTCGATCGTATGTGAACTCTACGTTATTCCTGCTACATAGCATGAAGGCTCGAGAGTCAGTACTGACAGTCTACAAGGTCCAGTCTTAGTCCCATGGGGAAGAAGTCAACAAGCCCCCCTCGAATAGAATGATGGACTAGAAACAACGCATTACAAGGTGATTCTTCAAGGCGCAGGTACCGGTCAAAACGAGCGTGTTTGAGAAGTGACTGTTTTATGATTCTGCATGCATATGATGATATACGAACTTCGCAAATGGGAACCGTGGTTTGGATAGGTGATACCGCTCTCCTGCCGTATTTTTCTCTTCATGATTTGAATAGCCTGTTACTGCTCTTTCCTGTTCCCTCTGATCCGTGCTGCTCTTGGTCTGACCACAGGGGATTTGTTCATGTGTGACTACGATGAGCCCTGCGAGGCTTTCCAGCTGGATGCTGGTTGGTATACAGATCAAATGAAACTTCGGTCTTGACAAACTGGTCTTTTAGGAATTCCTTTGCTTTCAGGGTCTCCTTCGCCCTCGTCCTTCTCATGCTCATCATCCTTTCTCTTCTCGTCCCTCCTGGCTCTGCACATTGGCGTGTCGTCATCATCATGGCTGCTACGGCTAGGCTACCATGGGTATATTCACTGCTTCTTTCTCTAATTGTCTTCCTCGTCTCTGCTGGTGTTGTTATTCATTCACAATGTGCCTTCCTATGTCTCTCAGTACCATCGATAAACAAACAATGGCTACTATAAACCTTTCGTCTCCCCTCCCTCGTCTCCTTTGTTCTTCTCTTCTTCTTCTCTCCCCAACACCATATGGTCGTTTGATGCTAGTATCGTGATCTTCACGCTCTGCGTTCGTCTCAAAAAAAACTCATATCGTGTTACTGCGCTTTCTATACTCGCCGCATTTGCCGGTTCCCTTGTCTTCTCGCCCGACTCGACCCCTCTCCTCTTCTTTTCCGTTGTTTTCAGGCATTTTTCGCAATGTCTCGTCCAAGCACGCTTGGATCTTCTTTCCTCAAGGACCGCCGGGTTCGCAACTCGACGGCTCCTTGCCGCTCCTTTGTGCCAGCCTGTTCCCCCATCAGAACAGCTGGCGTTCGTTCCTTTGCTGAGCTTCGCTCGTCCATTCGTTCTGCGGTCACTCCTGTCCGCCCCGCTCCTTCCGCTCCGCCAGCTGCTCCCGCGCGTTTTGCGCCTTCCGCTCCTTCCTCGCGGGTTCGCCCCGTTCCTGCACCTCCTCTGTTCTCCACCAGGGCAGGTGCGCCACTCACTCGCAGCCTTCCTCGTCCAGAACAACCCCCTCGCGCTCCTTCCACTCGCTCCAGTTCGCCGCCTCGCCGAACCTTCCTCTTCGAGCGCACCCAGCACTTCATCGACCGCCTCCACCGAGAGTCTGCCCGACGTGCCCAAGACAGGGCCGATCACGCCGCTCTCGACGCCATTCGTTCAGCTCGGGACCAGCGACGCCAAGAGTACATCACTCAGATGAAAGCTCGCCATGGCTGGCTCCCTTCCGCTCCTTCCTCTCCTCGTCCAGCCGCTTCCTCCGCCAACGTCACTCGTTCTTCCGTGGACCGACCACTGTCGCTCCGCGAACGCCTTGCTCAGTCGAGAGCACGTCGGCAATCGACCACCTCCTCTCCTTCGACCGATGCCACTCGTTCTTCTGTCCCTCAGGACCACCCTGCGGACCGTCCACTGTCGCTCCGCGAACGCCTTGCTCAGTCGAAAGCACATCGGCAACAGACCACCTCCTCTCCTTCGGCTGGTGCCACTCGTTCCCCGGCTGCTTATGTCGAAGCACGCCAAAAGATCCTCAACCTCATCGCTTCCCGCCGCCAGGCGGCCGCCGCTCGCTCAGCCACTGCCGCTCGTTCTCCTCTTCCTGGCTCCTCCTCGCCCCAGCCCCGGCCACCCACTCGTTCCACTATCCTCGAAGTCCTTGCTCGACTGGGTAACACCGCGGAACCATCCCCGCGGCAACACCCGCCGACACCCCTTCCGGCCTCGCCAATGACCCAACGCACGGCGACTCCAGCTGCAGTCCCTGTTCCTGCTCAGAGAGCGCTCGCGTCTGCTCATGAACCCCTGCTTAAGCCTGCGATTTCGATCAACGGCCCCCGCCAGGGTAAGTCAGCAAAACGTGTTCGTTTCGGAGATGTCATGGTCAAGACTGTACCTCGCTGGATCGTGCGGAAGGTCCATGTGCACAAGAGACGACGGTAGCTGCCACTGGGCACTATCTCAGCGCTCGTTCACTCCATGGGCACCCGGTTGGGTAGGTCTCTCGTCCACTCATTCCCTTCTTCCCCCCTTTGGACGCTGGCTCTGGTCTTCGATGGGGAAGACCATCCAGGTACTGCTGATAAGTCTATAGGTTCCACTTGGCGTACCGCTGTCCTGATGAAGTACTGGTGGCGCAGCTACACCGACCCCAAGGTACGTTTTCTTTCATCCTGTCATCTGACTGCAGGTTGGATACTGACATGCACCCTAGGACATTCTGCGTGGAGGGTTCCCTTGTCAGGGGTGATGACGCACCCCCGTACGCGGGAAGTAAGTCGTAGTCCCTTAGCCAGGAGCGCCAAAGCCTCGTTCCACTCCGTCGCCGACGCCGAACCCGACGACGCCGAACCCAATCGCACTGCCTCCTCGGAGGGCTTATGGTGGCGTACAAGCGCGGAGTTGGGGGTAAGTCGCCTTGCCCCTTTGTCGATTGTCAGTTTCTCAGACACTAAACACAAGACAGTGGCTGGTGGGCCGCGCTTGAGAACTCAGATTGTTACAACTCTTTCTTTTCTTTCACTGTGTTTTCAGGTAAGCTCTTTATCAACATGACCATACATGACCATAGCATGCATCTCACTACGAGTTAGAAAGTTGTGTTTGTATTGTTGCCTTCTTGGAGGGTTCATAATGATATATAAGCGTGGAGTTGGGGGTAAGTTCCCTTGCCCTTTATATGGTCAGGTACTGACGTGGGATAGTGGCTGGTGGGCCGCGCTTGAAAATTCAGATTGTTTCAGCTCTTTCTTTTCTTCTCTTCGTTGTCAGGTAAGCTTTCTTGTGGACAAGCAGTGCAGATGTCGTGATCGTGATGTGGGTTGTTGACTGACCGTCGGGGTCTAGGACAGACAGATACCCAACGAAGCAGCTCTTGATTCGAGGATATGCGGTGATACTGTAGGAGGATTATTTGCGAAGCGTAGCGGAGCAACTTTAACGGGCGAAAGTGCGAAGAAATCCATTCTGCAACTTCTAGTCTTGTATTTTCCAAGTTCATACACCAATAAACTACCGAACTAAAAGGTGTCCAAGACATTATTTTCCAAGTAGTAATGATTATATGCATGCTATGGTCATGGCGACAGGGAGGTAGGGTCGTCCCTTTCCGCTCCTACCCCTACCAACAGTTGGATACATACAAGAATAACATCGTCGCCAACATCAAGTTCCCTACCTGATTCTGCCTTCATCGAACTAGACCCTGACAAGGACTCAAGCTGGTCATTGACTCATTCTTGAACTTCAATTGTTCCAAATAGAAGACCAATAATACATACACCCCCGACGCCGACTCCGGTGATATCGGCGTCAATGCACGTAGCCTTCTTTACAACATGCGTAGGCCAGCCCAGCGATATAAACAAACACGGATCTTTGGGCAGGGGACATGTCTGCTCCACTGATAGGTAGACTGCTACAGCTACAGAGGCCATGCCATGTACCTACCCCATTCTACGCAATGACAACATGCCAGACTTCCGAAAGATACGAGGGTCAGATTTCCCAGACTTCCTATAAGGAAAAAAAAAGGGGGGGAAAGAGAGAACAAAACAGGACAAGGGACAGGAAGCGGGTGGGAAAAAACAAAAAAAAAAGAAGAAGAGGAAGAGGAAGAAGAAACGCCCACACAACGCCAGGTGATAAATGCAGATCAAATAGATTTCAGGGAGGTAGGATATCGAAGGTCGAAGTCAAGGGCGAAGATAGTGGACCTAATTACCCGGAGGCAAAAAAGAAGTGGCAGAAATGGAATGAAAGGATCAGCTGGCTCGACAGGCTGACGATCCAAATTCTATACGGAAGAATGGTGTGGAGGATGAAGGAATGGAGACGGAAAGGTACAACAGAGAGGAAAGAAAATGGGTATGTGACGCCAATCATCAGATAAGAACAGGTCGGGTCATTGATACATATCCGCGCAAAGTTATATAGGATTTCCCGGGGCGAGGCTATGGCGGGGTGGAGGTTTGTCGGGGCTCTGGGGGCGTGGCGCGGTGTTTCTCGTGGGAGCGCATATACATTGTGTCCGCGTGGGGGTCTGAGGCCGAGGGATTGATGGGGTGGGGTTGGGCCTGCTGTTGCTGTTGCTGCTGGGCGATGATCTCGCGGGCATAGAATTCCACGAGCATGGTGCCGTAGGCTTCGAGTTCTTCGACGGCGATGGAGAGGCGGAAGTCGTTCAGGTGGAGGAATTGGAGCTCGAGATGGTTGAGTTCCACCAGCGGGAGGCCGCCGACCTGTTTGGAGAGTATTTGTGAGTCAGGGATCAGGATGGAAGGAGAGAGGTGATGGGAGGGCATACCTTTGCGTATCGAGAATTAGTATAAAAGACATCAGAAAAGAATTTACTGGCACAGGTCACGCCCGCGATGACCAGCCGATGAATGTTAAAACTGTCGACGACAAAGAAATGGGATAGGCCATCCTCCTCATCCTGGGGATAGAGAGATGGTGATATTGAGGAAGGACTCTTCGGATCTTGCGCCCGCATCCCCGTCGACGACGGCGGGGTCACCATCGGGGACGGTTGTGCCTGTTGGCCCGTTGAGCTCGATTCCGACATTCCCGATCGGGATGATTCCTCGGTCTGAACGGTAGATCCTCGACCCCAGCGATGTCGCAGCCGATCAAGCTGTCCCTTGTTGACCAGTTCGGTCATGCGATCGAAGTAGACCAGTAGACTGAGAAACACTTCGTAGGTGGTGGGACAGTATTTATGGATGCGGGTGAGATAGCTGAGGATGGAGATGCTCGGGACGTTCTTGCCATGGAAGGCCAGGACGCTCGTGGCCTGTGGGCTGAGATTGGCCGTACTATCGGGAGGTGGGATGTGTCGGTGCACCTGCTCGTGGTGCATGTCGTTGGTCGAGGTGATCTTGGTCAGCAGGCCGGCAACCATCTCGATGATATCCGTGACCGGCATGGAACTGATCTCGTACTGGCGCTCCTGCGACCAGGACCCAGCGACCTGGCTCGGCTGCGGCTGCGCGAGGAATTCCTCGCTCGCAAAGCTCTGAATGTGGGACAGATCGCGGACCTTGATGCGGCTCGGCGAGCTGGCCTCGGATCCGCCGAGAGAGCGCAGCGACTGGAAGGTCGGCTTCAACCGCGGCGACGAGGGAGACGCGTGGCTGGAGGACGCGACCGCCGCCGAGTCGGTGACAATCTGGTTGCCATGTCCAAACTGTTGGGCGTAATTATTGTCATCGTTATTATATGGGGTGGAATGGGAGGAGAAGGAGGGAGCGTCGCGATGAGAAGCATGGCTGGAGGTATTCGAGCTCATTGAGACCGAAGGATGGGGAGGGGTATAGGTTGGCCCAGAGGTGGTGGAAGACGCCCGCGTGGAGGGCAGGGAGTTGGAGTGAGATTGACGGTGGATGTAGGCCGGCACAACATCATGCGGTCCTGGTAGGCGAGCAGAACCCGTTGATGGCGGGGCCGTGGTCGAGGTGGGGGTGGTGGTCGCGGACGAGGATCTGGACTGGGACGATAGTGGCTGAGCGTGCTGAGCGTGCTGAGCGTGCGACGAAGAGCGATAAATCACGGATTCCGAGGGATTGATGGCGCCTCCCAGCATGGTGTAGGAGCTGTCAATCTGTTCCGACCGCGAGTGATTGATGACAACCGATCCCATGCCAAAGGGGGGTTTCTCTTCCCAGCCGGTAAAGAATAAGGTGAAGGAGAGGGAGCAAGACAGAAGGTGCGCGTCAAATGGCGGATTCTGGAGTAACAACGGTGGCGGGGAGAACAGTCAGCATTTGAACAACAGGAAAACAGGGAGTTATCAAACCAATGGATTAGAATCGAGGGATTGCGATTTGATGACAGAGAACAGACAAGAGGGTCCCTTACGATGGAATCAAAACCAGATTTGCGAGCAGGTCGAAGAAGGCTGGACCTGAAGATCCCACAGCCTGCAGCAAATCCGATCCAGACCGAGGACGGATCACAGGCTCAAAGGGGCAAGACGAGCATCCATGGCGGATGAGAAATAGAGTGACAGTAATGAGAAGAAAAGAGTGAAAGGGGTGAGGTATTGTTGCAGAAGTGGCGGAGGCGATGGAGATGGCAATGGAGATGGAGATGGAGATGATGATGATGATGATGTTGATGATGTTGATGGAGTGATGAACCGCAACAACAACAACAACAACAACAACAGGGAATCAGGAGGATTCAAGCTATACGAATTGGTTCCATTCCAGCCAGAAATTGATCGGAGAAAAACGAGGAAAATAGGATGAATCAAGTGGCGATTCAGAGAGCAGTCAGAATATGACAGATGTCAAGAAGAACGATCGAACATATTTCAATTCGACCGGATTGTTGTACTCCCTCTCTCTCTCCCCAATATGCCACTATTTACAACCAAACTCCCCAGCCAACTGGTAACCACCAGAAACCCCCAACTAGAATATCCTCTTTCCCTCAGTCTTCCCTCAATCTGGCACGCTTTTCCCTGTTGGACAATCATAGGGAGAGAGCAGATCAAACCACTTCCCCCTGATATGGATTGATCGAGGAATTTAGACGAGTAAAGGAGCCCGTCAATGGACGAATCACAGAGGGATGTTGGTGCAGGTGTTGAAGGGATTCACATTGACTCGTTGCTTTTTTTTTTTTTTTTTTCTGCTGATGAGGCTTGACTATCATTATTCATAGAAACTCACAATAATTGTCACTCTGACTTACTCGATTGCTTATCCTGTGGCTGTGGGCCATTCTAAGAGCATACGGAGGATGCCTCCAAGTTGCAGGGACCCCCCGTCCTCAACACTGCTCTGTGATGATCCGAACCTCGTTCGAAGGTGTCCATCCAGCCCCTCGATATAGCTCTTCGTGTTAAGACGAACGGTATGGGTAAGATCGGTGCCACTTGCCGTACGTCTTAGCTTCCTTATGAATGATAAGGGCCAGGCAGAACTGGTTAGATGAGTAGCCCCTATCACAACCTCACCACCACCCAGGGAGAAGACAGATATCAGTATCCCAGAGAGTACATAGAAAGGGCTTGTATGACTATGAAGCTATGGCCATCTATTAAATATCCCTGTATCATCCTTGTTGGTCCCCATCATTATTAGTATGCCGTTGCATGCCATAGCTTGCCCTAAACCCTGCAGTTGAATTCCCCTTCAAAAGACCTCAATTGTCTTCTTCAAATGATATTCCGATTGCTGGGAATAAACATCAATCTCGAGTGCTGATTGTGTACTGCTGTATTGTTTCTTTGAACAATACCATGTCACCAAAGTATGGCACATTGTTCGGCACTCTGTCCTCGAGTTCGGCATCCTGGCTACGAGCACACAGCACCGAAGACCAGGGTATGAAAGCTCCCGAGGCCGAGCATGATCTTGTTTCTCTCGCGTCTTTGGTTCCAACGATCATGCTGGGTAGTGTAGCCGTTCTCAGCTTTCAAGTGGTGGGTGGCTTCAGGCTCATCAATGTAGCCTCGTGGTCCTCGTTTTCCGGCCGGCTATTGCTTACAGTTAGGGAACGAGTGCTCCAATGTCCATCCCGTGCAGCCGCTTCAACAGTGAAGCAAAGAATCTGGAGAGCATAACCACGAATACTCGTGTCAGCGCCTGCTGAGACGCACGTAAGTGTGTTGTCGCCAATTGAATGCGCCAGGCAGTTGCCGGAGCCGCCACTCGTAAATCCGACCAGTGACCAGATCTTCGGCGGCGGCAGTATTGAGCGAGGAAGAGTGGTTGTGCGTAATCTTGACCCATCTGATAGAGAAGGGTAAGGTAAGAGTATAATATACATATATGTATATATCTTGCACATTGGCTGTGATCAACCACCATCAATGTATCATGTCGCACATCAGAAAGTGCCGGTATTTGCACTCAAACGGGTTACCTGGAGCTATTTTCCGAATGTGAAGAGTTCAACTAAAGAAAGACAGAGAAGGGTACCATGCATCGAATGATCATTATTGTAGCTTGATTTAGATTCGGCTATTCATCTCTTGTAGTACCATGAATATCGTTCGTATCGGTGTTAAAGGCTCTGTCAAAAGTATTTGAGATACCTCAGCAGAAGAAATCCTACCACCCGTGGTTCCTTATTTTCCAATGGAAAGCGCCGTAGCGGGTTGATTCAACGACGTCTCACGGAGACAAGAGTATTTCAACAGAACAAATCATCACATATCACTACCCTCATGACCGGTTGGTCACACCGGGTCCAGTGTAGCCCTTATCCGGCAGGTACAAATGTCTCTCGGCTCCCCGACGCGTCAGCACCACCAATCGAATCACACCCCCGGAGCTGCCATCCCACTTGATCGCCTCCTGGAGTGCACCGCGCACAAAATCGATCCCTTCTTCCTCTGTCATGTTTTCCTTCCAGTTGGCGTCGCAGTAGCCGTAAATGTAAGTTGATCCGGAACCGGCAATCGCATAGGACTGCTTATGTAGGGATCCGCCCAGGGGTATCGAGTAGACCTGACCGCCATGTCGGGGGTCGTATCCTGCGATGATAATACCGGCACTATCATCAAGGACTCATCAGTGATTGTCCGCACCTCACGGCATATATGAAAGAAAGTCAAACCTCAGCATATCCTTGTTTTCATAGCACAGCTCCTGGAACAGAGCCGCGGCCACCTGGGTGCTAGGAGCCTCGTTGTTCACGATGCCGTACATGTTGAGATGGTAGGAGACAATGTCAGCGACAGCCTGTGTATCCGCCGCAGACCCTGATCGGCAGCACCAGATGGTATCGTGGACTTGTGTGAGTTTATCGGTGACTCGGTTGGCGATGTAGGCTCCGGTGGTTGTCCGGCTGTCTGCGCCCAGAATGACGCCGTCCTTGAAATTGATCGCCATACTAATGTGTATCAATAAATGGACCGATGGTTTCGTAGCAATGCAAGCTCACTCACATCGAGGTACCGAGGCTGTAGCAGGAGGTCAGCAGTTAGTTCAAATGAGGTCATTGCATGGGAAACGGCTTGAGACGTACTTGACCTCTCCTTTCTTCAGGTGGTTCATGTCAATGTGAATTCCATCTGTTTCCTTCTGTCAGCCAGAGCTTCAAGCAGCGTATCTTGGAGATAGACTTCTGCCTGACCTTCCCCAAGCATCCCTGTGACGCCGTGGCCGACCATTGTGTCTGTAGCTGTAGGAGCTGATAAGGTATCAGTTGGAGAGATTACGGGGAGGCTGCCGGTAGATTAGGTCAAAATATCGACAGGTAGAGGTTCAAGGACTAAAAGTTGGATTGATGAAGTGATAGAGCGATGATGATGATGGGCCTGAGAGATGAGCTTGACGGGCAGCTCTGATGGAGCTTCAAACAGGCAGAGCGCGTTACGTTGCCAGCTCAAGCTGATTCTGCCAGGCGGTGGCGCGGATATCTCATCCCATTGGCTCGCTGTCGAACCGGCATCATTAGTTTGATTGCCTCAGGTTCTCCCCGCAAAGCCTCCTGAACGCCAGCCATCGATCAGGCTCATCTATCTCGGATGAAGGCGCTTCTGCTCTCCAACTTGCGAAAATCATCGTCTGCATCATCGTCCCTGCTTTTCTTTGAGTCTGATCTATAGTGTTGTCCCATTGACATGATCAAATCCCTCTAAAGCATCACACATAACAATAACATTGTTCTCCCAGCTACCACTATCTAGATCGTCCCGCCGCAATGTCCGATTCTCCTCCGCCCCCACCGTCCTGGAGTATTGCTGCGATGGCCAACAATGCCGTGCATTTCCTTCGTTTACCGGTCCTGGCATCCTCTGGGCTGGCTGTGGTAGCTAGTGGCCTCCTGTATTTCAAGCAAAAGTGAATCCCCCCCGTCGTATCGCCATTATTTCCTCGTAGTGCGATGGTCAGGAGCTGATCGCATGTCCAGTGAACTGATTTATCCGCGCAATGTCCCCGTTGACGCCCGCACCAATGTCCCCAGTCCGCGACAATTCGGTCTCAATGACTACGAAGACCTCCAAATCCCCACGCCCGATGGCGAGTCGCTACATGCTTTCTTCATCCGGCCAGAGAACAAGCAGCATGCTCGGAATGTGACAGTTTTGATGTTTCACGGCAATGCGGGCAATATCGGCCACCGTGTTCCCATCGCCAAAGTTCTACAGGAGGTTCTGAGCTGTAATGTGCTGATGCTGGAATACCGCGGCTATGGCCTCTCGACCGGTGTTCCGGATGAAGCAGGGCTCAAGGTCGATGCGCAGACCGGATTGGATTATCTTCGACAGCGGGCCGAGACAAGGGATACGAAGATTGTTATTTATGGGCAGAGTATAGGCGGTGCCGTCGCTATTAATCTAGTCGCTGAGAACCAGGACAGTGGGGATGTGGGAGGGTTGATCCTTGAGAATACCTTCTTGAGTATCCGAAAGTTGATTCCAACGTAAGTCCTGCATGGTGCGCTTTGTCTGAAGATTTCAGGCTCTAACATGGAATTAGCGTCTTCCCTCCCGCTCGGTATCTTGCTCGTCTATGTCATCAGTACTGGACGAGCGAAGAGGTGCTGCCAAAGATCAAGGATGTGCCAATTCTCTTCCTCAGCGGCTTGAAAGATGAACTTGTTCCGTAAGTGATCTCGTTGAGACATGCGTCTCGGTCACTTGTGGATTGGATTTTCTAATCTCGTGTACAGACCGTCGAACATGACACAGCTTTTTGCCGTGTGCAAATCAAGCCGCAAGGTCTGGCGCACGCTTCCCAATGGCGGCCATAACGACACAGTTGCTGAACCAGGGTACTTCGAGCACATCCATGATTTTGTCATGGAGGAGGTGGTACGGAGCCAGAATTGAGCAAGCTGCGCATCTTCTCTTGATTTCGGATTGCAAATAAATCGCAACTTAGACGCTGCATCAATGATACCCTTCCGCAATTCCCGCGCACATGCTGCGAGAGCAACGCAACGCATTACACTTTCCGGCGCAGCACCGACCCGCATTGCAGCGTTGCATAGACCTGACGAGCCGGTTAGCATTCGACGCGATGCTGAGCGCACAGATCTCGCTATAGACTGACCCACTACGAGGTTACAACCAGTATGCTCTCATCGCCCCTAGCCTATTCCTCATCTAAGCTCTCCAACCTTTGTTGGAGCAAACCCCGTTACTCGTCTTCATCCGTGGCCAAATTGTACATAATTTGGGTGGCTTGGTGTTTCTAACCTGTCTTCTTTTTCTCCCTTTGTGTGTCGATGATATCAAATGTTTTAATGCGTGGATTGCGGCGGGCGTTTCTTGTTGCTTGACTTGCCTGCCGATATTTCGGCTTTTTTCTCCAGACTGGGGTGTACAAGGGGAATGCTTGGGGGTGTTTGTGGGTAATAGAATTTGGTTCATGATCGAGATAGTAACTATGGGTTTTGTTTGAAGTTAGGCAATTCGCACTGTATCCAGAGCTCAAATAGACAAAGAACAAAATCCTCGGGAACGGAGGACTGGACTCTGTTATTGTAATCGTGCATGGACATGGGATCCAACAGCTATCACGCTTCCAACCAGGCCATCTACATACTCATACTCATACTCATACTCATACACCGCGCCTACTATACAAAAAAGACAACACGCTTTGGAGATATATCTACAACTTCTCCGCCTCCTCCATCAACTCCTCCATCTTGAACCCCTCCACATCACCCCGCGTAAACATCCGCACCAGCTCCCCCTTGCGCCCACTTGCCTGGACCCCGAAATCATAAAACCGCTGCAGACAGCTCACCAACCAACTCGCCTCGGTGGTCGAGATGCCCGAATCCGGCATCACCTGGCCATGCATGAGCACCAGGCCCTTCTCATCCGCCAGGTCCAGGTGGTGCGTGATCGTGGTATGCGGCTGCGCAAACGCGCCGTGCAGCTTATACGCGGCCAACTGGGTGAAGATGACGGTGGAGGTGTGGGTGTTGGCCGACGGGCCGGAGGGAACGGTGGAGGGCGGCGCGGACGCGGGCGGGTGGAACGCCCACTGCAGGAAATGGATGTCTGCGCCGGTGGCGTTGTCGGGGGCGTCGTCGGCGGCGGGGGCTTGCTCGGTGTGTGCGCGGGGCAGGGGGAGGATGAACTGGGGGTTTTGGCGGGCGGCGGCGGCGATGCGCTGGTAGATATCTAGGGGGATGCTGGCGCAGATGGAGTTGGGGTTGTTGGCGTGGCGCAGGCGCCAGAGGGCTTCGATTTCCTTGGGGGGTAGGGCGCGGACTTTGGCGACGTCGAGGTAGGAGTCGAGCGGTTTGATGCCTGGGGATGAGCCTGCGGCAGCTGCGGCAGCGGTGGAGATAGGCTGAGGGGATGGAGGTGGTGTGGGAGGAGTCTGCACCGTTGAGGAAGGCTTGGGGGATGAAGGGGGTGTTGTTGGCTCCGGGGTGAGTGGTGTGGCAGCGTCGCGGCGGAGGTCGTTGATCTTATCCTTGTAGGCTTCTTTCAGAGAATTGACTGAGTCGTGGCCTGCTCTATGGGCTTAATGTCAGCAGGGATGCTCAGAAGTAGGGAGATATGGTTAACTGGGGGGAAAACTCACTCTTTCGCCTTCTGGTCCAGCTTGGATTTGTATCTATCCAGAACCTGGTTGGGGTTGTGGTGCGTCGCGAGGAAGCGCACATCGTGTACCTGCGCCCATCGTCTTTGCGGTGTATGCATCAGAGAGGATCTACTCCGGAGCACCGATTGGAAAGCTGAGGACCTGAGCGACGCCATTGCTGCGAGAACTGTGCAAGTTATTGAGTGAAACGGAGAAGTTGCAGCCGGAGAAGGCGGCGGAGACAATCATAGATCGGGGATTACTTAATCACAGTCCAACGGTCAGCTGGGTTGATGAGCCCTAACGCGATCATCATATGCAGACAAGAGGCATGCAGAAGTAGCTTGGAACGTCCTAATTATGCTATTTTGTTATTCTTTGTTCTAGAGATACTTGCATACGCTCATATTATACATGTCATCAGACGATCTTGCTCTCTGGCGGACCGAGATAGCTGGGCCTAACACCTCCCAGGTCGACAACCACCTTCTGGAACACAACACCTGGTTCGATGGCCCACAGCTTAAGCGTGTTCTTATTACCGCCAGCCTTCACAACATGCTTGGTGGTATTGGTCCACACTGCATCGCTCACCACTCCATTCCAGGCCGAGGGCAAAGTCCCCATAGGCGTCGTAGGAACAAACTGAACCACCTGAGGCTCATCGTCGTTGAAAGCGATGGCATATTTGAGAGGGCGGCTGTGATCGGTATTAAGTGAGGGCCCCAGATACACGGTAGCCTTAATATTAGACACGTTGGAGAACAGATACATGTCGTACTCGAGCCGGGGGGAGGATGGCGGCTGTTGGGTTTCGACTGTGACGGGGAGCAGTGTCACTCCAGACAGCGTACGACCATACCCAGGGATGACGGCGTAGGAGGCATCATCTGTCGTGGTGTTGCGGGTAGCATGTTCAGCCTCAATGCTGACCGTAGCATCCGATTCGACGAAGCCATGGAAATCAGCCGGAACGGACGTGTTGTTGACCGGAAGCTGCACAGTGGGCATGCCAGTGTTTCCATAGTCTTCCGATGCAATAGTCACATTGATCGAAGCCATGTGGGATCCAGCGGGCACTTTAGACCAGTCGACGGACAGTTGAACGCGCACATCTGTGTTGTTTCCGGACGCTGAAACCTTGCCGGTTGAGGGCGTTGCCTTGACCCAAGAGTCATGAGGGCTGACGGTGAAGGTGAAATCCTGTGTTCCACGAGAATAAACCTCAATCCAGCGGCTGCTGGGCCCATATGGATCCAGAGGTGGCAGGGCCAGAGTGTTGGAGGACAGCGAATGCCACTGGTCATCGCCCGGGATCGATGCATTGCTTCCTTCGACTGAGACTCCCATACTTCCAGCCAGGCTTTCTTCCAGGATTTGGGTATACGCCAATGGCGGGAGAACATTTCTCATGGGTTGTTGCCTGTTGGTAACTTCTTAGCGACCGCTCCGAATCTTGAGCGAAATGGTCGAACTTACCAGTAGTTATATCCAAGATGTGTCTGGTCCATGATGTGGTTCCACTTGCCATCGAGAAGCTCATGATATCTTTGAGCCAGAGCGTAGTCATCTTTGAAAAGCTTCAGGGCTTGCTCTGCCAAGGTGTTGGCGCTGGTTCGGCGCTGGCTGGCGTAGAGTTTGTTCTTGGCCGCGGTGATATGGATGTTGATGACAGTCGCACCGGCCAGGCAGGGATGCAGAACCAATTCGAAGAACGAAGGTTGAACGGAAGCATCAAGTCCCTTGTAGATCTTCTGAGCATCATCGGCAAGGGCCTTCCACTCATTTAGCACGTTATCTGCTTCGTTGTAGTTGATAACATTGTATGTGTTGGGGTCGACAAGTTCGTATTTTCTTCGAGCGGCATACATCCCGTAACGGGCCATGATATCGGCAACCTCTTTGGAGACCTTCTCACCAAATTCACGGGCAGCCCATTGAGTCAGCCATTGAAGAGTGCTGTCCGGCGACGCCCATTTGAGTGTATCGTAGCCGAGGTCAAAGAAATGGTTCAGTGGAAGTTCCTGAATATCACATTAGATGCCAGACTTCGCTTCCATTATCTCCGCACTTACCAGCCCTTTCAGATCGCCAATGTTGACAATCCAGATCTGCTTTGCTTGACGCTCGTATGCAAGATGCATCTGCTCCCAGGTCTTTTGGAGTGAAATGGTGTTGATCCATTTGTAGTCACGTGGTTCGCCGACATAGTCGAAATGATAGTAAACGCCCGCGCCAGCAGACCGTTCAGTCTCGTTGCCCACAGGCAGCCGCTGGATGTTACCCCAGTTATCATCTGCCCAGAGAAGGGTAATATCATCGGGGACACGCAGTCCTTGCTCAAAGTACTGGCCAACTTCCTTGTACAGGCACCAGACCTGCGGGATGGTTGACAGGTCCGTGGTGTTGAGAACCTCCGAAAGGATCTTCTGCTGAACTCGAACAACGCTTCCAAGAGATTCTGCTGTAAGAGTCTCACTGGCTTCATCACCAAATCCACGCATACCTTCAGTCCAGAGAGTATCGAAGTTTTTAGCTCTTTCAACGCCTTCTTTGAAGAACTGAGTGATGTTCTTTTCGTTGGTATCCCAACTCCAGGGTCCCTCCATGAAGAGAGCCTGCTCATTGGTCGCCCGAGCCATAGGTTCGGTATGGCTTGTACCCATGACAATACCATACTCATCAGCTGTTTCACCGTTGCGAGGGTCGTCGGCATAGAAGGCGTTGTTCCACATGGCCGGCCATAGGTAGTTGGCGCGAAGTCTAAGCAAAAGCTCATAGACGCGAGAGTAAAAGTGAGCATTGAAGCCGGGGCCGTATTTGGCAGGAGGGTAGTTCTCGTTGATCCAGTTGGTTAGGGCTGGTTGTTCGTCGTTGATGAACATGCCGCGGTACTTGACGGACGGCGGGCCTTGGACCTTCTTCTTTTTCAGGGCATAGATCTCGGAGTGCTTGGCAGGAGCAACATCGGCGAACCAGTACCAGGGAGAGACTCCGATTTGTTCGGAGATATCGTAGAGGCCATAGATGACTCCGCGCTTGTCACTTCCGGAGACGACAAGAGCGCTCGGGACACCTGGGACCGGATTGTGTACATACTCCGATTGAAAGGCTTCCCATTTGCCCCTTGTCTTATCAACATTGATCTTGCCCTGCTGCACAAGGGAATCGATGAGTCGGGACTTGCCGATTGTCCCAGCAATGATCACACCCTTGTTGTTGCCATGAACGGGGAATTCGTCGTGAGGATTAGTGCTATTGACCAATTCTTTGGTGAAGTTCATGCCAGTCACTCGTCCAAAGTCAACGGCAAGATCGCTAGCGGCTCGAATAACACCCGGCCAGTCATTGCCGTCAAGCACGATAACACCCGGAGCGGTGTTCCTGTCGGCTAACTTGAAAACATCCTTTCCATTCTGGAAAGCGATAATGGGTTCCTGACCGATCGCTCGGACAGTCCCCGCCACGCAGCCGATAGCGAGGAGCAAAGCGAGTAACATGGCGTCAACAGTGACAGCTCCGGTTCGAACCCTGTGCAAGAGGTAGATGGTATCGCGCTGGTCCCCCGGGTTATATATTCAACACCCAAGAAATCAATAAAGGCAGCCAGGGAACCATACTCCAGGACATTAGCCAGAGAAGCCGGTAGGAGGAGCTTCCCATGTTTTCAAATGCCTATAGGCAAGCCTGAGCCCTCGCAAATGCGGAGAAGCTCTGACCTCACCACCTAAGCTATAAGACTGCTGCACAAAGAATCGCGACAAATTGCGATTCATATTAGCCTAAATAATTTGCAGGTCGATTAAAACCGAGTTGGAAGCATGGTCAAACACCGAGAAAATGAGTTCGATTGGAAGGAATCGTGTTATCCCAGTCGGTGGTGGAGATTATGGAGCCCCGAGTGACGGATAATATCTTCATATTGGGCACAAGTAACTAACAGTAAGTAGATAATTGGCAGAGGCGTGGAAGCCTGAATCTTGAACTTTGTCATTAGCACGTCGACGGCTTTTGAAATGACTCTAATGGAGCAATGATCGGAGGGCACCAATGCTTGGTGGTGGATATTTCCATGTTAATCAATATAAAGACGGAGCTAATCCGGAGTAATCCATCCCCCCCACACTTTCAGCAGTCTGGAGACGCGCAGAAAACTCCAGATTCTGATTGATCACTCATGGCATCTTGTTTGAGACTCGACAGGGGAGTTGGGATTCTATTTCAATGGAAAATAGATCAGTGAATGGTGATCATCGATAAGGTAGAGTCTGGTTTTGATGTCTTTGATAGTCGATATTGATATCATGTGACCGTCGAATTCCTCTCTCTTCATACTGTGGAGGATCGAAATAATTCTCAAGATCGGGCAAAGCACCATCGTAGCTCAACTTGTCCCGATTGGCACTTGGCAACCATCTTCTGCCTAAAGTGATCTTGTCCATCTGTCTTTGTCTCACATTGAAATGCCCAATGCCATCCGCAGCAATGAAATGATGTCCTGGCCAGAGCAATGGTCGTACAACCGCGCATAATTACTAATGGAACAAGCACAACAGACTTATGCGCAACACGTGGAGATTGCAGAAGATGGCGAGGTTGTCGCTGTCGTTGTCGTATGAGCCACAAAGCTATCACTCAAACCACGTTGATTTCCACGGTCCTTTCTTCCTTTATTCGATGTATCTATTTCTAATCTTCTAATTCTATCCATTCATTCCTTACTCAGAAAGGAAAGTCCATTTGACGTTCACTGGATTGGACGTTCGCACAGCATATTTGCGGGTGACGTTATCTCGACTATTCTATCTTCCCAGTCCCCTTTTCTCAACTTTCTACACACGGCCATGGCCAACCGTCAGATCACAAGACGTATTCTGATCACCTCGGTGGTCGCGGTATTCCTTCTATTCGTGCTCTTCTTTCGACCCCATGGCCCGCCGAGTCCCGCTATTCGCGCTCCCGGTCATATCGACAAGTCTGCGCCGGCCGCGACAGTCAAAAATGAAATCAAAGACGAGATTCTGAAAGGGGAGGTGGTTATGCCGCGGCTGGGGAACGAGACAGCAAAGTAGGCCACCGTATATCTTTGAATCAGGTCAGGAAACTAAACTATCGGAACTTTTCAGAGCAGAACTAGGTCGTGCGACATGGAAGTACCTCCACACCATGTTGGGTCGGTATCCGGAAGATCCCACGGAAGAGCAGCAAGAGACACTGCGCTCGTTCATCCATCTCTTTGCGCGACTATATCCCTGGTAGGTTTTGGGTAGGTGGCTCATGTGGCATGGTTCAGGCGGCTGACTTGTTGGGACCAGCGGTGAATGCGCTGAACACTTCCGGGGCCATTTGGAAAAGTACCCGCCACAGGTTTCCTCGAGAAATGCCGCTTCAGGCTGGGGCTGCTTCATCCACAACGAAGTAAACACAATGCTTGGGAAGCCGGAGTTTGATTGCACTAAAATCGGCGACTTTTATGATTGTGGTTGCGCGGACGACGCAAAAGCCACAACCGAGAAAGGCGAACCTGCCAGTGGTAGTCAGAGCTCGCCCCAGAAGAAGGACCAAGGGGGCGACGCGGTCACTCCCGTTGAGATCCATAAGGAGGAGTAAGTACTTTGATGTACTACATGGGTATTAACCGCTGACCGACTAATTTAGCACCACCCGGGGCTGATCTATATCCTTTGCCGTCAGATTCACCTGGCCAGTCAATTCTTCGCACGCAGGCCGTTGATCTCTGTCGTCTTCGGAGCTGGACTCTTGTATAGTACATAGAATACGCAATCATTGAAATTCACCGACTGGGCATGTCTGCAGTTTGCTACCCTTCTACGAGCATATGACAGCACTTGCGCAGTCTCTGGTATCTGCACCTTGAGGAGTCTAGATAGCTCCAGATATTCCTACTTGGGATCAAAAGAAGCTTTGGACTGTTCTTTATGAATTGGAGTGCAGATGACGGTCTATGAATGCTACACAGGGACGGCTACTGGGGCGCATGACTGCCCTTTGAAGCTTGGATGTAATTGTGACTTGCACAAGTGACCATCCGCCCACTCATCGGGAAGGCTTGTTCTTTGCTCGAAACATGGCTTTGGATGAACATCTTGCATGAATTGATTGCTCGTCGATTCAACATGTTTCGTTTATACCCGAAGTATCGATCTCAGAATTGATGGGTAGCGCGACAACCAAGCATAAGGTATCTTTGGAGTATGTACCGCCCGATATATAGCCACTCTATTTTTGGATAATATAGTTCTACCATCAACAATATCTCGTCTTTCATCCATTCATATCCACATGAATCTCGTCTTGAAACACCTCGCACAGACTCACAGCCCCTCTCACCATCCCAGCCAAGTGAGATGGCGGTTGGCGGAGGAAAAGATCGCGCCCCCCTTGAACAGACCGCAACGAGTCGTCTGACTACCTGGGCCGGTCAGCGCAGAAGTACAGACGCCGCAATGCCGCCGCCGTAATCCTAATTCGCACACTTCTGTCCCTTTGACCAAGGAACCCTGGTTGTTTGGCGATCTATGATTGCGTTTCAGGATGTCGCTAGCAAGCGAGTTCAGATAGCTGAGTGTGGTTATACAGACCCAGGCTGAGAGATGCAAAACTGGCCCCCAAAAGTAGAGAGGTTAAGTCTCGCAGAGTAGTTATATCTGGCCATGATCAGCCACTGTCGCAGAACCATGTCTGATGGTTTGTTTCAAAAGTCGGACAGCATGAACGATTGCGATTGCGGGGAGAAAAGCATTGTCGCTGTTGGATACCTCGTTCTTAAGGCAGAAAGGCAGCCATTGACACTAACCTGAAGGGGTATAGCGCCATTGTTGCGCAATTCTGTATTTTTTATTTTTATTTTCTTTTTTCTTTTTCTTCTCGGGGATTCGTTTTTCGCAAGAGACGCGCCAGAACAGGAAAAAAGCGAATCGGGTGCAGTTTGCAGTCGGTCAGAGAAAGGTGAAGACATCTGCTGCAAATACTCGAGGATTATTTCGGTTGGCGCCGGATCCCTGCGAAACCGCGCACAGCCAGTTTCATTCCTCTGTGGACTCTTGTTTCTCCATCAACGCTCGTTGTTTTCACATTTCCTCCGCCGAAGGGGCCCCGGGTTGCTTATCACAACCTCATTATACACGCTGGCGATAAGCAGCCTTTTGGGCTCATAATCTGAAGGTCGCGCTTGCTACTTGCATCGAAGGTCCAAACCTATCTGTGCGTCTGTCTTTGCGTGTCGCTACAATCACCTAGTCGGCGCATACGCTTATCGAACAGTTATAGTGGGGTCAAGATGGTGTCTTTCTCATGCGAAGTAAGTAGTAGACTACTGTCTCTTCTTCATCGATAGACAGGGCTAAACTTCTCCGTTTACGTCTAGGCGTGCGGCGATGTCCTCACCAAGAAGAAGCTCGACCCTCATCGCAGCCAATGCCGAGGCGCATCCTACACCTGCATCGATTGCATGGTGCACTTCCAAGGGCTTAGCTATAGAGCGCATACGGTAAGCCTTCCTTGCTTGATATGAATCGCGGTTGTAATCCCGCCAGCCGGTTATGGCCATGTGCCATGGTTCCTTGCTGCGCATATCTTCCGGCAGCAAGACTGGAGCTGACTCATTGTGATATCCAGTCATGTATGTCCGAGGCCCAAAAATATCAAGGCGCATTGTATAAGGAGAAGCCGGTGAAGAACCAACGCAGAGGCCAGAACCAGAACCAGAGCCAGAACCAGAAACCCAACGCCAACAATCATCACCGCGCTCCATACGTTGAAGATGCCACAGATGTCGATGTTCCCAAAGCTAATGCGCCCCCACCGGCCCCTACACCGCCACGCACCGAGAAAGCCGCGGCAGCCAAGGCCGAGACATCCAAATCCGTCAACGTCTTCGACTACCTGGTGACCGCGGATACTCCCAACGCATCAAAAGTCTCGCTTGGCGGGCCCAAGGAGCAGATGCAGATGGTTGATCATGCGCCGTCCGTCTTCGAGACGAGCAAGGCGCTGGCACGTGTCGAGAGCGACAACGACGAGGAGAAGAAGAGCTATGATGTGGCATATGAGGAAAATGGCTTCTCTTATGGAGCAGGCCCAATTGAGCCCGGAGTTTACCCCAGCAAGGCACCCAATGTTTCGATGGAGTTTCTGACCCCAGCGCCGAAGAAGAAGAAGGATCGTTTGCGCGCAAGCGAGAAGGGCAGCGCCACGACTAGCGACAAGAAGCGCAAGCGGCGCACTGACGATGTTGACATGGATGTTGATACACCCCTGGTTGAGGCACCATCGAGCGTTGTCAATCACCCAGGCACGCCCATGTTGAACCACTCGGGCCTTACCGGCGGATTGAGTCGGATGCTGCGGTCTCCCTCGGCCGAGACCGATGATGATGATCAGCCCAAACAGGGTGCTCGTCAGCGCTATCCAGATCCCTCATCCCCGATCAAACGAAGCCGGCGGGATGACCAGGAGGGCGAGAAGGATGGAGGTCTGGGTATCTCGATGAAGAACAAGGCAGGCCGCCTTGTGTCGTCAATGTTTGGAGGGTCTGTTGCGTCCGGAAGCAGCGTTACCAACGATGATAAAGCGTCGAATGATGCTCGCCGGTCAAAGAAGACCGCACGCGTCCGTAGCCCCAGTGGCCAAGTCGCAACGTCAGATTCACGCAAGTCGAAGCGCAAGAGTAGCGCTCAGACGGGAGGTGACCGGCCCACGCAGCGACTCAAGCAGATCGAGTACGACCAACCCCAGCGAGATGAAAGTGGCCGCGAAGTGGTGGTTTACGGCCAGCCGAACATCCCCAGTGAACTTCAAAGACAAATGGCTTCCCACTTCCTTTCTCTGGTGACCAAAGGACCGGAGAGCTCACGAGGGTTCTCGATGAACAAGATACTGAAACGGTTCCATCGCGACATCACCGATGAATTCGATGCCGACCGCGGGCGTGATCAAGGGCGAAGCCGCGCGGATCGTGAGCGGAGAGTCGACGACGAGAAGGAATTATGGCGCACATTGCGCGTGAAGCAGAACGAGCGTGGAGAGATTGTCCTCTTCTTCTGAGCTTTGAGTGTTCTCGATGGGATTGTTCTTGCTGGTTGACAAAAATTCTCTTGATACGAGGACTCATTTACCACTCTGTTTTGTGCCTTATGGAGTAATATGCATAGCGCTATGGCTTGATGTAGGACTGATTCAATCAAAATTTCTTGCTTTTTTGCAGACCGAGAGGAATCCTTGTAGCATGCTGTCACTTGAATATCTCTTCTGTAGGGTTTATGACGATGCATGAGTCATTTTAGTGCCGTGTTTATTATGACTCGACAAGCGCAGGACTGGCAGTCTGGCCAGTTGAAGCAGCAGGAGACGCATTCTGTCCTCCACTGCAAACCCGCAATATGGATCTGGTACGAATTGAATTGATTGATCAATGCTGTTTTTCATTGGAGATCCAAATCCAAGCCAGGTTGACTCATTTTCTGTCGAATCGGATGCCTCCTTCCAGCAAGAATCAGTCAAAGCCGCGTCGGAACCAACTTTTTTTTTTGCCGCCACCCGGACATAGACGCAGATCTGCTATCTCTAAGCAATAAGTCTTCCAGGAACGCCTTCATATTCCATCTTGTTCCCTTTTCCCATTTTCTCGAAGCAATCAACCTTTCTTCTCTTTCTTTTGTTTTTGGTCTATTGCTTTCCGAGTTTTTCTCCTCCAACTCAAACACATACTTCTGTTCTCTGATCAGACCAGACTGACATTCCTTTTTCTCTCCGCCTTCTGCGTCATATCGGATCGCTTTTCAGCAACAACAATAACAACAATTCTCGTCGCAACAACCCATCCTGTCTTTATTCGAGACTGCGAATCGCTCGCTCAACTCGCAGTGCATGGGAATCCCTCAAGCAGACTCGTCCCAACCTTCTCGAACCGTCGACACCATGTCGGGTTCCCCGGTGGCCACCGCTGACAACAGCACCCCGCGCCCCAAGATTGCGAGACGAGGCCGAGGCCGTGGCGGTCGTGGCTCACACCGAGCACCTGCATCAGCTACCCCTGAAACACAACCCGAACAGCAGTCCAGCGAAGCTTTGGCGACGAATAGCAGATCGAACGAACCGCGAGCTCCGCGAGGGCCCAGAGGGGGCAAACGAGGGGGGAGAGGTGGGGGATCGTCACAGGATAACAGTCGACGGCGGGGACGCGGACGGGGTGGCGAGGGAGCAGCCGTCGGGGCGGGTGGACGGATCTTCGAAGGACGCTTGACAAGAGCCGAGCGGGCGTTCGACGAGGAGACCGCGGAGGGAACGGGGGAGGCGCAGGAACCGGAGTTGAGGGCTAATGCGCCCGACTTTGTGCCTGGTGCGTCGGTGAGCGGAGATGCAGTTGTAATATCGTCTGCTGCCTCAACGGTGGGGAAGGGAAAATCGAAAAGCGCGCAGCATCGACCGCCGAAGGTTACGACGAAATCTACCGCGCCGGATATCGCCACTCGGATACACGAAGATATCGCGCACAATCTTTACGAATGTCCCATCTGTACGAGCGAGCTGGGGCGCAGGTCGAGGGTGTGGTCCTGCGGGCTATGCTGGACAGTTTTCCATTTGAGTTGTGTCAAGAAGTGGTCGAAGAACGAAGGCTCCGCGGCCCAGGATGCTGCGCGTCGGTCGGCGGACGGGGCGTCGAGTGCTCCGCGTGCCTGGCGGTGTCCCGGATGTAACCTCCCTCATGAGATTTTCCCTTCTTCGTATACCTGTTGGTGTGAAAAGGAGGTGGACCCGCGTCCGCTACCTGGACTTCCTCCGCACTCCTGCGGGCAAACTTGCTCGCGGCCTCGTAAAGGTTGCCCACATCCGTGCGATGCGACTTGCCATGCTGGACCGTGTGCTCCTTGCACTGCGATGGGCCCGACGCAGGATTGTTTTTGCGGAAGGAATTCGTCGACAAAGCGTTGCCAGGACACTGATTACGAGAAAGGATGGAGTTGCGGCGAGATATGTGGAGATCTGCTTCCCTGCGGCGAACACACCTGTACTCGGCCGTGCCACGAGGGGCTTTGTGGAGTGTGTGAGGTCAAGATTGACGCTCGGTGCTACTGTGGAAAGGTGCAGACGGAAATGCTTTGCAGCTCCAAGGAGGAAGAGAAAGACAGTCAGCTAGCGCGGGACGAGGATGGCACGATCGAAGACTGGGTGGGCTGCTTTAGCTGCGGAGACCAGTGCAGCCGTCCCTTTGATTGCGGCGTTCACTTTTGTGAGAAGGGCTGCCACCCCCAGGATGCACATCCCGCGCACTGTCCCAGGTCACCGGATGTGGTATCTCACTGCCCTTGCGGGAAGACCCTACTCGCAGATACACCTAATTTCTCGCCCCGAACGTCCTGTGAGGACCCGATACCGAACTGCGCGGAAGCCTGCGGCAGGATCCTGCCATGCGGACATTCCTGCGATCAGGTCTGCCATACTGGCCCTTGTGGCCCTTGTTTGCGCAAGGTGCCTGTTAACTGCCGCTGTGGCCGCACGACGGTAGTGACTGTGTGCCACCAAGGTACAACCGACGCTCCTTGGTGTTTCCGGATCTGCAAAGCGGGACTGCATTGTGGCCGACATGCGTGCGCCGAGCGTTGCTGCCCGGGTGAGCAGAAGGCTATTGAGCGTCAGGCTATGCGGCGGAAGCTCAAGTCGCATCTCCGTCCTAGCGACGAGGATGTGGAAGCCGAACACATCTGCACGCGGGTCTGTGGCCGTCCGCTGAAATGCGGAAGACACACCTGCCCGGAGATCTGCCACAAGGGACCTTGCAATACCTGCCGGGAGGCGATCTTTGAGGACATCCCTTGCAACTGTGGCCGAACCGTCTTATCACCGCCACTGCCCTGCGGAACCACACCTCCGGCTTGCTCGTTCCCTTGTGAACGCCCTAAGCCATGTGGCCACCCTCAAACGGCTCATAACTGTCATACGGACGAGGAAGGTTGTCCGAAGTGCCCTTTCTTGACCGAGAAGAAATGCCTTTGTGGCAAACGCGTTCTGAAGAACCAACCATGCTGGCTGGCAGAGACACGATGTGGCCAGGTGTGCGGAGAGCCGCTCAAATGCGGTTCCCATTTCTGCCAGAAGACATGCCACCGGCCGGGTGAGTGCGAGGATGCCTCGAAGCCCTGCCAGCAGCCCTGTGGGAAGACCAAAGCACTGTGTGGTCATCCATGTACGGACGCATGTCACGCTCCGTACCAGTGTCCTGAGAAGACGCCCTGCGCGTCCACGGTCACGGCAACATGTGGTTGCGGGCGACTGCGCCAGTCGCGACGCTGCAACGCGGCTGTGGCATCGAAGGGACTACCGCAGCAGGCCCAGAAGGCCCCCACGTTGACTCCGTTGACATGCGACGATGAATGCGCTCGCCTGGAGCGGAACCGCTCTCTGGCCTCGGCGCTGGGCGTCGAAATCAACCCCTCCACCACCACCGCCGCCGCGGCCAACGTCTCTCTGAGCAACCTGCCGTATTCGACCGAGACGTTAGACATGTACATCCAGCTCTCCTCCACCTCTCCGCTTTCGACTCTCCAGACCTACGAGTCAACCCTCCATTCCCTCGCAACCAGCACCACCCAGCGCTCCGTCCGCTTCCAGCCCGCCAAGTCCTCCCTACGAGCCTACATCCACTCCCTGGCCACAGACTGGGGCTTCGCCAGCGAAAGCTTCGACCCCGAACCGCATCGCCACGTCTTCGTCCTGAAGCCCACGACGTGGACGGCGCCGCTTCTCGGCGTGGGGCCCGAAAACTCCATCGGCATCGGCGGCAAGAGCGTCGGCGAATGCGTCAAGATCCGCGAGCGCCAGCGCCTCAAGGAGCGCGAAGCGCAGCGCCTCGCCGCCGCAGAAGCCAAGGCGCTCAAGGACGCCGCGAAGGCGCAGCAGGCCGCGGACAGCGCCAACGGCGGGTGGGCGCAGGTTGCTGCCTCGCGCCGCACCAATGGCGTGGGCGCGGCTCGCGCGGCACTCGCGGCGCCCGGTGCGAGCCCCTGGTCCGTATCCATGTATGCAGCGCTCGCGGGGGATAGCGGTGGCTGGGGTCCTCCGAAGAAGGAGAAGCTTGTTCTCCGGTCTGGCGTTGGAGCGGGGAAGAAGAGCGCGACGGCGCCGCCTGTGGCTATGACTGAGGTTGCGGATAGTTGGGAAGAGGAAGAAGAGAAGGAGGAGCAGGAGGAGGAGGCGCGAGAGCGCGAGCTACAGTCGGAGACGGCTGAAGGTAAAACTGAAACTGAAGTTGAAGCTGTGATGACGGATGGACTCTCTGCGGTGGAGACGACGGCCGAGCCCGCGTCTGAACCCGTAGTTGCCACGGATTGATTACTGGGAGTGGGAGTGGACCGCTAGAAGGAAATTTTTTTTTTTTTTCTTTTGCTTTCTTTGCGGCCTGGCATGGATGGATTGATGGATTTTTTTTCTGTTACTTGCTGCATGATGGGCACGATGCATGTTCGGTGTTAATCGCTACTAGCCAGCGTGTCGATTTCGCTTTCGCTTTCGCTTTCCATTTCCCCCCAAAATAGATAAACGTCCAAACAACCTCATAACCATAAAACACATACATCCCATCCCAGACAGTATTGTCCGATACAACCCCCACTACAGAACCTCAATCAAAGTCCTCCAGCCGCGGGATCTTCTTCTCCACAACGTCGCAAAGCTCACCCAACCCTGACCGTAACGTTCCCATCTCCTGGCCATCGGAATAGCATAGTAGATGAGAAGGGTTAGGATAGATAAAGAGAACACGCCACACGAAAGGAGAAGCAGTTTATAGATGCACAGTGATGGAGCATTCCATCCAGCGCCGCCGAGATCGACATGATCCGGACCCTTGCAGGGTTGATTAAGTCCAGGAGGCAAACGAGGGTTACCAGGGGGGAAGCAGATTACGACGCGGGATATAAGGACGATCAGTGAATATGAAGTAGAAGTAGTATTTAAAGCAGTATTCGTGGCAGTATCCAAAGCATCATAATCGTCTCAAAGCGCATCTATACACTCATACTCTAGCCATTCCAGCATCACACTGTATACAAGGGGTATCTTTTTTTTTGTGCAACAACCAAACACAGCCCTCAGATCATCACACCCTTGTTCTGGTGCTTGTTTACATTGTAGTTCTTCCAGACAGCGATGGCCGGGATGCCCAGGACCAACAGGCAGGTAGCAGCGATCGCTCCGTACTTCTGGCTCTCGCCCCAGGCGTAGTTGATGGCGTTTCGGCCAGCGGTGCCCACGGGGTAGTCTGTCATCTGTGTGGAATAACCGCCCGCGAAAATGGTCATGGCCTGGTCCTTGAGGTCTGCCGGCAGACGGGACTCGAGCGAGCTGACGAAGACATTGTTGAAGATTGCAGCCGCGACGGCATATCCGATCGCTCCTCCCAGGCTGGTGAACAGACCGATGAACGACAGCATCATGGGCACGCCTTCGCGGTCCGCGGAGGCCATCACGGCCATCTGCTGACCGATCACCAGGGTGCCGCCGCCAAAGGCAATGAAGATCTGGCACATAATCACGTAGCCGATATCGTCCGACTGGCCACGGAAGTGAATCATGAGGCCTGCCCCTAGGATCATCAGAGGCAGAGCGAAGACCAAGCAGGCGTACTTGAAGTGGTGTGTCCAGCGAACGTAGAGACCGAAGATCACGCCCCAGAAGCACGAACCCACGTTGTAGATCTGGATCATGTAGCCAGCCATGGGGATGCTGAGGTCGTAGACGACGATGCAGAAGTTGTAGAAGTATAGATCCCAGCAGTAGAAGCTGAAGAAAACCACGCCAGAAAGGATGCAGGCGCCTAGCACGGTGCGTTGCTTGAGCAGATCATATTTGATGAAGTGGACGCGGGCAAACCACTTTTCCCAAGCGGCAAAGACAAACAAGAGACAGAAGCCGACCACGATCATGGCAATGAAGGTTGCGCTCTTGTATTCTGCGCGGCCATTACTGGCCATACCGAACGGCAGCAGCAGAAGAACCCAACTGGCCATCAGCAAAGCAGCGCCAACGACTGAGGAACAAAGTCAGTTGCCTTGGACGATGTAAGGGATCCGTAGGGTTTTGGAGGAGAAGATCATACCGTCAAACTCGTGGGTATAATGGATCACCGACTGGGTCCATGTGCGACCGCTGCGTTCCCGCACGTAGAGACCCATCCGCTCAGCTTTCTTCTGATACATCTTGAAGACCACTGCCAGGGGAGCGAAAACAACAGGCATGACGATGGCAAAGGTTCCATAGGCCCACCGCCAGGTGGTGATCTTGAGGAAGGAGTTTGCCGCCAGGGGAGCAGTGAACGCTGTGCAGATAAAAGGTGTGCTGGCGAAAGCAAAGGTAAAAGCTCGGTTCTTTAGGCCCGAGGTATCCGCAACGAAGACATCGAGAATCAAGTAGATGGCGTCGTAGCCGATCCAGTACAGGGTGTAGCCCGCGGCGTAGGAATCAGGGCCATTGCACGCGGCCAGGATGATCAGGCCGATCTCGTAAACCGCGACAAAAACCAGGAGACCTTCGGCACGGCCCCAGATATTGAGCATCTTGGCAATAGGCAGCTTCAAGACACCGCCGATGATACTGTACAAGATATTGGCGGTGCTGATCTGAGGCGCCTTCTGGAAATTCGCGTAGGCCTTCCAGATGACGTTGCCGCTGATACCGGACTGCAGGGCCAGGAGGAAGAAGCACACCCAGATCCTAGAAGTTCGACAATCAGTCAGTGGACGTCTTGAATCTGCGTCTCTGATTGCACACTCACCAGGCATAGGTGGCCCAGACGGCCTTCTTGCTCCAGACCAACGCGGCTGCTTCAGCTTTCTTCACACCCAGATAGGCCCCGGCGGTGACCTGGCCGGGATGCTGCTGAATTTCCTTTTCATTCCGCGCTTCCAAGCTCAGTCTCGAGGAGTCGTCGGAGAGATCGTTCACTTGAGGTGTTTGGTGCCCAGTCTTGGGCGTATGAGCTTCCATTGCGGAAGCATCATGATGGTGAGCCTCATCACGGGTCCGGAACTTATTCAGGAAGCCCATGTTGGTAAAGAGTACCTAACCTTCCCACTGATGGTATCGATATCAATGTTACCTCCTCAATGTATGTGCCTCGTGGGGGGAAAAGGCAAACCAACAACGCAAGACGAAGGTCGACTGCAGGAAGGAGACGAGAGGGGAAGAAAGCAACGACGATCCCAGAGCAAGATCGGACGGGACAGGGCCAGTATTAATATGAAATATCTATCTAGTGCTATCGATCTGCCGACGTCAAAAGGCGAACCCGACACGAGGTGACGAGACCCAGAATGACGCTCCACCCGGCCGATGGAGGCGATGAAACGGACCCATGCGCGATGATCTTTTTTCTTTTCCTTTTTTTTCTTTTCCCTTTTCCTTTGCCTCTCCTTATGGTCGGTCCTTCCACACCAGTGACCAGACGGCGAACCGCACCTGCTGATTGTCCATTGCTGAGTGTGGATCTCGCACTAAGCGACCGATAATCGGGAAGAGAAAAAAAGAAAAAAAGAAAAGAAAATGCCCCGGGTGACGGATCAGATAACTTGCTCTGGCTGCAGCGTGAACCAATGGGTCATGGAAGTAGGAGTCGGCTAATCGGACTAAGATGAGAACAAGATTCAAACCCAACATGAGTGTTGACACGGTTGGGTTCTGATTGGGAGAGACGGGCAGACATGGTTGCAGTGGAGTCAATGATAATCGTATTTCCCTCATCCCTCGAGATTTGTGTTACTTTGATGGAAGGGTGTAGAGAGATATTGCTTATTGTGGCTTGTGAGGCGAATGTGGTGGAACAGGGAGACACTCAAAAAGTCGTGAGCTCGTCAAGGGAGACAGAAATCGAAGACAGATACATTCACCCAACTCTCTTCATCGAGACTGAACTCAAGGGGGAATCAAGCATGATTTCATCGTCGGAATTGGCCGGTGGATAATCCTCCACTTTCTACCACAATCAACGCTCCTCCGTCCAAGTCCGTGTCACTGCGCTAGGACAAAAAGCAAATTCCACACGAGGGCCAGTCGTGGTTAGTGATTACCAGCTTTAGTATTATTACCCGTATGTGAGAGTGATTTTTGTTGAGCTTATTGAGATGGTGTAGTCAATATCTAGATGCGTTGTTGTTGTTGTGGACTTTTTTATCTGATCGAATTTTATCTGATGGAAGGGGTCTTTTCATTCTCGTCCCACTTGGACGTCTTGGACAAACGCCTCCCAAGCCAGAACCGCAGGCGAAGGAAGGAAAAGAATGCACAAGCTTGGTGTATCCGCTGTTCTATGATCCATCAAGCCTCGCGTTTTGAATGTGCTGGACTGCTGGTTGATATTTCTATGGTCAGCACTGAGCACTCGATTTTTCCAGAAAATGCTCACTTTATCAATCAGTTGGAGGAAAATTCTATCAAATCAATCTAATCTAATCTGATGCACACCACAGGCACCGAGTCAAAATATCGATGATCGCAATGATTGATATACCGATGCCTTCTCGTTCCAACTCAACAAGATTCAAACAATACGACTGGATCAACTCTGTCTGTCTAAAAAGCAAAGAACCACAGTCATGAGCCAACATGGCCGGCGGTCCCGCAGCCTCTCCTCAGCTACGTGGGGGAACAAAAAGCAAAGCTAAGCTGTGTCAACCAGATGAATTGCCAAAATGAATGTGGCTGCTGCCATCACCGGATCGTGTGGAGCAAGGGGACGAAATTTTTCTCGCCAAGCTACGTACTTATGTACTTACTAGCAACACAAAAATCCACTAGACTCTATGGAAGAGAGTATCATCATGCACCACAAAAGAGATCGCACCCGACTATGCGAGGCTCGAGAAACATGAACCGTGGACGGCCTACTACAGTGTCTGGACTCTGGTTACGTCAAAAATAGGGTCAACGTCGGAAACACCGGTCTCTGAATCCCCAAAGCACACGGGCAATTACCGAGTAAATTCCCTGTTGTGAGTCTGGCCCGCTGGAATGTGACAGGCCCGTGGATTTCTCAGGACCGGGCTTCCTCGGATAACAGTTTCCAAGTTTCCATGGATGGAGTCATGGACTATTAGGCATTAGCATTTAGCACATAGGGATTTCCAGAGGCCAGTTTCGTCTTATCTGATCTGATCGTTCCGGGTTTGCCATCTGATCATCTGTGCAGGGTGCCTTCTGTCCTCACAAATCTATCTACTTTACGATTGACACAAACGCCTCGTTCAGAACTTCAATCAGTAAGACTACATGCTCAGATCTCTCTTGATGTCAGGTCTTTGGTCTTTCCCAAGGGTACAGATGAGTACTGAGTGAGTACTGAGGAAAGATGGAAAATAAATATGGTGGGGTGGCCTGAGGCAGCGATTGACAGGTGACCCCACTCGGCTCGCAGTGTCTCCGCATCAACAGAACAGAATTCAGCAGCCATCGCGGATTCGCGATGCTCTTGGAAACACGGGCCATTATTATTTGTTGGATCCAACTATCGCCTCAATTTACGAGTTACGATACACCTCTCCAGTCCACGCTTCTCGGACCAAGTGCTTGATACGGATTGTCGTCTATAACCCTTCCAATTAGAACAACTGTTCCACCCCCAATCCCAGCAACGGAGCCAAGTACCAATCGGTTGAGCTGGCGTTTTTCCCGCACTAGACACAGAAAACCTTCCCCTTCCCCAGTAGTCCCAAATCACCTATTCAATTTCAGATGCCATCACGTCGCAGCCATACAAAATCCCGGAAGGGGTGTACTAATTGCAAGAAGCGACACGTGAAGTGTGATGAGGCCGTGCCCAGGTACGGCTCTAATCTGAATCCTGCCCATCTACTTCTGCATCCCGTGATTTCTCGTCTCGATGATCAATTGCTTTCGTAGCTGTTCCATATCTCTAACCTAGCCGCAGTTGTGGCCTGTGCAAGAAACGGCAGCTGGAGTGCACCTATCCACCGCCAACCGGGGAAGCCGACAGCCAACATGCATCTACCCCACGGGACGCCATTGAGTCAACTGCTCCAGAATGGCCCCAATCGACCAGAATGCTCGAGATGAGGCTGATGCATCACTATCTCACCAGGACCTATCGGACTCTGCCTCAGGGCAAAATTGACGCGAATCATTTCCAGACCGTGATCCCGGAGATGGCTACCTCCCATCCGTTTCTGCTGGACAGTCTACTTGCGTTGTCTGCGCTACATCTGGCCTCTGTGCAGCCAGACGATAGCCGTCCATGCTTGGAAGCTGCGCTCAAGTATCAAAATCAAGCGTGTGCCGTGTTCACTCGCGTCCTAGCAGAGATTTCGTCTGAGAATTGCGGGCCTGCGTTTCTCTGCTCGGTCTTCATTTTACTATGTGCTACTGCGTATCCATGCGTTGCTGGTGACAGTCACCCCTTTGATCCGCTAGCGCAGGTCCTGGAGACACGCCGCCTTCTTGTTGGATGCGCCTTTCTGTACCACCATCTGAACCAGCATCCGGGCGAATTGAAGGGTTGGCTCCGCTACCCTAACGATGAAACGCTGGAGAAAACCATCACATCCCAAGAGTATGTATCTCGATATAAACTGTCTTGAATGAAACTAACTGGGTGATCCAGACCCTGGAATTCAGAGCTCGTGACGCTGAGAAGGTATGAAAATCCTCTATGTGTATGGTTGAAGCAGGCAGATTACTCACAATCACAAGTGACCTGCTGGACTCTCTTCGACGAGTAGAAATTACGATGAACGAGGTTACTGGGCCTCGGCGTGCAGCTTACCAGGATACCTGGGATTTTCTGCACGACGCTATTAGCCTTTGGCCACTTGGTGGACCACGGGGAGGGATCATTTCGTGGCCCATCCACATCAGTGCAGCTTATATTGCCCTACTCCAGGATGGGGACTGGTTAGCCCGGATTTTGTTCCTGCATTACGGCGTTGGCATGCATTTGCTTTCCGACAAATGGTACGTCAGCGACTGGGGGCGCCGTCTGGTTGCTGCAGTACTACAGCCTTTGGGGGAAATTCCACCGATCTGGGCCGATACCATCGCATGGACTAGACAGGCTGTCGACCTTGCATGCTAGCTTGTCCACGCTCACACCCCAAAAGAGTGCCTGGTTAGCCTCTAGAGCTGAATCATGGTCACTCAGGAAGAGACACTTGAAACACAGATTCTCAACACGACGCACAGCATTGCCGAACACAAGAAGCCTTCGCAAGCCAAGAGCTGATATGCTTGGACTCGCTTGTTTCCTGAACCATCAGAACCATCATGATGAATAAGATGAAGAATATGCGGCAACGAAGGATGCCGACCTATCTACACAGTACTAACTTAATCATTTCCCGACTGTGGACGAGCGAATGAGAAAGAAAGATCGTGTGCCTGAGTGCCTTAAGTGCCTTGTTCCTGCTGACCGAACCACCAATAATGATCGGGTTGCCCGACGCTTATCAATTCCTTGATCCAGTGACCAGCGACCACTAAGTAATCAACCAATCCATCCATGGGGGGATTTCCTGACGGGTGAGTTGGCTTCCATTCCTTCCCTCTTGTTTCTCATTCTCTGCTGCAATATCTCTATTATTCTATTTATCCTTTCCCACCTCTTTTATCCTATCCATTAAATACCCCATAGTTACTCTTGAGTTCTCGGCGCTCTCCTTCGGACTCCGGAGTTCGTTCTTATCGGGTGAGATCCGCCTATCAGGCTGTATGAGTTGTAAGATGCAAGGGTTCAAGTGCCCTAGTATTGTCCAGGATGTGGAGAAACAGGTATAACAGGCTTAACAGCAGCCCATCGTTGGGCTCTTCCGTGCTTTCCCTCATTTTGTTCGAATATCACGCAATCTTCTGGTGGCTGGGAAGGGGTTCTGATTGTTTTCTTCGTAGCCCCTCCTGCGTTCGTCTTCTTCTGAAAATCTTCTTGTCGGCTCAAACCTTCCATCACATTCAGCAGTGCATTGGCGGAATCGAGCTCCAACAATGTCGGGCTTGCTGAGAGCCACGTTTCTCGCCGCGTGTGCGCTCCTGCTATTGGTAATCAGTCTACCTGAGGCACTCACGGCGCCTCTGGAGAATGGCCAGTTTCAGCACATCAAGCATGGTAAGCGCGGTGCGGTCGCCAGTGAAAGCGCCATCTGTAGTCGCCATGGAACCGATATTTTGAAAATAGGCGGTAATGCGGCCGATGCTGTAAGTGTTTCGAACCGTATCCCTGTTCTAGTTGCATGGATCTGCCCGTCTATAGCCTTCGTGGGGTGATGCTAAGCTTTTTCCTTGCAGCTAGTCGCGACCGTCTTGTGTGTGGGTGTTATTGGTAAGACACTGCGCTGCGAACCGGACCCAACCAAATAAGCTCACAGTAGTACCAGGAATGTATCATAGCGGGATTGGAGGCGGCGGCTTCATGCTCGTCAAAGCACCTAACGGTACATTTGAGTTTATCGACTTTCGTGAGACGGCCCCGGCCGCGGCGTTTGAAGATATGTTCACTAACAAGACCGGCGCATCCACCATCGGTGGTTTGGCCAGGTGAGAATCCCTTGTGTTCGGCTGGATATCAAATATTATTGACAGACGATGTAGTGGCGTTCCTGGGGAGCTACGAGGACTGGAGCATCTTCATAAAAAGTATGGCTCGTTGCCATGGTCGGTTCTGGTGAAGCCTGCAGTTCGGACGGCTCGTGAAGGCTTCCCGGTCGGACGCGATCTGGTGAAGTATATGAAGTCAGCGGTCGGCACTGGCCAGGATTTCTTGGCTGAGAATCCGACATGGGCGCTCGACTTTGCTCCCAATGGAACCCGACTTGGTTTGGGAGACACCATCACGCGGAGACGCTATGCCGATACACTCGAGACCATTGCCCAAAAGGGCCCCGACGCGTTCTACACAGGACCCATTGCAGAGACTATGATCAACGCACTACAGGCAGCGAATGGTACCATGACTCTGGAGGACCTGCGCAACTACACTGTGACTATTCGGGATGTCTCACAAATCGATTATCGCGGATATCAGATCACGAGTACGACAGCTCCGTCAAGTGGCTCTGTTGCGCTGAGTATCCTAAAGATTCTGAGCACTTATGACGACTTCTTCACGGCTTCCAACGTGAATCTCAGCACACACCGCCTGGACGAGGCCATGCGATTCGCATACGGCGAGGTACGAGAGCTTCTCCCCTTCCGAGTGCATGCGCCATTTACTAACAAGAGGCCTAGAGAACCAACCTTGGTGACCCGCTTTTTGTCGAAGGAGCAAGTCGCTATGAGGAGAATATGCTGAAACAATCGACGATTGACGAGATTCGGCGGAAAATCTCCGATACTCGCACGCAGAATGTCTCTGCCTATGATCCGCTAGGTATTGAGAGCTTGAACGAGTAGGTGTCGCCGCCTTCAATATTTCTCAAACATCGACTGACGGGCTCAGTGCTGGAACATCGCACGTTGTAGCGGCGGATCATTCGGGTCTCGCGATTTCTCTTGTCACCACTATCAACACCCTCTTTGGAAGCCAGGTCATGGTGCCGGAGACTGGAATTATCATGAATAACGAAATGGACGGTATGTTTTTTTTCAGCGTCTCGTTTTTCTGGACTCCATGGTCTAATACGCTTCAGATTTCTCGGTTCCTGGCAAATCGAATTCCTTTGGATACATTCCTTCAGAAGCGAACTATGTTCGACCGGGGAAGCGTCCTCTGTCCTCCATTACACCCGCTATTGTCACGCGTCCCGATGGTAAATTATTTCTCCTCGCGGGCTCCGCTGGCGGGAGTCGAATCATCACGGCCACCGTGCAAAATATCATCCATGTCGTCGATGAGGGATTGTCAGCAGCAGAAGCATTGGCTCGTCCTCGTCTGCACGACCAGTTAGTACCCAACCAGGTTAGCTTCGAGTACAGCTACGACAACGCCACGGTTGATTTCATGAAGTCGCTGGGTCATAATGTGACTTGGGTCGCGCCTGGTCAGAGTACGGCGCAGGCGATTCGGGTGTTACCAAATGGAACATTCGACGCGGCTGGAGAACCCAGACAGTTGGACTCGGCCGGCTTCTCGATCTAAGCCGTCTTTCCTGGAGGTGCTATCTGATTGCGTATTTGTGCATGTGTACATATGGAGAATATAATCGTGGCATAGCTAGGTAGAGCATATAGACATATACATCTCCTGCCCATATGGGCATATTGCTATCGGCTTCGAGCCGATAGCGCAACCATTCTTGAATTGCAAATTGCTACCCTAATAACTATCTAGATCAGATGGACTGTCCATAGTGCGCATCCGTATCGTAGAGTATGCTTACTGTCAACTAGCCACCCACATCCTCCGGCACCGATTATCAAGCGAAGGGTTGTTTTGCACCAAAATCCTCCCAAGACCACGCTTCACGCCAATCCGGCATCCCAAAGCACCAAGAACATTTTCAGCTCATCTCCAAACACCACACACCCGATCTTGGAGTCAAAACAAGCTATACTAACCGATCTAGGAAAATGGTGGACAGAGCGGAAAAGGGTTCCCAACTCGCACTTATTTAGCTCCTTTATCTTCCAACCCACCAGCGCCAGCGAGAGGATTATCTATCACATTCCATTCCCATATCTAACTACCCTGTACCCCTCCACAGAGCGCTCCTGGGTATGAAACTAAGAAACCCAGCGCGCCATGACCCCCACCGCCGACAACGCCTGTCTCTCCTGCGCGCAGAAGAAGCGCAAATGCGACCGCGAGCTCCCCGCCTGCTCCACCTGTAAACGGTACCGTCCCGTCCCCATCCTCAATCAGATAAGCATCCTCCCCCAGAAATACTCTGTAGCGCGGGCTGATGGTGGGAAACTCCGCGGGGCGGGGCGGGGACAAAAAGACTACATCGCGAATGCCGGTACAAGAAGGCCCCGTCTGTGTCGGACTTCGCCGCGGAGGGGCTTGTCGTGCGTGTGCCACTGCCCGATGCGACGCCGGTGCCTGTCTACGGCGCGGCGCAGCGGGGGGATGTGGTCGCGGTGCCGAGTGGCGCGCTGTCGTCAGTGATGGGTGAAGCGCAGGCGCAGCCGAAATGGGCGTGTCTGGTGTGCAGGGCTGGGAAGCGGCGCTGCGATAAACGGGTGCCGAGCTGTACGCGCTGCTGGAGGCTTCAGATCCGCTGTGTGTATCGGCATAAGGGCGAGGGGGGGACGGCGGCGGCGGCGGCGGCGCCATTCGACGAGACTTTGTCCTTACAGCGGGTGGATGCAAAAGTCCCCTTTCCCGTTCGTGGGGAGACACAGATGCCGATGCTGCTGCATTCGTGTGAGTGAAATTCTGGACAGATACGCGCGCGCGCGCGCGCGCGTGGAGAAAGGCCCCCCTGGATAACGGGAGACTAGTTATCGAAACGTTCGGCATGGCGCTCCTCCCCGTCGACGACGGGAGCCTGGCGTTTCTCCTGCGCACGGCGTGGGTGTCGCGGGCGCTGGCGGACCCGTGCTTCTTCCACGCCACGTTGTTCGCGGCGTCGGCGCACTTGGACGCCCTGCGGAGTGTCCCCAGCACGTCTGCTACGCTGTATCATCATACGATGGCTCTGCGGCTGATTCATGGGAAGCTTGCTTTGCCCGAGGGCATGGTGGATGAGGGGACCATTGCGTGTATTGCGCCGCTGGTGTTTTTCTCGGTGAGTGTATTCCGGATGTCTTGCCTGGGTGTAATCGAACGGCATGGCTGAACGGGTCTCTAGTCGATGAGTAGCGATGAGAGATCCTCGCGGATCCACAGGAGGGGCTTGATGCAGATGATCAGAGTGAAGGGTGGGCTGCAGAAGATGGATCTTGGGGGTTTTTTCTCAGCGCTGATACCCGTGTAAGTTTTGGATGATGCGGTCATGTTCTGATATCTGGTTGATCGCGCTCTGGCTACTGACCTTGGCAGATGCGTCATGACCGAAGCCATCATTTTCGATTCGGCGCTTGATATCCCCGGCGTCGAGATACCACCCACGCCGGCAAAGCCGCCGACATTCTTGGTCTCGGCTGTTCTCGAACGAGCCACACGCGAGACCGGGTTCTACACCCTTTCCGACGAAGCAATCAAGATCTTCAAGGACATCCACACCGCCAGTCGCGACTTCAACGACTTCTTCCCGAGCGGCTCTCTGGATCGTCCATTGTCCGAACTGACGCGGATCAAATGGCTCAATCGAGTGCAAAGAAGGATAAAGCGCGGTTTCAGCACACCAGACAACCCGCAACTGCCCACCACCAATGCAATCGACGAGTGCTGCGGCGCCGCTGCCTTGGTATTCTGGTACATCCTAGATGACACATCCCCCATTGACCCCATGGTGTTAGAGTATCTGGTCGCAGACCTCAAAACCGCCCTCCTCAAGACCCCTGTAGATACCTGGATCCGGCGGTCCCCGGACGCACACGCATGGATCTGCTTGGTCGGCGCGGCGGCTGCTGCGCGCGATAGCAACGACCGGGCCTGGTTCAGCCTGCTTCTGGGGCAGTCGATTATATGTATCCGCAGCGAGGGCGCGGGACTGTATCTGGAGGGTTGGAAGATGTATGACTGGTTGAATCGGCGGCGGAAGCGCAGGGTACGATGGTTGCAGCAGCAGTTAGTGAAATGATGAGATGATTAGCGAGCAATGTGAGAGAGAGGAAGGTCGTCGTGTGGGTGTCGGTTGTATATATTTGGTGTGGAGCGACTCCAGTTACGAGTCTTTGCTACTTTCGCGCCAACCTGCTCCGTAGATATATGGATATATATATATATACTACGAAAATAATTAGTTTGTATCACCGACTTCCTGTCGTTCGGTACATGACATGTTAACTTGGCCATGTTTTTGTATTTTGTCAAATCTACGAAGCGAGATATCAGGACTGCTAGCTCAGACAGAATCAAGCCTTCTTTTCGTTTCTCTATCTGCCTACCAGACAGTTGGAGATTTCCATTCTCATTGTCATCCAGATAGATCAATATTGGCAGTCAACCAGTCTCCAAATGGCCCGAGCGTCTCCGCGTTCTTTGTTCTTTGTTCTGCCGTTGCTCCAAATCCATTCCTCACATTTCTCACATCCGCTTCACTTGAAAGCATGTTGCTTTGCATTTACGGATGACGCACTAGTTGTCTAGATGTCTCATGGGACAATGTTCTAAATCAGAAAGGATTGAGAAAAAGTCCACTTCTGCATGGCCAGTCCTTGGTGCGCAGATTAGATGTAGTGGAGGGTAGGTAAACTGCCTTCCATGATGGCCGAGGTATGAAATATCCAGTGAACTATGGCTGGGATCTGTGAGTATCTTCAAATGCACAAAGCAATATCTACTCACTAACACTTTTCCCACTTGTGTTAGTTCTGAAAACCAACCCTGCTTGGCCACATCACCATGCCTACTTGGATCCTGCAACACAACCGCATATTCCTCTACCTACACTACACCTACCACTCTGACTCTCGATAACATCCAAGAAATTCATCTGAGATAGGCAATAGGCAACGAATCCCCAATGTCGCCTTCCTCTGTCTCCGTCGTCATCCCTCCCCCGACCATAGACCTGGACTCCTACGAACCCTTCGGCGAGGTCTACTCCCGCACTGTGGACGAGATCCTCTCCGACGAGGCCAGCTTCGACGCGACATTTGATTCATACACTGGTGCCGAGGTCATGGGAGAAGCTGGTGCTGGTCGCAAGCGCGGAAGGAAGCGAGGCTCCAACAACGTCGCAGGGCATACGAAATCGCCGTACTTCAACACAGGCCAGCGTGCTCAGAGAAGTGCTCCGGTGGAGGAACACATTTCTGAAACCGAGACCGAGGACGAAGATGAGGATGAGGATAATGAAGAGGAGGACGATTCTCCTGCGGCGATCGACTTGGTGGACGAGGATATGTGCGACATGCACAACAATAGCACTGAAGGTGTCATTGACGACGCCACAGAGGCAGATATCATATTTGCTTCGGTTGGAGTGGACACTCGCTATGGGCTATTGGAGTACATCGCATCGCATTCATTCATGTGTGAGGGCGTATACCCAGTCGAACGGTCGAAGAGACGCGCTTTTGTCCGCCAGGTTCGCAAGAAAGCGAAGTCGGCTGGGCTGGACGAAGAGGCTATTGTGCGGCTGACCCGGTATGTAAAGAAGACGTATCTCGAGCTCTACGGCAAGGGCTGTACCGTTACCCAGGGATCGGAATACGGGGATGAGATTGATGACGAAGAGGAGTATGAGCGGAAGTCGTCGAACTTATTCAAGGAAGAACGGAAGAGGAAGCGTGCCAACGGGGGGAAAGGCAAAGAGAAGTCCAAAAAGAGCAAGAAGGTATCTACTTGCATGACCAACGGTCCACCTGTTCGGACAGATGATCATACCGAGCACGAGGTGATCGATCTCGACGCTGAGGATCCTGAAGATGTCTCGGTCAATGCCTCTCCTGATCCTAAGGCCGTGAAAAACTTTCCCGTTCCCCGTGGCTCTATCGATGGCAGACGCTTGAGCATCCCAAAGCCGTTAAAAAAGTCCCTAAGGCAAGTCCAACGGACTCTTCCTTCGAGTGCCACTGCGGAGAAGGGCAGCAGGAACAACAGCATTGCCCAAGCCCGGAAATATACTTTTCACTCGACTTCAGTGTCCCATGATGAGCCAATCTGCTTGGAGAGTGAAATCGATGTCATCAAGGAACCGTTTCAGGTTATCCCAGCAGCCTCGCGCCTCGATTCGCCCTCCCCGGAGCCAGAAATGCCAGAGGAGAGAGCTCGCAGGCTAAAGAAGGAGAGGAACCGCAGGAAGCACGAGGCACGGAAACGTAGAAAAGCCCAGAGACAGCGCGAGAGCATGGGATTTACCGAGGTTGAGGAGCCTGCCGTGAATGATCCTCCCCTTAAACACACGGCCAACAAGCACCCTTGGAAGGACAGAGGTGCCGCTAAGGGCGGACAAGACAACGCGCTCGATGATCCCTTCTGGGCTCTGGATTTTTAACCACCGATGATTCGCAAGGTGTGACCGCCAGCGATGAGGTGAAGTCAAAATACTTTCTGTGCGCGGCGCAGGTCGATGGCGCGGCACCGCTCATTTGCAGTGCAAGCTCGTCTACATTCCTTGACAATTCCATGAAGACGCATTGGACCATTTCGGAAGATATTCGGAATATCTTGCAAGAATTTGATCTGCCGTCTGACTTTCTTGAGTCCGATGCGGATTCAGTCCTCAGTGATGTATCCATATCTAGTGATACCTTTCTGGAAGATGATGACTCTTTTGTGTTACAAACCGCTCTTTACAGAGATCGAGCCGTGACACCGCTGGAACAGTTGACCCTACCCCCGATCGAAATGGAGATACCCGCAGACCATCCTCAGCTTCCGCTTTCCGGAACGCTACGTCCAGGGCTTCCCAAAGTCTCACCCTACTTTCCTAAACCACTAATGAATCCGGACTCATGTCTACCTTTTCCCTCTATTGATGCACCCACATTCGGTCTGGTTCAGGAGCAACTTGCGCATGATCCTTTCCGTCTGCTTGTTGCTACTATCTTTCTCAATCGGACTCGAGGAGGTGTGGCTCTGCCAGTGCTATTTAAGGTCTTTGACCAGTACCCCACAGTCGAGGAAATGAGCAAGGCTGATCTCTTGAGTCTCGTATCCATGATCCATTGTCTGGGGTTTCAGAACCAACGAGCTCAGAAGTGCATTGGTCTCGCGCAGACCTGGCTCGCTCGTCCCCCTACGAGGGGAAAGCGATACCGCAAACTGCACTATCCCTGCAGACTCGACGGAAAAGACGTGGGCTGCGACGAATGTATTGCCGACGACGACTCGCGCGTCGCATGGGAGATCGCGCATCTGCCGGGCGTGGGCGCGTACTCACTGGATAGCTGGCGCATCTTCTGCCGCGATGGATTGCGAGGGCTAGCCAAGGACTGGAAAGGCGACGGCGCGACCTCAGCGGATTTTGTCCCGGAGTGGAAGTCGGTCCTGCCGCAGGATAAGGAGCTCCGTGCGTATCTAACGTGGATGTGGCTCAAGGAGGGGTGGATATGGGATCGGCATACGGGCGAACGAAAGCGAGCGAGTGAGAAGACGATGCGAGCAGCTCGGCGAGGTGGCGTGGCTCACGAGATGGAGGGCAACTGGGTGTTGGAGACATCCCCGGTGAAGAAGGCTGCCAACGGGTTGACGGATTGGAGTTGGGACTGAGGAAGGAGCTGGTTGATTTGATATTGGAGTTGAGGATTTGTATCCACGGTCAACGGATAGATACCCCTGCGGAAAGGTTAGCATGAGGCATCAGGCTAGCTGCTGTGTTTTAATTTAAATGCATCTTCAAATGCCAACTTCTAGCGTTTCCTTCGATGAACGTTCTTCGATCGGATCCTTAGGCATCCACTGCTTGTTGCCTGAGGTGTCGAACATGACAATAGAAACGCATCGTCAACTAACGGCATCAACAACAACACAGTATTCCAGACCGTAGATAGATAAATAATTCAGCTCTCTTCAACTCTACCGGGGCTTCCCTTACTTCTTCTGCTATCACACTCCGACCGACTGATCTGCTGCCCATGATTCCAGAAGCATCTCGCCATCCTCTCGATTGGGTGCCCATGCAGCACCACGTCACTCGACTGCTCCTCCATCGCGGGGAGTCCTTCTCCTCCTAGTTAACTGACGAGACGAACTAAGCTCAACCTTCACCGCATCAGAGTTTCTCCCCATCAAACGACTCTTCCCTCCCAACTAACTCAACTAACTCAACTAACTCAACTAACTCAACTAGTGTCCTCGTGTGACTCCATCGCTTGATCATCTCACCTCATTATCATTAGTATTATTATTATTATCATTATTACTCATACGCTCAGAACTCTCTTCTTCTCTGCAGCTTCTCGCATGCGACGGGATGATTGACACAAGCGCTGTGTCTGGCATCCAACCAGTGAGCTGTGCAGCATTCCTCGACCTCCTCTCGCATTAAGCGCCGAAACGACCAACGGCCAACACTCCAGAACACAGACGATCACCCTCGCCGGCTGTGGCAGCACAGCATCTTGACCTCCACGAGGCAGCAGTGCTTTTGCCTTTTGGAACATTTCTGAATGCTATTTTGACGAGGTAATTGAAGACGAACACAACCTCGAGACGAACACACATCACCAGTGGACGAGGGGGGGGGAAAAGAAAAAAAATAAAGAAAGCAAGAACAGACAGGACTGCACCTGCCCTTGACGTCCTTCCTATCCTACCTGCCCGTCCACCACCCATGTCGGACCTTTCTCATCCCGTATCGCTACTGTCCGTGAGACTAAATGACCGAGATCACCACAGGGACCGGGACAGAAAGCCATCCTCCTCTTCCTCCACATCGTCCAGAGCCCGCCATCACCGCTCATCCCAGGGTCGGCCCTCCCGCCCCTCAACCAAGGATCGAGACCGTGCCACTCCCACGGCTCGCTCCTCCACCACCTCTACCTCTCGACCATATCCCGCCTCGCATCCTCAGCGTCGGTCCTCCATGCCGGGCGTCGACACCGACAGCCGTTCCGCCACGGCGTCCTTTCTCGAGTCGAGGACGAGCCTGCCGTACCCGACTTTCTCTAAAGCTCATAGTAGAGAGGCGGTCGGCAAACCGGGCATCCCAACCCCAGACCCCACCGATCTGACCGAGGATATCAAGGAGGGCGAAGAATCAGGCAACGGTCACCGCACAGACAGCCAGCATGTGCCGCCCAGCCCACCATTGACGAGCGTCGATCAAGGGTCCTCCCGCAAGGGGAGTACGCTAGGCGAGAAAGAAGACAAGGCGGCAGAAGAGAAGAAGGAGAAACCCAAAGATGGAAAGACAAAGATTCGCATCCGAGCCGAGTCGACAAGGTCGTCGTCAAGTCTACGCTCGAGGAAGGACGAGGCACCCAGATCCAGCAAGACGGTACGACCGGAGACTCCCAAGTCGAAGCTGTCGGGTCAAGACAAGGAAAAGGATGTACCATCGCGCGTCGCCAGCAAGAAGTCGTCCAAATCTAGGATCCTCGATGAGGCTAAACTGCCTAGACGGTCTGCGAGCCGGAGCACTCTCTCCCCACCCCGATCTCCCGCGACGGTGCGTGATATCGGAGCATCATCCGCCAACGGCTCTGACGCTACCATTGCACCACACCAGCCGTCGATCACCTCGCGAAAACCGAAATCACCCCCTCAGAAGCCGCCATCGCGGAATCAGACCCGCTCGTCCATGTCCCATTCGTTCGGTCCGAGAAATGGCTCTCCAGTGGACATCACATTCGACTACGGTCGGCCGCCTACCTCTAATTCCACCTATGGCGCACCACCTCCCCCTCCTCCGCCGCCAGAAGTGCCTGTCTCCATCCCTAGGGTCGATTACCTCCTACAGAATGGTGGTTTAGACCACCGCGTACCAAAAACACTACTCATTGGCCCTGAAAATCTGGAGCTCCCACCTCATCAACAGGCGCAGCCCCTAATTGCAGCGTCCAGGGTATTTGATCCTTTTAATCGCCTTCTCGACGATTACCAGCATGTCATGTCCAAGAGCGGCTCATTGGCTGTTGCGACAGGGTACCGATCTGTGGCTCGACGGCTTCTCGACCGGCTAGAGGCTGTTTTTGCTCGAGATATCTCATCGGAATCGTGTCACTGTTTGATGTGTGATCACGATGCGATGGAAGAGCGCCCGTCTGGCGTCAGCTGGGGCGAGGTCTTGGAACTAGTGTCTGGTCGCAGGGAGCTTCCAAGCTGGCCGCCGTTTATAATGGCACCGACAGTGGAAGCCGATTTGTCCGGTGACGAACACGTGCCCATGCAGAAGATGGACATCGATGTTCCAGAGGAATATCGCGAGCATTTTATGCGGCAGTCTCGCAAGACCAAGGTGGCAGTCGACAGGTGGTTGAATGAGCAAGTCGTGCAGCCAACCAGCGCTCCTGAGGAGGTGGATGACGAGACCTTGACTTTCGCAATGTTGACGCACCTTGATACTGAGCTGCGTCCGCTATTCTGTTCCCTTCTGGGCATCACATCCACATCAACACCAGCGCCGCGGACGGATGACCAGCAACCTCGCTCGAGACCTCAGGCCCTCGTTTCCTCCTCCCACGCGATTCAGCGACTGTACCGCCTCTCGTCTCTCCCGCGGGACCCAGAGACTGCCATTTACATGCTGAACAACCCAGGAATTCACCATGTGCTCGCCACTCTTGCCGCGATTAGCGATGACGAATGGGACATTCTGATCTCCGGGCGTTTTGATGGATTCCTGCGCAGCGGTGCGGAGGACCCAATCCCCGGCATGCCAAGTGGAACTCCTTCGCGTTGGAATAGTAGCCGGTCGAACACACCCTTTACTTCCGGCGGTATCTCGCGCGGCCCTACCCCGAGCATGGACGGCGGCTTCCGGCCGGCGAGTCAGCCATGTGGCACAAACTCATCGTCACCCGCCTCGTTCGGCGGCCCTATCGCGCTGGACGAAGAAACTGAGATTGCAGCGCTTGCAGAGATCGAGCGGGAGATTTTTCTCAGCATGGAAGCGCTCGAGGACGCGTTTGAGGCTCTCCACTGCAAGGCGGAGGTTGTCCGGCGCGCTCTGCGCGAACGGGGGGCCGGGCTGTCGATTGCCAACCAGAACCGCCGTGGTTCTTTTGTCGAGGCACGTCTTGGTACTCCGTCCTCCGCCCTGGGCACCTGGGAGAGCGGCACGGAGGATGACTTCCTCGACGACGATCGGTCGCTGGCACCGGACGATTCAGCCAGCAACATTAGCTCCAACCGGCGACGGCGGCCCAAGCGACGCACTGAGCGCCGCACACCTGCACCCGTTGAGGAGGAAGACGAGGAGGAGGAAGCGTCGCATTCCAGCCGACGCGATCGCGACCGCGTATCTCGACGCAGATGAACTTTGATATACCACGGATGAGGGAGATGAAATTATGATCATGACCCTTACCTCACCTCCCTCCAATGCACGCACTACCCTTGACTTTTCCGTTAATTTTCCACCATTATCTCACTTCCACATGAGAGGATATTCCCGCAATCATGAATGTAGTTACGATCGCAACGATTCACAGAAAAGATATGAAACGAGTTGACACGAAGCAAGACTGGAGGTTGAATGAACTGTACATGTACTTGCGCAATCTGGTATTCCCTTTCTCTCTCACTCTTTCTCTTTCTCTTTCTCTTTCGCTTTCCTGTACTTGACGGAGCTCGTAATACTATGCTACTAGTTATCAGCCAGAGTACATTTCCTCCACGTTCTATTGTCTAGTAGTAGTCTTGCATCCTTTACCCAGCGCCACATTAAAACACTCATAACTAGACTCGCACCAGCATCACACAGTACCTCCCTTAAGATCAACCACTTCCTTCCCCGGACAATCAAGAGGACCCGAACTTACTACAGTATAGCCGTCCTGGACCGCGAGCATTTCGCTCTACAGGATCGAACCAGGGGTTATCGGAACGGAGGGAGGGGCTGAGCAGCTGTCCGGCTCAGGGTGCCAGTAACAATACCGGGGCACGGTATTACAGTAGTGGAGAGAGAGATGATCTGAGGGTTCATGATTGCTGAAGGCTTGCCATCGGAAGGGGAGAGAGAGAGAGAGAGAGAGAGGTGGATGTCAACGTTGATGGCCGATGGAAGAAGAGTGAGCAAGTTCGTTTGTTAGAATCTACATTGCGGTATCGCCAGTTAACGAGCTCCCCTTTGGTACGCGAATGCTCGAGCAGCCATGATTTTTTTTTTTTTTTCTTTTCTTCTCCCCTCTGCGAAGCATCTAGATAGTAGCCACGGAGTACACAGTATATTCTATCTTATCTACTACTACGTAGGTTGACTAGCATACTAGTAAGCAGCTCGACCAAAAATAAACCCAGATTCAACTAGGTTTCAGATGTCGTGGGGGTACATACCAACCGTGTGGCGTGTACTGTGTAACTACACACCTCAACGCTAAAGCCCTCCCGGGCGAGTAGCGCCGGGGGTGTATACCGCAAACAGATATTGTATTCTACTGTGACTTCTGTAGGACTCTGTAGTTATTTTCCACTGCGCAGGGTTGATTCAATAGATTGGCGAACCTTGTTGGCGGGAAGCTATACCCTGGCGGTCTTATAGCTGGGAGTCGGGACGGGATGCTGATTTGAAATGGAATATGCAGGTGCGGACGGGGGTGGCTGACTCCTTCACCCGGGTGATGGTGGCAGTGGTGCTGATGAGGTGCTGCCATTGCCATGGACATGGACATGGATATGGATATGGTTCTGTGGTGAAGCTTGGTTGTTGCACCCTTTCCCATGGGATTATTTTCTCTAGGTTTGTAAAAGAGAGATGGTGGTCGAACAAGGCATAGAAGCTGGATGACAATGCCATTCTCAACGCTGAGCATGATCCCAATGCCTATTATGAGGATAGCTGCATCTTATACGAATGCTAGCTGGATCCTATGTAGTATACCATAAGGCCAAAAGACCAACATTACCGCGAGTTGCTCGGCAACTCGCGAATCCAGACCCATATAGTAGCGCACTGGGTATCCAAGGCATATCTCTCTTAGAGATCCTTACACATATGTACGCGATACAGAGATCATATTCATGAATGATGCCCCCCCCTGAGAATCGCTAACTTTCAAGCTGAACGTTAACCCTGAGATAGCAGGCATTTACTACAGAGTACCCCGTAGGACAAACCACAAAGTACGAATCCCTGTGTCGATCATATCGCTGCAGAGATGATCCCGGAGAAGTATCGCAAACTCAAATCCATTGCTGCTTCGTTTTCAGATCAATAATGCCAGGTCTAGGGCTGGGCTATTGTCCCTGCTTGCCGGAAAGGAATAAAGCATTGCTTGAGCGATGAGGTCAAAGCAGTATCTAGCGTGACTTTTTTCTTCGATTATCAAGGATTAAGCGAGGAGTCAGATAGAAGAGGTGCTGAAGCCTTAAGCCAGCATGCGCGCGCCAACACGTTTTGAGGGTGCCATTTCTCTAGGCGACTTGGCGTGGTGGGCGGAAGCTGGACGACATGCTGGTACCCCAGATTTGACTTCTTATTATCCTGCTGCTGCGATAAACCCAGTGCACCTTTTCGCATTGTTTGTGCAAATTCCGAGAGGAATTACCGATCTTCGGACTCATTACTTGAGTCTCGAGATGAAAGACCGGCAAACGTCGGTTGTTTCGTCCATTGTGCAATATCTTTTTGAGCCGGAGTTTATTGGATTACTGATTAGGCTGTCAATGGCCCCGGCTGGACCCCAATAGGATAGGAGGGAACATGGAATCATTGAATCGACTAAATTGACCCTTTGGAAGCAAGTCAAATGATCCTCCCAGCCCAAAGGAACACTAACTTCATAATCCCGTTCAATTGCTGCTGGCTACAGCCTGCTCTAAAATGCCGTGTTGTTACTATCAACAATTAAAAGGGACAGCGAGAATAGTCAGCTCGTCGTCTACCCTCGCATACTGCAAATTTGAAGGGACTTGAGCATCAGGGAGGCGGGTTTTTCGAAATATGAACTTTGCGGAATTGATTCAGACACAAGAGATGCCTGATTGGTTGTTGGCACCCTCTCAGATCAAACAGTAATTCTGGAATGTAATAGCTCGTGAGACTTCTTCTGGGGTACAGAGTAAGAAGATTTACTTACCTATCCCCTCCAATTATTCTGCGACCCAGTAGTCTGGACTTTGGTATGACTATCGGTCAATATCCCACTTCCAACCATGTTGATCATCTTGCATTATTATTGACTAGCGGTGAGACTTGTGCCACTAAAGCATTTAGCTTATTTTCAATCAAGCTGCCATGGAGAAGAGCCACATGCGTGATGCGATGCACCAGCTGTGTCTCCATTGATCAGCGGAGGCGAATATGGAGGCCATCCTCGAAAAGAGAAATTGCGGGAGATTCGTGAGTTTTCGGTATCAACGTTCACAAATCTAGAATGTATCGGTGGATAACTGTCTTGAAGTTTGAGCTAGCAGTAAACGGACTTAGACTCGGTGATATATATAATGGTTGAAGTGAGCACTAAGGAACCAGAATTATCAATAAAGAAACGAAGCAACTTCGGGAGACCGGAGGTAATTGTTTAAGGAGCCGCTTTGCCTCGGGCATCTTTTGAATCGTGGTATCTACCTAGATAGACAAGTAAACTCTGATCAAAAGCTTCGCAAGTCACGGGCCTGAAACTCCCTGGCTTTTGCAATTGGCACTCAGGCCCTTCTAGTTCTATCAGACCCTCACAGAGAAGCCGAGGCTGCGTGGACATTTGTCTCAAGACGCTATCCGATCTTCCACGCTATATCCTTGGTGTGTTATCAAGGTTTTATGGTTTCGTGAATAATCATGACGAACTTCTGTTCACTATGCCCAGTTGATTGATATCCCATATTCGACAGAGCCTGGGACCCTTGTTGCCTTGATGTCTCAGTCAACACAACCATGTTGGGGTCGCCTGGCAGCTGATGGGTTCTCGCGGAATTGGAAAACCCCTAGTATAACCAATTCGTGGAGATCATATATGGGTCTGTCTCAGAAGTCTCAGAAGTCAAAGACTCAAACGTCAAATAGGGAAATCTGTCCAGATCATCGCTGAAGTTGATTCTGCGCATGTTTCTCTATATCCTGAGTTAGCAGCAGTCCAACACTGAAGCATTAGCTGAACCATAGTGAATGATTCATGTCGTTGTATTAGTGGTAATTTGTTAAGAATTGGAAATACAAGGTATCCACTCAACGGCATGTGGTTACGCCTCGTGGTTAGCGAAGGTATGAATATGAAAAGCATTCTTAGAAGCCATGGCAGCAACATCGTGAGCATCCAACTAACTAGTGACTCGCCTTCAATCAATAGACACGGACGATGAGCATGACCGAAAGAGATGATAATGAGGATGATATCTAGAGCGAAGCAAGGCCTTTCGCCAGGGAGTAGGTGATCACTAGTCTTGATGACTTGCGTCGAAGGCGTAGGCCCACTTGAGGTCTGGATTCTTGGTCTTCAAGGATAAGTATTATGGAGTACAGTGGTGGGGCGCTCTAATAATTAGTAAAGTAGGAGTAGAGGATCAAAGCTCCCGGCCTCACCGACGATGCGAAAGCTGGGAAATGAGAAAGACTGAGAAATGAGTTCTCTTGAAAAGGAGAAAGAGAGAGATTGAGAAAGAGGCAGTGATGATGCTGACTCAGTAGGAACACGTGATACTATCCATACCTTTTGTTATGTAGTTGTTATTTTGTCCATCGACTTGCAGGTGTCTCGGCCATTCTCAACCTCAAATAAACCCATGGATTTTCCATCAAAGCATCAATCAAAATTCTATATCAGTCAATACAATGTAGTCTCCAGTTTCAATCCGAAAAAGCCAACCTCCCAAGACTGAGGATGCGATGACTTCGACCGAAATAATACCTCAAGCTGTCAGGCTGTCAGCCTCTTGAGACGGACTCAGACTCTATCTAGCCCACAAACGCGGGGAACAGTGCCCTGTCTCATAATAATTTGGTTACATTGTGGTTGTGTTGTAGATAAAGCACAACATGTCAGTGTCAGTCCACTTTCGCCTTGCGTTTTTCTGGTTGGTTTCCCCCCTGTCGTTGATATGCGAATTCATGGGCGAATCCAGTTTTAAATCTAGATTACTCAGGTCCTTTCATTAACACCATCCAGCGTGCTGGGTTTGCGTACCACCGAAACACTCTACGGACTTATTTCCACAACCAAGTTCGCACCGAATCTGGAGCTCCTATAATGATCAAAAGGGCACATCAAGGGAGTGGCTTCTGTGATCCGTGGCATCCAACCCCGAGCCCGGACACGGAATATCACCATACACAATGACAGTGGCCCAAGTAGCACAGGGGTTTCAAGAAAGTTACCAGCGGTGCCTTCGTGGTGGGATGTTGCGACGAGTATAGTCTCATCGCAGGATACGGACAGTGTTACTTTTTGATTCTGTCCTGCGTGAGAACAGACCGTGGTACTAGAGATTTGCACCCATGGAATGGTTACCGCCGGCATTCCCCATACACAGTATCACACATTCACGGCATCAACTGTTAACTATTGAATGAAGGTGATCGCCTCTCTCGGTTAATCTCACCTGTAGCCCCCTAATCAGCCTGGGAATCATACCTAAAACGGTCGGGGATGCCGGTTCATCCTTAACTACCATATTCACACCAACTCTTGCTGAATAAAGCGTTAGTTCAAGGATCTTGACGCCAGGCGGTCACAAAAAGGAGAAGCTTAAGATGGTCAATCGGCCGGCGTCGAGTTAACATATCAAGGAAGAGATCAACAATGACCAGCATTACCAAAATGTCTCACACCGATTGTCCCATATATTGCGAGACGGATTCTGTTCCTTCCCTTGTGTGGGTGCCTGTCTTGATCACTGGTGGACATCCCAGTGCATCATTGTTCGTACAACTGGTTACTGGATCGACGCTGTGGGTCGTGCGTGGGAGCTTCTGGAATAGTGGAATAGGGGAATTGTCATCCCTTCTCCGTCTCGGCGACTCTAACGCGTTTTGTTTAGGGACTTTAGTTCCGGCACATACTAAGAAAGTATGCTCCTCAGTTCCAACGAACGAAGAATCTTGTTGGCTAGTAGAAACATAGGCCTTGCGGGGGGTTTGTCGTGTCTACTGTCTACACTCTACACTCTACAGTCTACACCTAACAGCCCCCACTACTATTAGTTCTCCATGAAGCAAGCAGCAATGCCTGTGCTTGCGACCTTCTAAGCTCGCCAAAACCGCAAAAGAGGCATTCTCACATAGTGGCAAATTCGAGTTTACCCGTCCATCTCGCATGAACATGGCTTCCTTCCCCGTGCTTAGACGGATGATAAGCCCTAACTGGCCTTCATTGAGATTGGGAGTCCGTGACCTACAGCCTACAGGCTTGAATCCACTATGGCAAAAGTGGTCCAACTCACGACACCCACCACTCCCTTCTGGCCACTTGGGACGGTCTCTCACATCCCTGCAGCTGCGGCGAATAAGAGGTGTCAGCTCAGGATACCCCTCAGGAAACGTCAGTCCCATGAGTGTTAGCCTTTGTGGCTATTGAATTATGAACCAAGAGATCAGGGACAGTCCAACCATCTGTCATTCCCATTGTCATGAGCGTTGGTCTCTCTTGGCCGATAACGAATTATGGCCAAGCTTGACGGTGCCAATGCTCGTGTTCAGAGAGGCGAACCTACTCTGCAAGGTTCCTGACGCGCCCCTCCTTTCAATTCCTATGGTCCAAGGAGATTTCATATGGTGGAGCAATCATTACTCGCAGTCAGGAGTGTCAAAATAATAGAGTGAACATGATCGTTGACCTTCCGGTAGGGTTTTGCTGTTAGCATCCCATTACAAATTCGATAATAATCCGGGCGATCAACATGCAACAATTATATTATCAGTCCGTTTCTTTTATCTAGTGCCTTCTCATCTACACTAGTACTACCACTATTCCATTGCTAAACGCAAATCTCGCGGGCAGCTCCGCACAGTCCACCACATGCGCTCAGGAATCAGGACTATTCCAAGGCAGGCTCTGCTAAAGTAGGTGGTAGAATCGACCGTTGCAACTTGAATCGATCTGCCAACCCTCTCTGATCCATATCGTCTCTTTGCCCTTTGATTCCTTGGCTCTTCTTTATCCGCTCATTTTCCCTCTTTCTCTTTTCGTTCAGCGGTGATCGGTGGTCTTAGGTCGCTCTTGAACGACATTTGAGGGAGTTAGGCGTTCTTATATTGTCACATTGAAGAATATCCTCGAATGTGTAAGGTCGGACTGCTTTTCTGCAAAACGCTCGACCTACCTCGGCACTCTTCTTCCGGATTCGAGTCTACGAAGAGAATGACTGCAATCGCAACGAACAGGAACGCTATATCACAATACACTCACACACAATGCGTTTAGGCTCGATGACGTTCATGTCGGGGAGCAGTGATGCTGATTGGCATGTTTTGTCTCCCCGACTGGCGTACACCGACGGGGGCGTCACATTAGACATCGATCCTATACCCAGCGCTCAGCATAAGGGCCTTATCGCGGTTGCCGTTATGGCCATTCTCTCTTTCGTTGCAACACTTGCCCTCATCTGCTTCATCACCTACCGTCTAGTCTTCTGGCGCTCCAACTATCACCGGTACATCGGTTACAATCAGTACGTCGTACTCATCTACAACCTGGTCCTGGCCGATCTTCAACAATCTCTTGCGTTTCTTATATGTATCAAATGGATTGCCGAGGACAAGATGCAAGCTTCTTCTGCGGCCTGCTTTCTTCAGGGATTCTGGTTGCAGATTGGGGACCCAGCTAGTGGTCTTTTCGTGCTCGCCATTGCGATCCATACATACCTTCTTGTTGCCATGGGCCACAAACTTAGCTATCGAGTGTTCCTCGGGGGAGTAATCGGTCTTTGGATATTCGTCGCTGTGTTGGTTATCATCCCACTTGCGGCGCATGGGAAAGATATTTTCCTTCCATCTGGCGCCTGGGTAAGCATTTTTCGGATTTGATTGACGCTACGAGTTCGCTGATCAATCAAAGTGCTGGATCAGTGAAGAATACGAGGCCGTCCGCCTATGGACGCATTATCTCTGGATTTTCCTGGCGGAGTTTGGCACAGTCTGTCTCTATGCAATCATGTGGTTCCAACTGCGTCGACAAATTGCACGGTCCGCGATCCTCGGAAGCAGTCATACGGAAAGTCTCAAGCGCATCCGTCGAGTCATCGGCTACATGGTGATCTACCCATTATCATACCTTGTCTTGTCACTTCCCCTGGCAGCCGGACGGATGGCCACCGCACAGGGCAATACACCGAGTGTGGTCTATTTCTGCATCGCTGGGGCGCTGATCACAAGTTCCGGTCTAGTGGATGTGCTGCTTTACACTCTCACCCGCCGGAACCTGATCCTTGAATCTGAACCAAGTGAAACCAACAGCTACAATCGATTTCCAAGCGGCAAAAATCGGAGAGCAGATAACCATCTTACCACCATCACTGCGGACCCTCACCATAATCACGCCGAGATCAGCGTCCTGCGTACTCGCAGGGACCGCAACGATGAGGACGAGGACATGAGCAGCCCCGTACGCGATGGATCAACAGACAATATCGTACAGCCTGGCATGGAACTGGCGCCCATGGGCAAGGTGTTCCAGCATACCACCATCGAAATCACGCACGAACCGGCCTACCCTGAGGCCGAGGGGAGCGAAAGGTCGAGTAAAGATTCGATACAACACCCAATGACAGGCACCGAGAACGCGTCTCGAAGGTGGAGGAGGTAATCACAAATCTCCTCTTTGCTTTATTTCGATGATTTCATATACCTAATGTCGACGCCCACGCTCATTCTCCTCCAACATATCTTCTCCCTATCTTGACTCCACTCCTCCGTCCGTCATATATCCTTTATCAAGATACCCTCTACATCAGATCCTCACCTACTTGCTCCTCTCTTCCAAGCAAGCACGCAAAGCTTTGAATAGCTTCCCTTCGACGCACTAGCGAACCCACATCTTTTATCATTCTCTGTACATGTGCAACTTCTTCTACATTATATACACGGTTCTTGACCATTTCCTTGTCTATCCTCCTACTCGTTTCCGACGCCTTTAACGGTGCAGATACCTGACGGTCAAGAACGACCTATTACCAGAGGCTTCAAGGCTTCAGGACCTGGGCCTGTACCAATCATGAGATATATCACAATATACGTTCAAATGCACAAACTTAGACGTTCAATCTCAAGCAATTTTCTTATCTGATATTGACATGATAAATCTCTGGGGACTAAGAGCGTGTCTTCGGTATATGCTCTGTCCAGACAAGGGACGTAAATGCTCAGTAATAGATATAGAACACATCAAGCACAAGCTTTGGCATATAGACGGTACCCCGTAGCAATACGAAATGTGGAGATGCATGCGGCCATATGTATGAAGTCAACAGACGAGGTGGAGAGTCGCCCTTGTGAGTGCTTATGGTGCTTTGATCCATGTAGGAAGAATTCATGATGAAGAGCCAATGGCAACACTGACCGGAAGATACAAGTGAGTATTAGAGCCAAGTGCAAAGCAAGACATACAGTCGGGTGGCCAGGTATACGGGCTTTTGCGGTTGCCCGCTGGTCAGTCCGGGTATGAATACCACCTCCCTGGCCCTTATCACGCAGCTGGCCATCTGACAAACGTACTTCGGGTTCTATATAGAATCCTGAAATCGCCTCTCCAAGTCCGATATACGGTAGTCGTGGAAAGAAGTGGTGAGGGATAAGGTTCGGCCGGTGGTCCGAGGGGAGGTGGCAGTGAAGAGATGAGATGTTTGATGTCTTGAAATGGCGGACTTTGCTGGAGAGTGATGTCAGTGGGCTGTTGACATTCGAAGGGTCGGTTGATATGTTGCATCTGGGACAGGTGAGATGCAGTGTAACCTGTGCTGCGTGTGTTTGGCCGATGCTGAGTCTGTGCAGTAGTTAGCTCAGTACATCCAAGTACTTGAGTCGACGATGATGGGCTTGAGAATTCAATGCGGAGCTCTCCTCTCGTGGATTTGCTTGGACGGTATATACTTCACAAGGCCTTCCGGACGATGTGTCACGCCAATGGATATCTCTTCGAGTATGGACGGCACACGGTAAGTAATTGCGCGACGAGTAATGCCACCACAAACATCTTTTCGGCAATCAATTCGTGAATCTGACAAGAATTATCACAACTCTCACGGATATCGATATGATACTCCAAGCGGGAAGTTTGATCTGTCAGGCTCAGATACAACAGCAGTCGCTCTGACATACCTTGTGTGGGCCGTGCTGTCTCAGCCCCAGCTTCAGCGTATTCTCGAAGACAAAGCCAGTGACCTCTGAGAAAGAATTTGTCAAAGCCGCACCTGGAAAGCTGCCTCTGCTGGACGTTGCAATCACAGAAGCATCGCGGCTGTACATGGTTGCACCCAAGCTCTCTTCTGCGTGCTGTACCGGAAGGTGGAACACCTGTGTCTGGTTATTACCTGCCTGTAGGGGATCACGGTGAGCAGGCAGAGCTATGGCAAACATCGCAATGGCACTCCCTACCCAGGGCTAGAGACTTTACATCAGAATACCGGCTGTTCGATGACCAGTTGGGTATCAATGGAGCCAATGGAGCCAATGTTGGCTTTTCTCCTCCTGCGACAAGCTTAAGGACTTGTTCTTTGGACCCGTCTAGCTTTAATGAGGTTTAGACCTCGCTGCTGCGCAGATTTTCCGCGACTGCAGGGACTAAATTTGGCCTCCAGTGCGACATGCAACAGTATGGAGGACAAAGATGTGAGTTTGCCAGGAGTTGGATCTGCAATTGCCGGCTTCTGAGAAAGTCGGATACATAGGGTGATGATGGGTCACATGCAAGGTTATGACGATGGTATAATAGCCTTTGGTCGGCTAGAGATGGAACAGTAGAGACAATGCATGTGCTGCTACTGGTAAAACCTTCTGAGAAAGAACACCTGGATTATGGGCTTTTGCGCAGCTAGAGATACATTCAAGTTGGCAACTATCTGCGCTGTCAGATCGTTATCCTCTGCTGGGGGAGACGGGCCATCGCAACTTACTCAATACTTATCTACAAATATGCCACTAGACGGAGCATAACTACCCTCCATGGGGAAGCCAACGCGAGCGAGACTAGAAAGCTAGGACTCCGGAATCTGGATCCTTCGATCGGGATCTGATCAAACGGGATATGCATGGATCCCGCCTTTAATATAAGGATGATGGGTGCCCGAGGCTAGAAGCTGCAAAATCCCTCCTCACATATCGTTTCATGCATCTCATTAGCTGGGGGTGGATCAAGGGCAGTCCTTATGCGCCGCAAGCCACTGTACAACTCCACTTCCCTCGTGGATTTTTCAGCCGGAATGTGACACAGTGATACATGATACATCATAAATCACGTAGGTAGTCCCCATTATTGTTCCCCTCCCGTGCCTTCTCGGCCTCTTCCGGATCATCGCTGTTAGTCGTCGCCAAGAAGCTTATTCGTGACCGTTGGCCGTTGAGCCTGGAAATGAAGATTCGAGATGGATGTGTCGGTCACTCGGTTGGCATCAACTCGGGCTAAGCGAATCCCGACCGGGGTTTGCATTTTTTCGCTTCCCATATCCCGTGAAGAAACACCCCCACCGTCAATGCCGGGGATTTTCTTCATGGTGGTTTTTGAACCCCTCTATTTGAATCATCTTTAACATTGCAGTCCCTGCAATAATGATTTCGAACTATCGCAGTGATGTCTTCGACAGCAGATGTCGAGCCCAAGCACTCCGTGTCTCGTAGGCCACCCGTCAAAGTTGCCTGTCTTTCGTGGTGCGTAATCCCTTCGCATTGGAGCGAATCAAGTGTGTCTGGATGTTACAGCAGAGCTCTGACGGACAACACTTTGTACAGTCGTGCGTCGCGGATTCGGTGCGACGGCCAGAGCGTGTGTTTCAATTGCGCTGCCAAAGGTAACATTTGTTCATACATCCCGAGCAGGCGGGGAGGACCGCGATATAGCAAGAGAAAATCTGGCATGATGGACACATTGCAAGCAAAGAGTGAGCCGAACAGCAGCTCGGAGAATCCAACGTCTTGGAGCTCGGATTGTGAAGGTATAGTTCCCCGATCTGGTTCGTACTAACCATGCAATGACCCTGTTAACATCTCCTTTTTTATCTCGGCTCGTAGAATGGCTGAGCCAATTGGCAAGCATGAGTGGTCCTGGCGCAGGGTTGCGCAGTGTTGGCACGCCAATGGAGGAGATTGATTCGATCTTTGACTCTGTCTTTGCTCCAATCGCGGGAGACCCGACAGTACCGACGACCAAGGCGTCATTATCAAACCAACTCCAGTTATATGGGAGTGACGAGGATCTGTAAGGCTTGGTCAGGGAGAGAACGTCGGAAACACCAGCTGCTGATGGCTAGAACAGTCTGGATGCCTACTACGTCTTCATCCATCCGTATCACCCTATTCTACCCCCACCCGAACGATCGCCTGTATATAACCGCCCCTTGTGCCAGAGACCCGAGTTCGAGCCCTCTAGTCCGCTCAGCCTGGCCATTTCGGCCATCCTGGTTCTCATTCCCCATCCGGAGGAAATCAATCCTTCAAGAGCAGGGTATGTCAAGCTTCGTAGGGAATTCGCGCATTCCTTCGCTCGAAACGCCCTTGCTGCTATCGGGGTTGACTCGGAGTCGTTGGATCAGCCTGATGGTCTTCAAGGATTAAACCGGAAGCCATTCCATCCTAAGCTACCTGTACATCTAGAAAGTATCGTGGCGCTCAATCTGCTAAGTGTGTATGAGTATGCACAACGCGGAAATCTGAGCACGATGCGAGATCGGGCTGGAGAGGCGTTGAGCATGGCCATGAAACTGTCACTGCATGAATCGCTTGACGAAGATGAATATGCAAGCGGCAAACGAAGGGCGTGGTGGATGACAGTGGGTCTTTCTGTCCGTTCTAGAAATGAGCCAGAATTAGCTGATGAAGGACAAAACGAGTAGTATATCGTGGCGTGTCAAGCAGCGATTGTGAGCAACTTGGTAAGTTGAGGTTCAGCGCATGGTGTATTGGGTTGAAGCAGCTAACTGGGAGTAGCCCGCATCATTTAACCTGTTTGATCCTCATTTTGTGACCCCCTATCCAGAGGTATGCTCACCCATGCGCTTTGATTCGAAGCCGCCTAACTCATTCTTCTCAAAGGGCTGGAAAATTCCAGTTGAAGCCCAACAAACTCTTCTGGAAGCTGTTGCGTTTGTCCGAGACCTGGAAGAGATCAAGGTATCAGGCTGTCCCATTCCTGGAATCGGTGAAAGGATGCTGGATCTGGACGCACAGATCGGCTCCTTGCTGTTTCTTTGCAGAGACGCTCCGTCTGTGTCGAAGATAGCTCCTCGGCTGGAGTCTCCAGAGTCAATGGCTTCCAAGATCATGATCACAGTTGCCGAGATTCGATTGCACACGTGAGCAGAGCACCCAACATCAGCACATCCTCCCAACTGACAACATGCCACCAGTGCGAGGATCAAAGCTCACCGACTATGTGCCTTCCAAGATATACCTAGCTTCCATCAACGACTCTATGAATTCGGACCAACGCCTACTGACTCCGACCCTGACTGCCGCGCAGAACCACCATGTCAGAATGGAGTCCAAGGACCGCTATCCACAGATCTTCTACCACCATCGCCCCTCCAACTCCCCTTTACCTCCCATGAATCGTCGAAAATCTGCTTCCACGGCGCCCTCAACATCGTTACTCTCCTCCACAACCTCCCCTTTCCGAACCCAACCAACGAAATCCCGCTCAACAGTCCCCCATATCTATCCACCACCTCCCGAGTCGAGATCCCAAGAAGCGTCCTTACATTCGCCTGCTGCGGAATGCAGTCTGGTTACGTGATGCTGATGCTATGTTTGAAAGCGCGGTCTCTCCGCGAGCGCCGCATGGAAGCATCCAACTTTGCGAACACGTCGTCGTTGACGGGGCTTCTGAACGAGTTGCACCAGAGCTTGCGGCTGCTACTTAAGTGCTTGACGAATTGCTCGGTGGCATTTGAAGCGCTGCAGGGCATGCGAGGTCAGCTTCCCCTCGAAGCTTATTTTTTTTTTTTTTTCCTTCTCAAGCGACCGGTTGGCTGACTCACAGCAGATCAGATATCCCTCGCTATGGAACAGGAGTTTCAGAGGTAAACCCATCCGCTTTTTGACTCTCTGGTCTCGTATTTTGCGTCTCGTATTACCTCCCTAAAATATAATACGCCTCTTGTCAGTAGTGACTGTATACACTGCCTGGGTATAGTCATGGTAATATTCGTTGGTACACCGACATCACAACATTTATTATTCATATGAAACTTGCCTCTGTCGGGAGCGTTGTATCCACAGTAATATTCCGTATGTCCACTTTATTTTGTGTGCACTATGTATCTCCTCGCTGGACGGAGAGTATGAGAATGCCGGGGAAAGAAACATGTAAACAAATATTTGAAGTCGCCATGCGTCATGGTTGCGAGCACACTCAACCAGCAAGTCCCGACTCCACACACGCCAAACAATCGAAAAAGGGAAAGAAGAAAAGAAAAAGAAAGGCTAAATGAGCCCAAAACCGGGTATCTTGTCGCAACGCAATGCAAACCAAATCACGGACACCGCAATCCCACCTCCTGATACATGTTAATCAACCGCTGCCTAACGGTCTTCGCCAGCGGCCATATCTTGCCAAGCACATGCAACGCGCCAACGCCCAGCTGAATCCTCGCCTTGATGGACTCCGGCTTCTCCGGCGCCGGCACAAACAGACACGCAACGGTGTGCACCACCACGCACATCGCCAGGGCACAGGTGAAGAACGGGGTACGGTATTTGACCGGGTTGGGGAGCGTGGCGAGGTTTGAGAGCATATCTGCTGCACGGAGGAGCTTCTGGGAATGCAGGTCGAGGGTGGCGGAGGGGAGAGAGGGTTCGGTTGTTGCGGGAAGTCGCGTGCAGGGAGTGTGGGCGTGGATTGAAGCAAAGCGCATGTTTGAGCGAGGATGGTGGAGGTAGATAAGTGCTCTGGATTTAGGTCAGTCTTTGTCTTTGCAGGGGGTGGGCAGGAGGGTCGGATGATAAGTGGAAAACCCACAGGTAACTCGTCATTTCAGCCTGGAAAGTCATTTCGTCTAGGCTTGAGGCGCCATATACCTCGTTCTGGCATGACGGCAGTTGCATGAGGGACGTCACTAGGGATGCGTCCAGGACCTCGATCTGTGACTCGATGTCGACCTCCAGTGATCGGTTCAGTTCCATGACCATTCCTAGCAAACGCGCAGCGTTGATTCGATACGCGAATGAGGAGAACCTTTGCTCATCACCATTGAACGACCAGCTGTTCACCAGATCTTTGAGGGTTTGGTTGCTGGATATGACCTAGCACGCATGAGTTAGAAAAGCCATCAGACCCGGGAATAAGAAAGAAATAGAGGAACCTACTGGATGTCCAGAATTATACAGCCCTTCATCACAAGGTAGCTTAACCTCCGCCTTCTGATGGAACAATCGAAAAGATGTCTGGTCCCGCATACCCGCCAGGTAGCCGTCGACACAATAAAGCTCCCAGAAAGTCCTGCGCCAGCTCTCCTCGAGTATCGAGTTTCCCTCGGAGTGATCCGTCGCATACGCCGCGCGATTCATGCCCAGTTCCAGCGCGAGGTTAACAGCTTCTTGCATCGTTCGGTTGGCGCTGTCTTCGGTGCCATGCGCATGGTCAATGATGGCAAGCAACACCATTCCCTGTACCTTGTACCCGTTCCGCGGTGTTGACTCGGAGAGCACGGAATAAGCCGATTGGCGGAAGAGCTCTCTGAGGGATATATCTGAGTGGTAGTGGGCGCCGATGAAGCGCATTATTGATATGATATAAGGAGGTATTCGTCCGCATAGCGAAGAATGCAGTGCCTTCCGTGGAACCAGCAGGGGATGCGAGCGATGGAAGCTCTGATAGTAGAGCTGGATCATTGAATCATAGGCGATTTCCGGCGTGATAGCATTATCCGGTTCTGGCCAGGCGAGCGCGGCATCTGGTATCTGGGGAATCTCTATCGCCGGAGAGGTACTGACGGGCTGGAAGAGGGCTTGGCTTGTCTATGTTCTGTTAGTGACGCTTTGTCGAGATCCGCACGCTGAAGGAGGTCATACATCTACCAGCTCGGAAGCCATTGTCGTGGCACTCAGCCAGTCAGGAAAGGCATCCGGGTCAATGGCCGGAAACAAAGCGATCTCGTTGTCATCCAGAAGCTGGGGATGAGGTGTTCCATTCTTCGTGCGCAGACCACGCCTAGATCGGATATAGCGACATTCGGTAGTCGAAGCCTGGCAGCGTCCACACACGGGCATCTGAGCGTCACATTTCAAATGGCGGCGGCGACAAGTGACACACGCCAGCGAGGATGGCTGGCGAGGTTGTTTGGACGGGGTGGGATCCTGCATGGTTATTATACTGGAGAGTCTCGGGTCATGGCTGGACTACACCGAGAGATGGTTTTACAATTCAATTTGTTCAAAAATAAAGTGACAGAGTGCTTTGACACTTCTTTTATCAGATGGTGAGTATCAATTGGTTCTCATTTTTTTTTATACCCCCTTTTCCCCTCCCCTTTTCTCGTTCATTAGGTATTCTACAAATCAGAAATTTGGGACCTCATCCCGATCTCCAGATGACAGGATGTGATTCCCAGGGTTCCCGAGATCCCCGATTCGGCGACCAGAGGCTTCTCGGGGATGGCATGAGTATACTGTGCCTGAGGACGGAGTCCCTCCGCCAGCCTATTCTTCCTCGCTTTTTCAACAACCCATGCACTTGACTATTGGTCCAAGAAGACACGTATTCGAATGCCAGAAATTCAGATCATAAGTATCGTGTACTTATGCATGTCCAATAATTGATCAAGTCGCCGCAATGCGGACGGACAACTTTTGATCTCGGGGACCCATACAAGGAACCCGAAGAACACCTGGCCAGCAGCATGCATGGGTTCACTTCGGCAACCTCGCTTCTTGCAAACTGAGTACCAATAATGATTATGATTATAATCATTGATTTATTCAGCTTATTTGCAACTATGACTGTTTTGCTGACAGTGGGTTGGGATGTCGTCATCTTGTCATGACAAGCAGAGTTCTGTACCTATTGGCCCAGTTCTCTGAGATATTTCGGACTATATGCGCCATGCAATGGACAGGAACGCATACTATACTATGATTTTAGGTATCAACTGTGGTGCATAAGGTACCCGTGATGAGCACTCTGTTTGTTTTTCTTTCTTTCTTTTGACTGGATCTTTACCAAACAGCCTCGTCTCCGTCGGCGAAAGTAAGACGCTGGCCTCATTTCCCTTTCTGGCTCTCTAGTCCCTACAGGATCAAGATGAGCAGGTGATGACTATAACCAGCAGCGGGAGCATACATCCCATAGGCACTATGCAGCGAACTATACCATACCGCAGGGGAAGGAGGTCTGATATCAAATACTCATCAAGCAGCAATGGATCGTGCAATAGACTACTCGATCAACCGAATTCAATTCGAGAATGAATCGAAAGTGATTGCCCATTTTGTCATCCTGCAGGCAATGATAGTCGCAATATTCAGCCTGTCCACAGTTGACTCTTTGTACACGCTTACTGTTCTGGTGTGGTCCCGACAGTTTGTGTCCTTGTGGGGAATCCCGGAAGGTCCCCGATGCCAAGGAACAGTGGCGCCGGGAACAATCGGTAGTGCTCTGGTGGTCGATACTGAATGGATCTACGATCTACTCTGTACAGTTCTAGGATCTATACAGCCCGGACTCCAGAGTCCGGAGGAGACTTCATCTGGGTTGGGAAACTTGGGACAGTGGTTGAATCCCTAGACACTGAAAGTGGCAGTGCACTGATATTCCGCTTTTCCACATAGAGTCACTACCTCAACTCCTAATTAACAATTCAACTTAGTCCCAACACGAAGAATGTTGGAAACTACGTCGAAAACAGCAACAAAAGTAGCAATCCGCACATTCCATCCTTTCTCACATCTCCCGCCCGAGCTCCGCTGTCAGATCTGGCGCAACTCCTTATGTGACCAAGACAGGCCAGCCCTGCGCCCATACAAAAAGGGATGCTGGCGCCGCCGCTACCTAACACCCTCCGACGAGCGTTACCATCACAGCGCCGAGTGGGATAGTAACTTGACCCTTGATTTCCGTCCCGATCTAGAACTCTACGTCGAGGTTCCGATCCCGCTGGTGTTTGTCAGCCACGAGGCCCGCAGCGTTGCCCTCGGCTGGGCCAGAGAGCAAAGCGTCAGGATGCATTTCGATGAAGAAAGAAAATGTCATGTCTTTACGCGTCCGTTCATTTTAACACGTGATATACTCTATCTCCCCCAGCAGAGAATTCCTGACCTTATCGATGAACCGTGGAATATGCTGGAGCCAGAAGAGAGCGCATGGTATGATCTAGGCTTGATACGACTGGCAGTCTCTATGGATACGCTCTTAACTAGTAGGGATTTATTGGGCTTGTGGGAGATCTTTCGGAGTCCAAGCGAATTACTTGTCATCGTCAGCCCGACCCCGGAATTAGACGATGAGAAGGGCATGTCACAAGGGCACTGGGAGCTTGAGGGATGTCCAGGGGAAAGTGATTTGATAGACAAGAGACTGAAGGCAAGGTTAGAGGAGGCCAGAACCACTTTTCGCCCGCCGTTTTTGGACGACAACGAGGGAGTTTGGGGGATTCGGCCTATCTGTGTTGTCAGAACATAAGCATCACATTTTTCCTCCTGGAAGCGAGACCTTGGTATTAGAGTTTCACAGATCGCCGAAAGGAACGTCTCTCGTTATTAGAGTGGATAGAACTGCCATTGTTGTGACTTTCGTGGCGAAATCCTAGATACACATGGTGTATAGACGTGTAGAAGGGGTTTGCTGTAGATGAATTATAGAGCTTGCATCTCGGTCAAGCTCAATAACAATGTGTTTAGCAACTGGCTGCCATTTATTCTCTGCAGTGTGTCTCTACTCGGGGCACTTTTTGCTTCATTGTCGCTATCAAATCCCATCCTCTCTTGTATGTGTGGGGGTGACGTCATCAGTCCCAATACAGCTTCAATATCAACAAACAATCGAGGAACAACATCGCTGTTGTTTCTGGGCTGAATCACTTTCTAGATAGAGCATGGGCCATGTGCCTCTCCTGTTCTATCTCTAATTGATAGAAACTCTGCACTCAACAATGCAAAAAGTTCCTCCGACATCTGACAGGGATCATGATCCCACCAACAAACAACTCACCCCCACTCCGCGCTCAGCTCGAATTCCTTCATCCTCAACCGAGTGCATCTATCATCTATCATATCATCTTTCAGCCCCCATTCAGCTCCTCTAACACTCATCCTAATAGTACGCTATCCACACTCAAAATGACCGTGACACACATCGTTCAATTCCAGTTCAAATCCACCGCCAGTCCTGCGGAGGTCAAGGACGTACGTATCGTATCCCACCACAGCTCAACAGTAACGCAATAATTGATCAGGATAGACCTGTGACCGCATGCTCGCCTTGAAGACCAACTGCATCCACCCTACCTCACAGAAACCCTACATCAAGGCTTCCTCCGGCGGAAAAGACAATTCCATCGAGGGGCTGCAGGTTCGTCTTGCCCCGTGACCCCGTCAGTCAAGGAGACCCGCGCTGACGAGCACAGAATGGGATCACGCATGTCTTTGTGGTGGAGTTTGAGAGCGTGGAGGACAGGGACTACTATGTGCAGAAGGATTCGGCGCATCTGGAGTTTGTGAAGAGTCTGGGTGCAGTCCTGGAGAAGGCGCAGGTGGTTGATTTCACGCCTGGGGCGTTCTGATCTCGCCACTTGGGTGTGCTCACTACTTGAGTGCTGTTGGGAGCGTTGGAAAAGTGTTCTTGTGCCTCACATAGGGCATTTCTAAGATCTAAGAACGAATCGAATTAAGATCACGAAAATGCGTGGACCATATCATTAGGTATTTCCTATAGCATAAAATCAAGCTGGATATTAATTCTCATAGCATCCCACTCAGCTAAAAGGGTATCCAGACATCACTTCCTAACTGGTGGTAATATATGTACTACTTTGACATGTTTCCAGTTCTCAAGTCAACCTTGATAACCAGTCACAATTCCTTCATCCCAGCGATATGGCATGTCCCCCTCATTAACGACCTGAACTGAAGGCCGCCTCCTTTGATTTTCAGAAATGACTCCTACAGAATCGAGAGGATGTCTTCTTTGTGTCTGCAAGACATATTTGTTAGAAATAAGAGCATCTAAGAGTCACGGCCCAATGAGCTTATATAGGATGACCCAAAGTCTAAGAATATAAAGATGACTTATCTTTTAATACCTTAATTCTAATTACTAAGATATACTCTTATAGAGAAAGTTATTTATTATAGCTTAGGTATTAGGGTAATATAAATACTAATAGATATAGATATATAGCTTAGATATAGAGGTATATCCTTCTCTTATTCTTTTATCCTAGCTTCTTTCTAGTAGATATAAATAAATAGATAAATATACTAGTTAGTATATATTATATTATATTTATTTAGATATAATAAGTAAGTATATTATTAATATAATAAATACTACTTTATAATATACCCCCCTAGCTTAGATACTAACTAAGCTATAGGCTTCTATCTATCTTAGTTAACTAATATACTAAATGTATCTAAATCCTTTAGATTTAGTATCTTAATAAAAATTTTTTAGTCTCTCTTTATATAATATCTTAGTAAGACTATTAATACTTATATTATATATATTAATCTATCTAATATTAATCTTACTAGCTTATATCTTCTCCCTTAACTAGTATTAATAAATATTAATATATTAGAGCTTTATAATAATATTAAGATTATTATTTCTTATATATTAGACTATCTACTAATTATTATATTAGATAAAGATAGATATCTATAGATTAAATCTAATTTCCTTAAATAATCTCTTCTACTAATATAATTATTATCTAGCATCTAATAAAGCTAGTAATTCTATCTTTATTAATAATATTATAATTATATATTATCTTACTATCTTTTAATCTACTACTCTACTAAATACTTTAAAGAGATATTTATCTAAGCTATATTAACTTATATTATCTATAAAGATAATATTACTAATAAAGGATATAATCTTAGCCCCTATCTAATTATTATATTTTATTATATATCTCTTTATACTTAATAAATACTCTACTATCTATCTTACTACTATTATATATATTAGTAATAGATTAGATAGGAACTTAGATAGTTTACTTATTATATAGGCTGCATTAGGTCTTATTATTATTATTAGATATAGGATTAAGCTAACTAATTATTAATAATAATAAATCTTATATTTTAATACTTCTCTAATATATTTTATTAGCTTTAGATATAGTAGTAGAGATATTAGGAAGTGCTTTAGATCTATATTATATTAAGTTATTATATATTTTATATATAATATTTATAAGAGTTATAGTTATCTCCCTAGTCTATCTCTTATAATTTAGATATTTAAGAACTACTTTATCTCTTTTATATCTCTTAATTTATATATCTTAATTTATATATCTTCTCTAGCTTTTAAATAATCTCTTAGGCCTCCCTCCTCCCCTTTATTATAGAGAAGTTAAGTATTAATAAATTATTAATATAGAATATTATAATAATTCTCTATCTTATAAAGTAGTAGTAGTTTTCTAGGATCTTCTTAAATCCTATATAACTAAGTATTATTAATAGCTCCTTAAGCTATAGAAGAGATAACTATCTTATACTATAAAGAGACTTCCTTAATAGCTATATCTTAGATATCTTCCTTTTGTCTAGTAGTAGTACTATATATATAATCCTATTTATTAGAGTCTATATAAATATATTCATTATATCTAGCTATATTGTATTAAGATTAAATAATATTATTGTGATATTAGTGAACAAATATCATGAGTAGATTAATGATTACTAAGGTTGACCTAAGAAATCTCTATAATATCTATAACTTATCTTTTAGATAGATAGCTAATAACTAGATATAAATATAAGATCTTACCCTAGATAAGTAAAGAGGTATTAGCCTAGTCTATTTCTCTTTATTCCTAATAATACTATCTTATCCTTAATAATTCTATCTAGTAGTATATCTAAAGTTATAGATAGTAAGAAATTAAATACTCTTACTTTACTAAATTTATATTTATCTTAATAAATACCTACTACTCTTTCTTATAAGTAACTACTAAATTTAAGCTAAAAGATAGTAGGGTAGTTATACTTAGTAAAGAGTTTTTACTATAAGAGAACTCTCTACTAAGTCTTATTAGGAGAGATAGAAATAAAATAAGATATAATAACTCTAGGTTAGAGAAGTATTACTTAGTTACTAAAATAAGTCCTAATAAAAAATAATCCTTATAAGATAATATCCTTAAACCTCCCTACTAGAACTACTAGTAATAACTAGCTACCTATAGTAAATAATCCTACTAGGGATCTACTAGAGGATATAAAATAAGTCTTTACTAGGTTATTTAAGATAATAATCTAAGAAGTACTACTTACTAATATTAATATACTTTTCTAGAGTATTTACTAAAAATAATATAATAAATAAGTATTATCTCTAAGATTATAAGAGATAAATTATTATTATAGATTATTACCTATTTTTAAGGTCTTAAACCTTACTCCTATTCTAGAGTATAAAGATATATATATAAGAGATATTATCTAAGAATAATAAAAAAAAAGTTAAGAAATATTTTAGGGATATTTTATTAATAATAAGAAGAGTTTCCTCTAATCTAGAATATCTTATTATTATAAAGTAAAAACTTATAGGATATACTTATAAGAGATAAAAAGTAGATAAAACCTAATTATAGATTAATCCTATACTAGTAATTACTAATATAGAAACCTTTTATATATAGCTACTAAAGAACTTTAAGAAATATAATATAAATGTGATATCAGTGAATGAATATCATGAGTAGATTAATAATTATTAAGGTCAACTCTAGGTTACTAAGGTTAACCTAAGAAATCTCTGTAATATCTATAACTTATCTTTTAGATAGATAGCTAGTAGCTAGGTATAAATAGAAGATCTTACCCTAGATAAGTAAAGAGGTATTAGCCTAGCCTATTTCTCTTCACCCCTAGTAATACTACCTTACCCTTAGTAATTCTATCTAGTAGTATATCTAAAAGTTATAGATAGTAGGAAATTAAATACTCTTACTCTACTAGACCTATATTTATCTTAGTAAACACCTTCTGCTCTTCCCTATAAGTAACTACTAAATTTAAGCTAAAAGATAGTAGGGTGGTCATGCTTAGTAAAGAGTTTTTACTATAGGAGAACTCTCTACTAAGCCCTACTAGGAGAGGTAGAAATAAAATAAGGCATGGTGACTCTAGGCTGGAGAAGTATTACTCAGTCACTAAAATAAGTCCTAACAGAAAACCTCCCTACCAGAACTACTGGTGATAACTAGCCACCTATAGTGAATAATCCCACTAGGGATCTGCTGGAGGATGCAAGATAAGCCTTCACTAGGCTGTTTAAGATGGTAGCCTAAGGAGTGCCACTTACTAATATTAATATACTCTTCTAGAGTATTTACTAGGAGTGATATAGTAAATAAGTACTACCCCTAGGATTATAGGAGGTAAACTACTATTATAGATTATTATCTATCTTTAAGGTCTTAAACCTTACTCCTATCCTAGAGTATAAAGATATATATATAGGATACTACCTAAGAATAATAGAAGAGAGTTAAGAAATATTTTAGGGATGTCTTACTAGTAATAGAGAGAGTTCCCTCTAATCTAGAATATCTTATTATTATTAAGTAGAAACTTATAGGATATACTTATAAGAGGTAGAAAGTAGATAAAACCTAATTATAGATTAATCCTATACTTATAATTACTAATATAAAAATCTTTTATGCATGGCTGCTGAGGAACTTTAAGGAATATAATATAAATAATAAAAGATAGGAGGAATATAAAAGCCTTACTTAGGGTCTATAATCTATATAGCTATATACTACTATCTTAGGTAAAGCTATAATATATATCTCTCCCCTAGTATATAAAGCTTTCCTTATTTAAAAATTTATTATTAGGAGTTGACCAGAGCTTAGGAAAAGATAGATAGAGGACTAAATATAACTATAAATATATAATAAAATAGTTAAATACTTCTCTCTCTATAAGAATAACTTAGCTACTACTTAATAACTTAGAGGTAACCTATAATTAAAACTATAATTTAATTAATATAATAAAGATCTAATAAATCTAAGTATAATTACTAGCTCTCTCTAGCTAAGGAGAAACTTCCTATAACCTAATAAGGATTTACTAAAGTAGAAATTATAGTATTATTAGAATAAAGTATATTTTATATATAATAAAACTAGATATCTTTAACTATATCTCTTAAAAATAATAAAAAATAAGAAAGATTAATAAATCTAAAGATACTTATTAATTAAATAAAGAAAGCCTCTAACTACTAGAATATATAGTATAATCTCTTTAAAGATAGGAAGGAAGAACTACCTAAGAGGAGGAATCTTTAATTATTATAAGGAATCACTAAAGTATATCTAAATATAATAGGTATTAACTCTATATATTATATAATAAAAGTATAAAGTAAGAGATAAGTAATTTAGATTAAGGCTCTTATTAATTATAGAGCTAGTTACTTATTTATATTATAAATAACTACTAGTTATCTTAGTATAATAAAGCCTCCCTATAGTAAAAGAGAAATATCCTTAATTATATAACTACTAAA